CTTGCATAACAGTGTCGAGAAAGGAAATTCTAGATATTTACTAAGTTAAATTAAGTGTGTATGCTCTATCATGTCTATGGTGATACCAACAAATTTATCAATGAAATCAATTGTAAAATTGTTAAAGGGTGAATTAACTTGAAAACCAAGGACACAAAAAAAATAATTTATTACCACGAATAAGGGAGTAGTTATTTCACAACATCATTCATAAGTATACCAAGAGTGTACACGCTGAAATGTCTCGTCTGCTCTACTGACCATAATTGATTCTATAAAGTCTTAAAGATAAAGTTTTACTACAAGTATCACATAAACTTAACATTATCAATGCCATACACCAAATATAGTTGACTTATTGATTATAGTATCTAAGAAACAGACAACCCGGGAAACTTAACATTGGCCAATGAACCATGAAAATGAGGTCAAGGTTAGATGAATCCTGCCAGACAGACATGTACACCTTACAATCATCCCATACACCACGTTGACCTACCGTTATAGTATTTGAGAAACAGACCTAATCACGTAATTTTAACCTTGATCACTGATCCATGAAATGAGGTCGAGGTCATGTCTCTGACGAACATGTAGACTTTGCAAGGAACCCATACACCAAATGTAGTTATCCTATTACTCACAATAAGGGAGAAATTCGCATGACAAACAACTACATATTTTTAAGCAGTCGCTGAACCATGAAAATGATGTCAAGGACAATAGACATATGACAGCCGGAAACTTCGTAACATAAGGCATTTATATACAAGGTATGAAACATCCAGGTATTCTATCTTCTGAAATATGAAGCTTTTAAGTAGTTAGGTTATGCCGCCACCGCCGGATCACTATCCCTATGTCTTTCTTTCCGCGACAGAAGTTGCAGGCTCGACAATAAAATCACGCTTGAGCTAGATAATCTAAGACATATGAAAAGTATGAAGCCTCCAAGTCTTCTACCCTCTGAATATTAAGTGCTTTTGAGCTTTATAGAAACAGTTTATGCCGCGGTCGACGCCGGATTGTAATCGTTCGTTGCAGGCGAGACAAAAGGGACTATAATTGTCTGGAAAGTTCTTCAAATATCGTTTTATCTCGGATTCTAGTAAGTGTTTTACGACTTATCTTTGTGTGCTGTTAACTTTATTTCTCTTACTCATATGCAAATAATCATTGTGTATTAATTATTTCTGGGATGTCAAAAACTATTTGGATGTTTTGGATAAATAACGTGCCTTTGGTAATCCGTTTAGTTCGGTTGACAGTTATGAATTTTCGACTCTGTACACTACACTACAACACAATCTTATCAAACTCTTATTCAATTAAATGGTCCTTTGAAAAATCTGATAGCAAATGTATTTGCTGCAACTCATATAAAGCTGTAATGTATAAAAGGGAAATATGCTAGATACACTTACTGGAGTTGTGATGAGATGATTAAAGCTGTAAATTTTCTGCTTGACAATAGATATATACGTTTTGTCAATAAAGTTTATCGACAGGCTGTAGGCATATGGGCCCTTATTGCGCCCCTTAAAAGCAGACTTGTTGCTTTATTGTTATGAATCACAGATTATGGCAAAACTCAGTTAAGATCTAAATTACATCTAAAATTGAAAATTTTCAAATACTTAACTTTACCTTAATGGTATTTTTGCTTTAAATAATCAAGAAATTTCTAATTCTACTGCGGAAATTTACCCAAGGGAACTTACTCTAATAAATCTAATGCAAACAGCAATAATTATCCTTTTCTAGATTTGGATATTTCAGTTTCACCTGGGAAACTATATATATACAAAATATTACGACAAAAGAGACGATTTTTCGTTCCCTATTGTTATGTTTCCCTCTTTGGACGCTGATGTTCCTTTGGTCCCTTCTTACGGTGTATATATTTCACAACTTGTTCGCTATACCCGTGTCTGTAGTCGCGTTTTAGATTTCAATGAACATAATTTATGTAAAACTTGTAAATTATTATGTCAAGAATTTCGCTAACATAAATTAGTTAAAAAAACTTTTATTAAATTCCTCCATAACTACAAAGATTTAGTGAGGAAGTTTGGCTGCACCTGTATAATTCTTAATATAAACGGGATATCACATCCTTAATTTTACGCCCATATTCTGTATACTAAGCCCGTAAATTTAGATACGATCCAAGTAAACTCATTGATCCTTTGAATAAACTTATTCTTTAAGGTTGTCAATTTAAAACCGTAGTGAAATTTTCAAATATTTTTTTTATCGGTACTAACATTGATTTTGTGTTTGATTGATTAAAATATAACTTAATATACATTGCTATATATGTTCATTTATGAGTACATCCTGTCGATACTGTTTTGGCATTGCACAAGGTCGTGCGTTTCTCAGACTGTTTATGACGCCTTACATTAAATCCGTTAGATTTGTACTGATTGATACTTTAGTCTGTGAAAACATGATTTATTCATTAGTTGTAACTTACGTTGAGCTAACTTTCAGTAACTGCGAGTACTCTTATATCCATTCGGTGCTTTGTGTCTATTATTTTTATGTTAGTTGGTTTATTTGTGCTTTGTACGGATTAAATTAGTTAAGCTATTTGCAACTAATTTTTGCAGCTTGTCCTAATGTTGTGCTGCAACACCACTGTCCCAGATTAGGAGAGGGTTGATCGCTCACAATCATGTTTAACACCGCCACATTCTTTATGTGCCTGTCCCAAGTCAGGTCTGAGCATGTTAGAAAGCGGTTGACAGTGGTTCATGTCTGTCATATTTGTTTTTCGTAAATTGTTTTGTTATAAATTAGGCTGTTAGTTTTCTCAATTGAATTGTTTCATATTTTTCATGTCAGAGCATCTTAAAGCCGACTATCACTAGCCTGTCAAAAGGTCGGTGGTTCTCTCCGGCTTCCCGCTCCACCAATATCAACCGACTGCCACGAAAAAGCACAATAGTGCTGAAAGTGGCGTTAAACACCAATAAATCAATGAACTCAATTTATAGCCGACTTTACGGTATGGGTTTTTCTCGTTGTTAAAGGCCATACGGTTGCCTATAATTAATAAGCTGCTTATATCGACTCCATTTGAACTTTGGAAGATAGTTGTCATAATGGCAATCATCCCACATCTCCTTATTTTTATATGGGACACACTACAGAAAACTGCCAATGACGGACACAAATGGAAGATCTTCGTTACTGCCTTACACGCCTAATAAGTTATTCCCATGTATTTCCCAAACTGTATAGAGAGATTCCTCTAAGGAAGCAAGACAACTCGCCCCACTGCCAAATCGCCCCACACCATATCGCCCCACTTCTTTTTCACCAACTCGCCCCACTCTTGTTTACCAACTCGCCCCACTTTCTAGAAAATCGCTCCACTCTGGTTTACCAACTCGCCCCACTTATGAAAAAGGGTTTAATCCCGTTAAATTTACTCCTGCCAACTCGCCCCACTTATGATAAAGGGTGAAATCCCGATAATATATTGAGCTGCGTCGGATAGAAATCGACCTTCAGCGGCGGATCCAGCCATTTATAAAAGGGGGGTTCCTAACCCAGGATAAAGGGCCCCCCCCCCTTTATCCTGGGTTAGGAACCCTCCTTTTATAAATGGCTGGATCCAATTATATGTCCCCATTCAAATGCATTGATCGTCAAAAAAACTGAAAGGGGGGTTCCAACCCCCGGAACCCCCCCCCCCCCCTGGATCCGCCACTGACCTTATGCAAATTAATACATCATTACATCTGTAAACCTATTTCATGTTGAAAAATGTCTACGGAGAGTCTCTAACTGTGTTAAAATTGAGTTGTTATAAGAACCATACAAAACAGACCAAAATGTATCTCGTATTTGAATGTTACAAAACCAATCAAAGTCTTATATATGTACATGTATATGTGCACTTGCATAAGGTCGATTTCTATCCGACGCAGCTCATATAATAAAGGCCTGCCAACTCGCCCCACTTATGAAACTTATCTACACAGATTAAAAAAAATCACTTGTGATACTAATAAAAATCGAAAATTTAATATATGATTAGGATTGAAATTAAATGATGCTTCATTTCTTAAAATAAAATTGTAGATACATTATTTATTATTATGTAATGTTAGTATGTATTGGAGAATAACTTTATTATTATTATAAACACCCATGATTCTCGACTTATCTAGTAAAACAGTGATTACATTTACAAGAAAACAAATGTCATAAACAGTTACAATAGTCAATAACATTGTACGTCACAGAAATTCTGATACTTACTTCTTTCTGCTTTATTTCAACCAAAAGAAAAGATTTAAAAGAACAAGATGCATTTCTAAGGTTTTCATCAGTATTCATTTAATTCATTAGTGGGGTGAGTTGGTAGGCCTTAATTCAGTACAGTTTAATTCTCAAGTTTTATTCATTAGTGGGGCGAGTTGCCGGGCAGACTTAAAACTGAGATTAAACTCCTTTTCATATGTGGGGCGAGTTGGTAGTGCGTTGGGCGAGTTGGTAGGCCTATATTCAACGGGATTTTACCCTTTTTCATAAGTGGGGCGAGTTGTTAATCAAGAGTGGAGCGAGTTGGTGAAAAAGTGGGGCGATTTGGCAGTGGGGCGAGTTGTCATGGATTCAACTCTAATTTGGTCTTAATATATACAAGGATTTCTTACTATATATATATACAAATCCTTGATATATGTATACATAACTGTCAAGTACTCTTAGTATATAAACCAGAGATATTATATGTCTCTGGTATAACATAAAATATAAAGCATTCAAATAAAAAATATATATAAATGTCACAACTATATTTTTTTTGTCCGGCATAAGTCTAAGAGATCCAAGAAGTCACAAAAATTAAGGATAAAAATGTAGTTATAATAGTCCCAGTTTCAATGCTTCGGAATTTTAACGCGAATAATATAGCGCCCTCTTACGGTCGGTGTCCTCTACTGTAGTAATCGGAGTGAGCGGAATATAACGACTGGATTATTCAGGTTATCGGAATGGGAGTTGACTACTCTTTGTCATGCGCATTAACTCCATTCCAAATTTAGAAGTAAATCCGCCATTATCGATATAAAGGGGCCAAACGTCATAACAAACTGTTGTTCACGGTTATATCTTTGAGGGAAATAACTTTTTGGTAAGAAGACAGAATTTTAAATCATCGTCCACATGCTTCTGATCGAACGTTCACTAAATTTGTCCTAACTTTTAACTTTTGGCTATGGATTCCCCTTTGAATATGGTTCAGCTTCTGGACAGCAGGAAATGCCAAAATGTGACGATAACAACATCCTTTCATCAACCATCAATCTTCTTACGATGAAATATGTTAATACTTTTCTAAAATATGTTTAGTTTATCAGTGAAGAATTTAAAATGTAGGCATTTCGGTAAATATCAGGTTGATGACTCAGCCCCATCCCAGATTGCAGGCTGGGTACAATCCTTCAAATAGGTCAGTGTAACCTGTTTGAGGTATGGAATATAGAATACTGTTATTAAGGAAGGTGTATTTTTTAAATTGTAAATAATATCAGATGAAAAGCTAAAAATTTTCTTTGTGCCTATTCCGAAACCAACCAACGAAGTGGAAGAAGGGTTACAGTGTAGATATGATAAAATAATAGTGTTCTCCACATGTGCATGATGTGGGTTTGTGGCCTAGTGGTTAAAAACCGACAGATACAGTGCTGAAGGTCTCACAGGGGTTCAAATTTACTTTGAGCAATAGAATGTCTAGGCCCTTTGACAATTTCAAAAGGTCCTCCGTTATTCTAAGAATGTCCAACAAATCGTACAAAATTCAATTCATTAATACAGAAAACACTTACCCTTTCAAAGCACTCATCATGTCTTAGTGTTTATACTAGCATCTTAAAGCCAAAAAGGAACCATGCATGCAATGTTTTGCCAAATTAGGTACAAGTCAGCTAGTTCTGTTCTTTGTTTAATTAAATGTGTTTAAATTGTTCAGGTTTCAATTGCTGCTTAAGAATACATTGGCCTAACTTTGTGTCAGATAACAGCTTACCTTTGTTTTCAAACTTAGCTTGGGGCCAGTTTCTTTTAACCACTAATTTTGGCAAGATAAAAATGCTGAGAGGTAGTTTCTTAACTTTTTTATGGGGTCAAGTTTTATGTTGTTGTCCCACAAACCCAGGGCACTTTCCCTTTTAACTGTGTGTGGGATATTTGACACAATACTTGAACAACATTAAACCAGTTGCCTCATCAAAATCTAGCCAAGGGCTATTAACCTTCTTTTGGGTAAAAAATTTACGTTCTCAGTGTTTTCCATTCGGCAATTAAGCCGGGTGTGCATACCTCCTTTTTATGAAAGCCGACCACCTTTCTATTTAGGAGGTGGTCGGCTTTTTTTTTCAAATTCCGGATTTTTTTCGGTTCCGCACCGTAATAAATGAAATACTAATCGCGCCTCGCTGATTTGTTTTCATTGACAAAAATGGCTGATCGTCAAATTTTAATGTTTTCTTTTATTAATCGGGGGAAGAGTACGGCAGATGATGATGGTGATAAGGAAAATTCTAGGCTAAATAAGTCAACTAAAACGGATAGTTGTATTGAGATTGTTGAAATTGAAAAAAAAGCACTAAAACAATGGAAAAGCACACAAGCGAAGATAAATATGAACAGGACTTAAAATGGCTAAGCTTCACAGATAGAGGAAGGAAATTACTGTTCTGTGTGCTAAAAGTACAGTCCTAAAGCGAGGAACAGGACAGAAATTTGGATCGATTGCATAAAAAAGTGAATGAAAGAAGAGAAAAAAGGAAATAATTATTGAAAGAAATCAAATCAAAGACGAATATTTGACAGTTTTTGTGACTACATCTATTTACTTTTCGTTCAATTCCATTAAATGTGAATACGATACTAATCCTTCATTTTGTGACCCCCACCCACAGTAAAAAAACACTTGGTTGCAAGTGGTTTTTTCAAAACATCCACCTTACCTTAGTGAAAAAAGGAGAACACTGCGTTCTGCTTTTCTCTGTCATATTTTTGGTCTTTAATCAGATCCTGTCTTTTGGGCTGCGTTTCATCAGTCACCCCTGCTGTATTACCTGTTTCATCAGGTTTTCTTATGGAAGAGGTCACCCTAAAAAAAACAAGGACTCCTACCGTTTACTAATTATGTTTGTTAATATATTCCCTGTGTTTCATGCAGTTTTTGAAAAGGACAGGGTAATTTTTTTCTCAAAGGGCACTCTTAGCGAGATTGTCAACACTTTAAGGGCACCCTTTGCGCAGAGGACTACACTTTTAGGGCACTCTTCATAGATATAAAGGCACTGTAATAGATAGGGATTTAATGGAATATACCAATTGTTTTATATTTATTGGTAAGAAATAAAGATATGTATATAAGTTGTTAACTTAATTCCTTTTTGTAATAAAATTGTCACTTTTAGACTCAGCTAATAGAATCTTGATCATGTTCATTATGCAACTGCTTCATTTCAATCAATAACTCCAGTTATAAACTTTAAAATTGGATCACTGAGACTGATTGTCTAAGGATGTGTTGTGAAAGTGGACTTTGCATGACCAAGAGCATATGCATTATACGACCCATGACCGCAAAAAAATTTTGCGGTCGTATATTGGTATCACGTCGTTGTCCGAAGACATTTGGTTTCTGGACAATAACTTTAGTAAATGTAAATAGAAATTGTCTACATTTTAAATTCGTACAGGTACACATCGATGTTGTCCCTACTAGATTCAATCATTAATCGTATTTGTACTCTGTCATGTCTGTCGCTTCAAAACTGTTCAAACATTACGAAATTCAATAAAATGTCGGCCATTAAAATTTTTATTTCATTCCAAGGGAAATAACTCGAAATGGTGTTGCTAAAAGATGAATTGCTGAACCGATATTGAATTACGGCAGTGCGTACTAAAATACGACGGAAAAAGGGCATGGCGCCAAATTTTTTTCCTAAAATGGGCAGGGCGTCAAGAAAACACGGCAGGGTGCCATACCATGCCAAAACATCCTACAGGAAACACTAATTCCAGAGTTTCCTGATGTCTACTACGACGACTGGTCATGCGACTACCCATCAAATCAATTGTAAAGAATTTAAGCAAACACGGCTTCCTCCACCATCATAACAGACTTCACAGTGTCCTAACAATCCCTTGTTCCACCTAACAGAAGTTCCACTGGAAACTTTTCTATAAATAATGCCTTAATAAATGATCCTTTTGGAACAAATATTACATACCATTTATTCTGTAAGGAACAAATACTGTAATAGTTGTCCCAGTGGGAATAATATTCCTGAATATTTATTCAATTTGGAACTTATATTTCTTGACAGTGGATTTTACATAAGTTAGTGACACATCGTCATTAATCCTGATAGGGAGTGAACATGAATACCAATGGTACCCTCACAGCTATTGAGGGGAGCTCCAAATAATGGAGGTACATGTATCTACCAGTATACATGTATATACATACATGCCCTTAGAATACAACAGACTGCAGTTCTTTCATTTCTGTGTGTGGTCAAACAATTCTGGCCCATGGTGCCATATCATTTTCATTTTAAATTTGTATATAGGTTGAATTTTTTACATAAATAATTGTCCAGCAGTAAAACATTTATATTATCAAATTAGTTATTCAAGACATATACATTGTGACAAGTGATTGTGTATGTATTAATTCCTTAACTAATGAATAAATAAAGTGTTGGGAGTAATGCAATGCAGTGTTAACCTCACAATTATATTCAAATAGCATCCCATGGTATTTGAAAAGGCACTTATCAAACATACATCTTCTTATATCTACATGTATGTACTATTGAAAGTATATTCAGATAGCATCATTGTACTGTAAGGCAATGGCATGTCTGGGGAGAACACAGGGACTCACTGGAACCATAACCCTAAGTTTTTGGGAGAGTAGCAGACACCTGGTTACTGTGAACATATCTACAGTACATTGTAGATTACAGTGTTGTCGACTAATGTTACACACCTGTCCTAAGACTTGGATTTATTGTGCATGGTTATAGAATTGCTAGACAATTTATTCAGGGCTTAGTCCAGACAAATATGAATATGTTATTTTTATACGACCGCAAAAAAATTTTGTGGTCGTATATTGGTATGACGTTGTCGTCGTCGTCATCGTCCGAATACACATTGGTTTTCGCACTCTAACTTTAGTTTAAGTGAATGGATCTTTTTAAAATTTTACCATAAGGTTAAATACCACAAAAGGAAGGTTGGGATTGATTTTGGGGGTTATGGTACCAACAGTTAAGGAATTAGGGGCAGAAAAGGGGCCAAAAATAAGCATTTTCTAGTTTCCAGACAATAACTGTGGAATGGTGTATGGATCTCTCTGAAATTATACTACAAGTTTCCATACCACAAAGGGATGGTTAGGATTTGCTTTGGGGGGTTATGGCTCAAACCGTTTAGGAATTAGGGGCAAAAAAGGGCGAAAAACAAGGTTGTCCTGGTTAATGGACAAATACTTTAGTACAAAACAATTTAAAGCAGTGTAAGGGAGATAAATCAAATACATCATTGAAATTATCTCCCTTACACTGCTTTTAAATTATGTATAAAGTAATGGTTAATGAACAATAAAGATAATTTAAAACAGTGTAAGGGAGGTAATCCAAATACAACGTTTTGGTTACTTCCCTTACACTGCTTTTAAATTATGTTTAAAGAAATGCATATTTATAAAGGTAGACCAGTAAAAATATCTGCAAATGTTGCATCTTTTTTTTTACAAGAAAATCCATATGAAAGATTTGACACTATATTTTTAATTCTATTATAAAATAGATTAAGTTAGCACTATGGTAAATTTAAATGGGTAATTATGGTTGCCAACTCCATTGGAAATTTGAATTGAAATTATGACCATATCTTGAGGGAAAGAATTTTTTTGGGGAAAAAAAGGGGGGGGGATAAAAAGAAATTGTGGGGGGTCAATTTTTTCTCATTTCAGATTTCAGAAATTAAAAAGAATTATTCTTCAAATATTATTTTTTTTTCAAATTTCAAATATTGAAAAATTTCAAGAAGTAATCTTTAATTGCACAGTATGGGTCATTAGATTTGTAAAATCTTTGATCACATTTATTTATTTGTTAAGCCGAATCTAACAGTGTATTTAGATTTTTAATTTTGGGTCCAGTTTTCAAATTGGTCTACATTAAGGTCCAAAGGGTCCAAAATTAAACTTTGTTTGATTTTAGCAAAAATTGAATATATGAGGTTCTTTGATACACTGAATCTAAACATGTATTTAGATTTTTGATTTTTGGCCCAGTTTTCAAGTTGGTCCAAATTGGGGTCCAAAATTAAACTTTGTTTGATTTCAACAAAAATCGAATATATGGGGTTCTTTGATATGCTGAATCTAACCATGTATTTAGATTTTTTATTTGTGGACCCCACTATCAAATTGGTTCATATTGAGGTCAAAAGGGTCCAAAATTAAACTTTGTTTGATTTCATCTAAAATTGAATTATTGGGGTTCTTTAATATTCCAAATCTAACCGTGTATTTAGATTTTTAATTTTGGGTCCTGTTTTTTAAATTGGTCTACATTAAGGTCCAAAGGGTCCAAAATTAAACTTAGTTTGATTTTAACAAAAATTGAATTCTTGGGGTTCTTTGATATGCTGATTCTAAACGTGTTTAGATTTTTGATTATGGGCCCAGTTTTCAAGTTGGTCCAAGATAGGGTCCAGTATTTAAACTTTGTTTGATTTCAACAAAAATTGAATATATGGGGTTCTTTGATATGCTGAATCTAAACATGTATTTAGATTTTTGATTATGGGCCCAGTTTTCAAGTTGGTCCAAATTGGGGTCCAAAATTAAACTTTGTTTGATTTCAACAAAAATTGAATATATGGGGTTCTTTGATATGCTGAATCTAACCATGTATTTAGATTTTTTATTTGTGGACCCCACTATCAAATTGGTTCATATTGAGGTCAAAAGGGTCCAAAATTAAACTTTGTTTGATTTCATCTAAAATTGAATTATTGGGGTTCTTTGATATTCCAAATCTAACCGTGTATTTAGATTTTTAATTTTGGGTCCTGTTTTTTAAATTGGTCTACATTAAGGTCCAAAGGGTCCAAAATTAAACTTAGTTTGATTTTAACAAATTTGAATTCTTGAGGTTCTTTGATATGCTGATTCTAAAAATGTATTTAGATTTTTGATTTTTGGCCCAGTTTTCAAGTTGGTCCAAGATAGGGTCCAGTATTAAAACTTTGTTTGATTTCAACAAAAATTGAATATATGGGGTTCTTTGATATGCTGAATCTAAACATGTATTTAGATTTTTGATTATGGGCCCAGTTTTCAAGTTGGTCCAAATTGGGGTCCAAAATTAAACTTTGTTTGATTTCAACAAAAATTGAATATATGAGGTTCTTTGATATGCTGAATCTAACCATGTATTTAGATTTATTATTTGTGGGCCCCGCTATCAAATTGGTTCATATTGAGGTCAAAAGGGTCCAAAATTAAAATTTGTTTGATTTCATCAAAAATTGAATTATTGGGGTTCTTTGATATGCCAAATCTAACCGTGTATTTAGATTTTTAATTTTAAGTCCCGTTTTTTAAATTGGTCTACATTAAGGTCCAAAGGGTCCAAAATTAAACTTAGTTTGATTTTAGCAAAAATTGAAAATATGAGGTTCTTTGATACTCTGAATCTAAACATGTATTTAGATTTTTGATTTTTGGCCCAGTTTTCAAGTTGGTCCAAATTGGGGTCCAAAATTAAACTTTGTTTGATTTCAACAAAAATTGAATATATGGGGTTCTTTGATATGCTGAATCTAACCATGTATTTAGATTTTTTATTAGTGGGCCCCACTATCAAATTGGTTCATATTGAGGTCAAAAGGGTCCAAAATTAAACTTTGTTTGATTTCATCAAAAATTGAATTATTGGGGTTCTTTGATATTCCAAATCTAACCGTGTATTTAGATTTCTAATTTTAAGTCCCTTTTTTTAAATTGGTCTACATTAAGGTCCAAAGGGTCCAAAATTAAACTTAGTTTGATTTTAGCAAAAATTGAATTCTTGGGGTTCTTTGATATGCTGAATCTAAACATCTGTTTAGATATTTGATTATGGGCCCAGTTTTCAAGTTTGTCCAAGTTGGGGTCCAAAATTAAACTTTGTTTGATTTTAACAAAAATTGAATATATGGGGTTCTTTGATATGCTGAATCTAACCATGTATTTTGATTTTGGACATTGGACCATAATAGGTAAATTAAAAAAATTCAAGTTCTTAGACCACATTCTTTCTGTGTCAGAAACCTATGCTGTGTCAAATATTTAATAACAATCCAAATTCAGAGCTGTATCAAGCTTGAATGTTGTGTCCATACTTGCCCCAACTGTTCAGGGTTCGACCTCTGCGGTCGTATCAAGCTGCGCCCCAGCGAAGCATTTTATTTATCATGTTTATGTATTAAAATTCTAGAAAAGACCTAAATGTTTATTTTTTACACTTTGGCATCAGATTGAGATTTGTTAACAAGTACATGTACACTAGACTATGATCATGTACATTAGACTATCATCATGTACATCAGACTATGATGTTTTTTTTCTCCCTTATTTCAGATAGCAACAGAAAATGAGAGAATATAAACTGGTTGTGCTTGGTAGTGGTGGTGTTGGTAAAAGTGCCCTGGTAAATATGCCAAATATTCAGATATTATGTTTTATGTTTTTGGGGAAAAGATGACTGAAAGTACAAGTATTCAACAAACAATTAAATTTCCCCTAGATTGCATCCAAACCTTTTCAAGGCTTGAAACAGTAATCCTTTAAGATATTCAAGGAAAAATCTATTTGGTATCAGAAATAAAAAAAAAAGTCATGAAGGGATAACTTTTATTTTGAACTAAAGCTTAAGTGATAAAGATTTAATTACAACTGGAAGTTTTGGCATGGAACACCTCTTACCAAAACACTGATTGTATTTTCGGTCTATATTATTTAGAGGTGGCAGGTGACACATATTTCTTGGAGGACTCAAACATTTCATTATCTTTAAAGAACACTCATGCTAGAAACACAGGGCTTAAACTACCTTTTTTTTTGGCTCAACTGGCCCAAAGGTGGATTTTTACCATTTTTGCCTTATATCTAAAAAATTGTAATAGATAGATACAAACTTAAATAAGCAAAAATGATCAGCAAGACAAGATCTACGTATATATATACTATTAAGACCATATGTAGGAAATCGTCTGATGACTCCTTATTGGAGTTATTGCCCTTTAATGACGATTTTTTTTCCCCCCCATTTTTTTTGCGTTTTGCCATATATGATATAAATTATAATAGATAAATAGACACTTCAGCAAAGCAAGACCTACTAACAAGTCAAATTTTGACAATACAGTTAGTTTAACTGTTACTCTTTTTAGGAGTGATAGCCCTTAAATGGTGATTTTTTTTTTACCCTCTTTTGTGTTTTGAGCAAAAACTAAAGGAGATAGAGAGAAACTAAACAGACTAAAAGATCAGCATTACAAGATCAACAAAACAGAGATTTTGTCATGAATTCTATTCTCGTCTACAATGTTGGAGAGTTGGGCAAGATAAAAAAATCAGTGGGGATCAAAAATTGTAAAAGGAGTTATGCCCCTGGGAAATATAAATTACATGTGTATGGAAAATTTGCTTTGTAAGGGCTCTCGAAGCCAACATATTTTTATATGCCCGTTTACAGGACATATTATGGTATACTGTTGTCCTTCCGCCGTCGTCAACACTTCGGACAGTAACTCAGCCACTTTCACCAATTTTCATGAAACTTTGGTGAATCGATTATATCTACTAACGTAGGCTCCCTTTTGATTTTTATAAATTCCAGATATTACGTTTTCGAGTTATTGGATTTTATTAAAAAAATCGGGGGTTTTCAAGTTTTCTAACTATAATCAAAAAATGCTTTGAGCAGTTTTCATGAAACTTTGGTGACTTGTTTATAGCTATTGAAATAACCTCCCTTTTGTTTTTTTTTTACAAATTTCTGATATGACATTGTGGAGTTATGGAACTTTATTTGTTGAATAAAAAGTAAAATCTGTCCAATTTTCAGACTTCGGACAGTTATAGAATTTTGTCTTTTTTGAGCCGTTCTCTTAGTATTTCTAGTTAATCATATAAATTCATTTAAAGCATAAAGACAAGCTAAAAGGGCATCAGGCTCATAGCACAGCTCTTTATTTAGGATTTATATGAAATTTATATGTCAAAGGTTTATATGAGCTATATGTGTAGGTAGGATGAGTTGGAAAATCAGCACTAATCAGTCATTTGATCATTGCATTGTCAGCACTCTCAGTCTTCATTTCAGATTTGTTTATGAATTTTATATGGTTTATATATATCATGTATATATATAAGCAAGGTCTTGGAAGATTTTGATAACCAGTGGCAATCAACTATGTTTACAGGAGGTCTAGATCTGCTCCTTGGGAATAGAAATTATATGGATAACATTGTAAGGGATCACATGCCTAAATTTCATGAGGATATTTACAAAATGATTTATGAAAAATGTGAAAAAGAACCAACATTTTTATGCCCCCGCTGTGGCGGAGGGGGCATTATGTTTTACCCTTGTCCATCTGTACGTATGTATGTCCCAAAGTTGGTTTCTGTTCTCTAACTTTAGTTTGCCTCAACCAAATGTTATGAAACTTATACAAAATGCTTATTACCAAAAACCACAGATCAAGTTTGAATTTTGGTGGCGTCACTTAAACAGTTTTAGAGTTATGCCTCTTTTACAAATGGAAAAATTGCTGAATTTTTCGTTTCCGTTCTCTACATGTAAGTTGAACTAACTTAAGTTTGCCTCAACCAAATTTTATTAAACTTATACACAATACTTATTACCACAAAACTCAGATCAAGTACAAATTTGGGTAGCCTCTCTGTCCCATGGACACATTCCCCATTTATTTTTTAAGTTATTGCCCTTGAAGAGGTTACATATGTGCATCAGCCAGGGATATTGGGACACTGTTCTTTAATGTGTGTAGAAGAAATCCAATGTTTAATTTTGTGTCTTTTAAGCATTTTTTAGTTACACTTAATTATAGTTAATTTCCACTGGTCAATCAACTGTACTATTATCATGATCATCTACATGTAAATAGATGTACATGTATCTACTACTGTTGCAGATTTAAAGAATAAATAAAAAATAGAAAAGATATAACTATATATCAATTAAAATCTATTAAAAACAATTATGTTTATACATATATATTCATTGCTTCTCTTAAAAAGATTGATTATGGTAAAAAAAAAAATATGAAAAATTTATGATAACTACAGTGTTTATTATACACATATAATAGGATATTTCTGATGAGTCCATTGTATATGTACAGTAATTCAAATAGTCAGTTTTGCTTCTATTATGCTCAGAGAGTCATCGTCAAGATGCTGTTCAAAAAGTATGGGATGAACTGGTTCAATGAATGTTTCTTATTATATTTTGTAATCTTTGAAAAAAAATTGTGACCTTCACAAAATAAGAGTACAGTAAATAAATAAATGAATACAGTGTTTTATTAGGTGAATTATATAACATACTAATGATGATAATCTGTATAAGTTTGGCATCAAACAATAATTAAGTTTAAAACTCAAATTGTAGGTACACTTGTACATATAGTAGATAAACATGTACAAGGTATCACATTATCAACTACATTATACCTATACACTGTTGTTAAAAAACAATGATAAATGCACACTTTCATAAAATTTGAATGCATATGATATATCTTGAATATTCCAGCAAACTATAGACCATATTTAGAGAGGATTACCAATCTTTTTATCAATGGGGGTTTGACTTTGTGGGATATTTGAGCTAGCTCACCAAGGATATAAATTAATACAAAATAATGCTGAAGTATAAGTAACTGTCACAATCTACAATGAAGTACTGTAAACTCAGAAATTGTTGTGTGCATTAATAAACATGATTGTTAAAAAATGAGGGACCATTGGTATTTGTCATTAATAAATAAATTTGTAAATATATATTGTTTATTTTAAGATCATAAATAAGGATTAATAATATTTTCTTTGTAATGATTTTTAAAAGTACAATATATAATAGTATATACATGTTACATATGTTTTGAGGGCTGTATAGCCAGTCAAGGTCGTTAAAAACTCCCATCATCATATGTGTGAATGGTAATTGTACAGTATTGACTGGGTAATGATTATTTTGTTAGACAAGGTCCATATTTTCCATATTTCCACTTGCCAATGGTTTGGTCTTTTGTCAGAACAAAACTGATTGTCAAATACATCTGTCTCGTGAACAGCCTTCATCATTATGGTATATCATGCTGTCATCAATTCAGCTACAATTAGGTTTACTAATCACTACTAATAGATCACAAATTATCACTTTCTATCTTAATAGCAATGTTGTAATAGGTTATTTTTTACTTAAATTAATAATAAGCAAGCTATTAATTCTAAATATTAAAAATATAATTTTTCTAATATATTTATATGATGATATTTTTAGCTCACCTGACCTGAAAGGTCAAGTGAGCTTTTCTCATCACTTTGCGTCCGTCGTCCGTCGTCCGTAAACTTTTACAAAAATCTTCTCCTCTGAAACTACTGGGCCAAATTTAACCAAACTTGGCCACAATCATTATTGGGGTATCTAGTTTTAAAAATGTGTGGCGTGACCCGGTCAACCAACCAAGATGGCCGCCACGGCTAAAAATAGAACATAGGGGTAAAATGCAGTTTTTAGCTTATAACTCAAAAACCAAAGCATTAAGAGCAAATCTGACATGGGGTAAAATTGTTCTTCAGGTCAAGATCTATCTGCCCTGAAATTTTCAGATGAATCGGACAACCTGTTATTGGGTTGCTGCCCCTGAATTGGTAATTTTAAGGAAATTTTGCTGTTTTTGGTTATTATCTTGAATATTATTATAGATAGAGATAAACTGTAAACAGCAATAATGTTCAGCAAAGTAAGATTTACAAATAAGTCAATATAACCGAAATGGTCAGTTGACCCCTTTAGGAGTAATTGCCCTTTATAGTCAATTTTTAACCATTTTTCTTAAATCTTAGTCATCTTTTACAAAAATCTTCTCCTCTGAAACAACTGGGCCAAATTAAACCAAACTTGGCCACAATCATCATTGGGGTATATAGTTTAAAAAATGTGTGGCGTGACCCGGCCAACCAACCAAGATGGCCGCCACAGCTAAAAATAAAACATAGGGGTAAAATGCAGTTTTTGGCTTGTAACTCAAAAACCAAAGCATTTAGAGCAAATCTGACATGAAGTAAAATTGTTTATCAGGTCAAGATCTATCTGCCCTGAAATTTTCAGATGAATCGAACAACCTGTTGTTGGGTTGCTGCCCCTGAATTGGTAATTTTAAGGAAATTTTGCAGTTTTTGGTTATTATCTTGAATATTATTATAGATAGAGATAAACTGTAAACAGCAATAATGTTCAGCAAAGTAAGATTAACAAATAAGTCAACATGACTGAAATGGTCAGTTGACCCCTTTAGGAGTAATTGCCCTTTATAGTCAATTTTTAACCATTTTTCGTAAATCTTAGTCATCTTTTACAAAAATCTTCTCCTCTGAAACAACTGGGCCAAATTAAACCAAACTTGGCCACAATCATCATTTGGTTATATAGTTTTAAAAATGTGTGGCGTGACCTGGTCAACCAACCAAGATGGCCGCCACGGCTAAAAATAGAACATAGGGGTAAAATTCAGTTTTTGGCTTTTAATTCAAAAACCAAAGCATTTAAAGCAAATCTGACATGAAGTAAAATTGTTTATCAGGTCAAGATCTATCTGCCCTGAAATTTTCAGATGAATCGGACAACCCGTTGTTGGGTTGCTGCCCCTGAATTGGTAATTTTAAGGTAATTTTGCTGTTTTTGGTTATTATCTTGAATATTATTATAGATAGAGATAAACTGTAAACAGCAATAATGTTCAGCAAAGTAAGATTTACAAATAAGTCAATATAACCGAAATGGTCAGTTGACCCCTTTAGGAGTTATTGCCCTTTATAGTCAATTTTTAACCATTTTTTCGTAAATCTTAGTAATCTTTTACAAAAATCTTCTCCTCTGAAACTACTGGGCCAAGTTAATTATAGATAGAGATAATTGTAAGCAGGAAAAATGTTCAGTAAATTAAGATGTACAAACACATCACCATCACCAAAACACAATTTTGTCATGAATCCATCTGCATCCTTTGTTTAATATTCACATAGACCAAGGTGAGCGACACAGGCTCTTTAGAGCCTCTAGTTTTATGTTGTAAGCATGGTAAGTTTGTTCAATGTTTGTATGACAGTGTGTAGTATTGTTATTCATTCTTCAAAAACATTTCTATTTTACAGACAGTACAGTTTGTACAGAATATTTTCGTAGAGAAATATGACCCCACAATAGAAGACAGTTACAGGAAGGTATGTGTTGCTTCTTTTTCATAGTAAAACATGTATATTCACAATAAGTGATAACCTTATTTTCTTACATCTGACATCATTCCCAAAATAATCTGTCACAAATGCTAAAATTGTGAAGATTTCAGTGATTTTGCATGAATTTATAATGCTGGTACCTGATGCATGTCCATTTTATTGTCAAAAACAGCCCATATTTATGTAACAAAAGTATTCAACTTTCCAATAAATAGCTAAAAGTTTACATTTTTAGCAAATTTGTAAAAATGCTATATTTTGGGGCTGAAAAGGTGTCTTACTGGGCCTACTCCTTTAAAACCAGATTTTCAATACTAAGTTACTTGATGGATGAATATTGTTGTGCTTTATGAAATTGTCAATAATATTTATTTTATAGCAAGTAGAAGTGGATGGCCAACAATGTATGTTAGAAATTTTAGACACAGCCGGAACAGTAAGTATACATAATAAGTAACTTACAAATGTATAACATGTTTCCTGTGTGTTCGTTTGTTGTTTGTGTAATTGCTTACAGAAGATTGAATACTAACTGAAAGTTTAAAATAAAAAAAGTTTCTAATGTACATGTATTCACCTAAAACAATATAAATGTTTATACTCTAAAAGTGAATGATCTATCTTGGTAAATCAGAAAAACTGAATGCAAACCCGAGTGATGAGTAAGACAGCTAACTAAAAGAAATGCCAACTTTTAAAATAAACAATTATTCAGACCAGGATTGATACTCAACTAATATTTAATTTTATTTCATCTGTAAAAAAGATCATAGTATGGTATTACTTTTCTGACAGCAACATTGAAAATTGCATATGTTCTCTGCCTTTTCTAGCTTATGCTGTCGGTTTGAATTTTTTAGGTTAAAAGTCTCTTCCACAGCAGTTATAGAAAATCTACACAATAGGTTGAAATTAAAAATGTTCATATGTGAATGTAAGAGTACCAAACAAGCATTATTTTGCTTTGGCTTATATGCCAGTTCAAATAATTAAATGTTGCAGAGCCAGAAGGCAAAACATTTCAGATGTACATTTTATGTTAGTACTGTAATAGCTGACTTTTGTGCTTCAAATAAAACTCAAGTCGCTTTGCTAGGGTTCAGGATATTTATTTATCAGTAACGTAAATCACCCAACTTGTGGAGCAAGGTAGTTACTGCTGTGGCACAAACCATTTCAAATGTACATACTGGTATATCACACAGTGATATCTATATATCAGCTTACAAATTGTCAAAATGTCAAGTCTGTCATTTCAATACAATTCTGACTGTTCAATATAAATTCTCAGTAACTTCAATGGCTACTGGACATAAACATCTGTCCATTTCGAATCCATTAGTCCTTCTAACTCAAACAAAGAAACTCACTACTTAGCGCTAAAACTTCAAACCAACCAATCAGATTACTTGAAATCCAAATAATAAATTTGCATTAAACATTTCTTTAACAGAAATGAATAAAAGGAGATATGGTCACCAACAAATAAAAAACCAAAAAGTCTAAAAGGGCGACATGAATCTTCAACAACAGACAGATTTAAACACAATGAATCAAGGTCCAAGTATTTGCAAGTCTATAAAATTGTTATTGAGTTAAATAAAAACATTTCGAGATATGAGCAACCAATAAATAAGAGTTGGGACATTGATTTGCAGATTTTGTTTAGAATACTGTACATGATTTGGTAAAATGATTGAAAATTCACATTATTTTCATTTTTATAGGAACAATTCACAGCAATGAGAGATCTATATATGAAAAATGGACAAGGCTTTTTATTAGTATACTCTATAACAGCACAGTCAACATTCAATGATCTTCAAGATTTAAGGGAACAGATTCTTAGAGTTAAAGACACAGACGATGTATGTATATAGGGTTTTAAGGTTTAAGTAGTGATATTGATATAAAACAAATAACAATTTCAACACTAAACCATTATGGAAAACATCTTCTTCATTTGATAATGAAAGGTGGGAGAAATAGCATTTTTAGATAAACATGGTTTAACAAGCATAACTAACCTTATTAAACTTCTTCGTATAACAAACTTATATGATTAGAAGTAGAATTTTAAGTCATACCAGATATACATATTGAAGTAGTCCCTATCTGTGGACTATATTTTATTATGTATACAAAATTGGATTTTACTTTGAAAATTACACAATACAATATAAAAATTAATTAGGGCCTCGCCGAATGGCGTGTTGCCCTATAGTGATCTGTCTGTCCGTCCGTAACAAATTGTGTCCGCTCTATATCTAGAGAACCGTTATGATTACAAAGTTTATACTTGACAAGTATATTAACCAACACCAGAGGGTATGCCTTAATGTTTGTACAACTTTCTAGGTCAAAGGTCAAGGTCAAAAACTTTGGTTTCAGTTGACAACCCCATGTCCTATGGTAAAGATTCCGCTCTATATCTTGAGAACCGTTATGATTTCAAAGTTTATACTTGACATGTATATTCACCAACACCAGAGGGTGTGTCATAATGTATGTACAACTTCCTAGGTCAAAGGTCAAGGTCAAAAACTTTGGTTTCAGTTGACAACCCCATGTCCTATGGTAAAGATTGTGTCCGCTCTATATCTTGAGAACCGTTATGATTTCAAAGTTTATACTTGACATGTATATTAACCACCACTAGAGGGTGTGTCATAATGTATGTACAACTTCCTAGGTCAAAGGTCAAGATAAAAAACTTTGGTTTCAGTAACCCCATGTCCTATGGTAAAGATACACATTTTTTACCACACATTATTCACAGCGGGACCCACAGAGATGGCTCCCATCTCAATGATATCTAGTTGAAATATATTTAGTTATACATTTAATTTTATGAGGTTCATTTATGTATGCCAAGTTATGTTAAGTGGATGATACTTAAATATATATTTTATTTAAAAAAATTCAGAAATTTGAAGAAAAAAATAAACTCATTTCTGTAATTATTTGACCGCTACAAACTACATGTACATTTAACAATTAAATACAGTAAATTTAAGCTTATGAACCAATTTTTTTATCATTGTGGGAAAAAATATGATGTGATTTATGACTCATTAATTGAAACTCCCATTTTAAATTCTGACATTATTTGTAGACAGCTTATATTATCCAATTATCATATTGATTCATTTCATGGTTTTGTTCAACCATCATTGAAACATGTTCATAATTATGTTTGAATATCTTTTAAGTTTGGTTTAATTTTGTGTTCTATTTTTTTTTTATCATAATTGTGAAGTTTTTAAACAATTATCTGCAGGTACCAATGATTCTAGTAGGAAACAAATGTGACTTAGAAGATGAAAGGATAGTCAGCAAAGAACAAGGAATGAATTTGGCTAGACATTTTAACAATTGTGAATTTTTAGAAACATCAGCAAAAGCAAAAATAAATGTTAATGAAGTAAGTATATGATTAGCTTGGTAAATAAAATGCATTAAGACTGTTCAATCTAAACATACTAGGCACCAATTTATATGATGGATACATGTCTCCTTATGTTACAAAAAAAGGTGATCTTTTGATCAGCTGTTATTTGGTGGTTGTGCTTCATTGTATGAGTGGTCCTGAACATACATGTAAAATTTGCCACTGGACATAAAGAAACTTGCTATCGATTAATTATTGTGTGGGATAGGAATGTCTATGGCATTTTGATAAACAAGATAAAAGAATACACTGTCATCATTTTCCTAGGGTACAGTTTAAATACTTTAAAAATTGTTTAAATTTGTAACTTGACTATATCCTTTATTTAATTGGTTGATTATAAAGTTCAATGTTTGTTTAATAGTATGTCCGCTATTGGTATCCCACAAGTGTTTTGACATATTCTGTTGCATTCAAGAACAAAAACTCTTTGTAAACAGTTTCAGTACTAATTTAGTAAGAAGATTTCTGATATAGATGATATTTAATAGTCCCCTACCGACGAAGTCTAAGGGGACTTTAGGTTTGCACTCCGTCTGTCTGTCCAGCTGTCAGTCCGGCAAATCAGTTTTCAAGACTTTTTTTCTTCGAGCTTGAAGATATTGATTTGATATTTGGTTGATTGATTTATCATGACAAGTTACAGGTCAAGTTCAATTTTCACGATTTTAGCTTTTCTCTTTTTATACCCCACGCAACGAGTTGCGGAGGGTATAATGTTTTTGACCCGTCCGTCTGTCAGTCCGTCAGTCCTATTTCTTGTCATCGCAACTCCTCTCAAACCACACAACAGAATTTCATGAAACCTTTTCAGATAATAAGGACATACTACGTAGATGTGCATATCGACAGGAAATTACGATTCATTTTTTTTCCCAGGAGTTACGCCCCTTTGAACTTATTTGCCCAATATACTACTGCAACCTTTTGTCATCCCAACTCCTCTCAAACCACACAACAGAATTTCATGAAACCTTTTCAGATAATAAGGACATACTACGTAGATGTGCATATCGACAGGAAATTAAGATTCAATTTTTTTTCCAGGAGTTACGCCCCTTTGAACTTATTTGCTTTAATGTACTACTGCAACAGTTTGTCATCGCAACTCCTCTGAAACCACACAACAGAATTTCATGCAACCTTTGTAGATAATAAGGACATACTATGTAGTTGTGCATATCGACAGAAATTATGATTCATTTTTTATACGACCGCAAAAAAATTTTTGTGGTCGTATATTGGTATGACGTTGGCGGCGTCGTCATCTGGTGTCGTCCGGCGTCGTCTGAAGACACATTGGTTTTCGCACTCTAACTTTAGTTTAAGTGAATGGATCTCTATGAAATTTTACCACAAGGTTCAATACCACAATAGGAAGGTGGGGATTGATTTTGGGGGTTATGATACCAACAGTTAAGGAATTAGGGGCCAAAAAGGGGCCGAAAATAAGCATTTTTGTAACTTCCAGACATAACTTGTGTGTTAGCATATGGATCTCTTTGACATTGTACCACAAGATTCCATATCACAAAGGGTCAATGCTGGGATTGATTTTGGGGTTAATTGCCTCAAAATTTTAGGAATAAGGGGCCAAAAGGGGGCAAAAAACAAGCATTTTTCTAGTTTCATGACAATAACTTGTGTGTAAGTGTATGGATCTTTCTGAAATTTTACTACAAGGTTCCATTTCACAAAGGGAAAGCTGGAATTGAGTGTTGTGGTAATTGCCCAAAACGTTTAGTAATAAGGGGCCTAAAAAGGGGTTTAAAATAAGCATTTTTTAGTTTCTAGACAATAACTTGTGTTCAAGTGTATGGATCTCTCTAAAATTGTATTACAAGGTACCATACCACAAAGGCAAGGCTGTTATTGAGCTTGGTTTGGGGGGAAAGGGGGGTGGGGTGATGAATCATAAGGGGGGCGGGGGTCAAAAAAGGGGTAATTTTTTTTTTCCTTTTTTTTTTGTTTAAAATTTACATTTTAAGTTAGTTATTTTTTATCACGAAGAGAAAGTAGGAATTGAGTTTTGGGGTTAATTGCTCAAACATTTATGAATAAGGGGCCAAATATTGGTCAAAAATAAGGATTTTTTTAGTTTGCAACAAAAACTTGTGTTCAAGTGTATGGATCTCTGTGAAATTGTATTGCAATGTACCATACCACAAATTGAAGGTTGTGATTGAGGTGGGGGATGATGAATCAAAAGGGGGTTGAAAAAATGTGTGGGAGGTAGGATTTTATTTTTTCCTTTTTTTTTCTTTAAAATTTTCCATTTAAAGATGGTTGTTTCAGATTTATATATGAAAGAAAATAATAATGATACGGTTATATATCATGAGGAATTGAAATTTAAAATTATGTATATTGGAAATTTAAGTTACATTGGAAAGTAATAATTGGCTTTTGGGGGGGGGGGGGGGTTATGGCTCTAATGTTTAAGGAATAAGGGGAAAAAAGGTTAAAAAACAAGGGTTTCCATTTTAATAGACAAATAATTGAGTAAAGAACATTATTTAAAAGCAGTGTAAGGTTGGTAATTCAAACTCATTTAAATATCTCATCTACACTGCTTTTAAATTATGTAAATTGGAAATTTGCCAATAACTTTATTGTTAATAAATGCATTGGAAATTTGCCAACAATTTTAGTGTAATAAACTTCATTGGAAATTTGCCAATATAAAATTTTGCTGATGAAGGTTTTTTGTTTACCTTTAGCCTTGACTATGAAGTCATTTTCTATTTTTATAGCCTTATGATGTAGTTGAATTATTTAATACTTTTATGATGTGTTTAAATGGGGTTTTATCATGTTTATGGTTGCAAATTTATTGTTTTAGTATAATAAACTCCATTTAAAATTTGCCAATAAAAAAAATTTTTGTTTATTTTTAGCTATGATTATGATGTCATTTTCTATTTTACTTTTATGGTTGCAAAGAAATTTTTATTTTTAGATATTACTGTTAAATGATGCTGATTAAGGTTTTTGCTATGTTTAGCCATGACTATGATGTCATTTTCTATTTTAATATCTGTTATGATGTATTTAAATGGGCTTTTATGGTTACAAAGGAATTTTATTTTTAGATAGTACTTTAAATGTTGCTGATTAAGGATTTTTGTTTATTTTTAGCCATGACTATGATGTCACTTTCTATTTTAATACCTTTATGATGTATTTAAATGGGCTCCCATGTATTTAGATTTTTGATTATTTATACATGTTACCAAATTGGTCCACATTGAACAAAAACGGTCCAAATTTCAACTTTATTACATTACATCAAACATTGAATTCTACATATTCTTTGATATATTGAAATTAACAAACAATTTAGTTTATGGATATTCCACCATAATAGGTAAATTAAATTTTTTCCAGTTCTTACACCACATTCATCCTGTGTCAGAAACCTATGCTGTGTCAAATATTTAATGACAATCCAAAGTCATAGCTGTATCAAGCTTGAATTTTGTGTCCATACTTGCCCCAACTGTTCAGGGTTCGACCTCTGCGGTCGTATCAAGCTGCGCCCCAGCGAAGCATTTTATTGGATTTTGGGCCCCGTTTTTAAATTGGTCAACATTGAGGTCCAAAGGGTCCAAAATTAAACTTTGTTTGATTTCATCAAAAATTGAATTATTGGGGTTCTTTGATATGCCGAATCAACCGTGTATTTAGATTCTTAATTTTTGGTTCCGTTTTCAAATTGGTCTACATTAAGGTCCAAAGGGTCCAAAATTAAACTTAGTTTGATTTTAACAAAAATTGAATTCTTAGGGCTCTTTGATATGCTGAATCTAAACATGTATTTAGATTTTTGATTATGGGCCCAGTTTTCAAGTTGGTCCAAATCGGGGTCCAAAATTAAACTTTGTTTGATATCAACAAAAATTGAATATATGGGGTTCTTTGATATGCTGAATCTTACCATGTATTTAGATTTTTGATTTTTGGGCCCCGTTATCAACTTTGTCCACATTGAGGTCAAAAGGGTCCAAAATTAAACTTTGTTTGATTTCATCAAAAATTGAATTCTTGGGGTTCTTTGATATGCTGAATCTAACCATGTATTTAGATTTTGGATATTGGACCATAATAGGTGAATGTCCAATTTAAAATTTTTAAGTTCTTAGACCACATTCATTCTGTGTCAGAAACCTATGCTGTGTCAAATATTTAATCACAATCCAAATGCAAAGCTGTATCAAGCTTGAATGTTGTGTCCATACTTGCCCCAACTGTTCAGGGTTTGACCTCTGCGGTCGTATCAAGCTGCGCCCTGCGGAGCATTTTATTTACTATTAGTGTTGCGCCCCTTTGAACTTATTTGCTTCAATGTACTTTTGCAACAGTTTGTCATCACAACTCCTCTGAAACCACACAACAGAATTTCATGAAACTTTGTAGATAATAAGGACATACTATGTAGATTTGCATATTGACAGGAAATTATGATTCATTTTTTTTTTCTTATACAATTTTTTTTTCTTACACTTATTTTATTTCTCCAATGACAATGTGGGGTATGTGAGCGCGCTCACTAAGGTTCTTTAATTTCAGTTAAAGCCCTTTCCCTAGAATTAAATTTTTGATGAAATACTTATTAATTAGTAGATTTCTATTCAAAGGGAAATTACATCATTTTTTAAAAGACAAAATGACATTTTGGATTTTTTTCCTTTTCTTTGTTAAATTTGAAGAATTTAGTGGTAGGTTTGTTTGTCATTCTTGAAGATATTGATTTGATAATTAGTATATAGTTTTATCATGACAAGTTACAGATCAAGTTGGAATTTTGTTCCAGTCTGATAATTTTGTGCAGAGTTATGGTCTCTGGACATAGAAAATTCCCTTAAATAATCAGTTTTCAACAGTTTTTTTCGTCGTGCTTGAAGATTTTGACTCGATATTTTATGTAGTTTACACCATGACAAGTTATAGATCAAGTTAGAATTTCATTCCATTACAATGAATTTGTAACCGTAGGGGACTATGTATTGTCATGCAATACTCACAGAATGCTTGTTAAAACAATATTCAACACAAAAAAATAATACATTCTTAATTGGACTTGACATTATGTAAGGTTAAGATCTCTAGTTAAAGCCATTCTGTTTTAACATTCATGGTTTTCATCGAAAACAGTTTGAATATAGGATGAACAACTGATTAACAAAACATTATAATTGAAAAAGAATTGATTTCAAGATAAAGTTTTTTTTTTCTTTTCCTTAATAGATATTTTGCAACCTTGTGAGACAAATCAACAGAAAGAATCCAGAAAAAAGACCAGGTGGAAAATCAGGAAGCAAATCTAAATGTACTTTATTATAATGGTAGGTTAAATAACATCAAGAGTATTTGTCTTTACTGGTCAACATAGATGGTGTATTTCTGGAATCAGAGTTTCTAGTTATGTCAATTATACAGAAACTCATTATCATAAGTTAAAGATATTTGGTATGCAGCTTATGTAGTATAACTCATTTCCTTGTATTTTTTTTAACTTTTCAACTCATGGTCCATTTCCTTTTAAATTTATATTAGTCTGTGACTTATAGTATGCATTTGCATCAGCATCATTACATTTCATTCCCCTGGAGATATCATAAATTGACATGCTAATGACTAAATTTCCAATCTTAGTAATTATACTCCCACTTCTACTGAGGGCTCTCACCTTGTCTGTTAGTTCCTTCATCCAACAAATATTTTTGTCACACGTTTCTCCGGAACTACTGAATAGAAATACTTCATATTTGGTCATCAGCTTGTTAATGATGAGTTGTAACAGTCATGTGAGCACTTTTTGGATCTGTCAAATACCAACTTACTGTTTGCTGATACTTTGAAGTTTTCAATATGTTGAATGAACTAATTATTTCCGCCACACATTTCTCCAATACTACTGAACAAAATGATTTTCATATCTGGTTTGCAGTTTGACAGGTATGAGTTGTAACTTGTGAGCGCTTTTCAGATCTGTTAAACAACTTCTTCCTGTTTTGTAAATTATTTGAATTAGAAGTGGCTGAGTGCTCAGCACAACAACACATGTAGCTTCTTGTTCTCCATACATTGTAGGGCATAACTGGCAAATATTTCTGTTTCTTATCCCCCATATATACAGCTGCAGACAAAATACAAAATAAAAACAGAAATATTAACACATGTATAATGTTTTTGTTTTGAATGGAAGGCTGTTACACTATTCATACTTACTCCATCAAGTATTTTATATAAACAAAAATAGAAGTAACATATAGACCTAATGGGTAACTTTTTTGATTATTGGCCCAAAATTATGATATTCATAGTCAGAGTTTGAATATATCATACATTAACAAACATCCAGAAAAAAATGTTTAATTTGCAAAAATGAATTTTTAAGAATTATTTTCTGAAGATTTATAGAAGTCAAACAGACTATAGTCTGCAGTTAAAATTTTTAAAACATTTATTTGATTCATAAACCATCCTGGATTCGTACCAAACTTGAACAGAAGCTTCTTACAATCAAAAGATAGTATCTAGAGGAAAATTTTTGATTATTATTTCCCCATTTTTGTTGAGCCTGAGACTAACAGCAAAAGTAGGCGAGACACTGGGTTCCGCGGAACCTTTACAAATTTTTTTAGTAGATTTCTCTTTAATTTCATCAGCTGGTATATAATGTGATTATTATTGTTTGGTCTGACACTGTTTAGCATAAGGGTAACTTCTGTTGAGTTAAAGGGGCATTATATTAGCGGTCAAATTCATTTTCATTGATTTGACTCAAATTCTCATATTTGATTTATAATATACTTAAACGAATATAAAAATTACAAAAAGTCTAAAATAAACAATTAACAATGCATGGACTCGATAATATGTATCAACATTTCGTGTCTATTTTTGTCTAGACGTCATCTAATCAACCATCGAGATGACCTCCGAAGACTGCTGACAGTCATATAACCCAGTATAAACATAAATATAATCATAAACTGATAGCAACCACGTGCAATTGGATTGTTCTAGGTCTGTTTGATTTCATATTGTAGGTTAAAAAGTATGTTAATCATTGTTTTTACCTGTGTTAGAATGATTTTTTGTGTGGATCTAATCAGTCAACCAGATGATTCATTCTTGTATCACTTTCAATGTTGACATTTTTTTCCTTTTAATAGCTGAATACATGCGTAAACCATCTCCAGCTAAGGGTTAAAATTTAAGGTCACATGAATACAGATTCAAAGGGGGTGGAATTATTCACTTGCAAGTGAATAATTCATCAGCAATGTTATTTATCTTATTTTGACAAAATTGAACTAAATTGGCTGCTGAAAGCAAAATAGTATTTCACTATATCACTTACATTAATGATTGAACAAAACAAAAAATCATTTTGAGAATTAGAGAGGCACATCATCCTTGGAAGTCTCACACAATTAAATATTAAACTAGTTAGATCCCTCTTTTAATTATTTCCATTAACAGTCATTCTAAACCATTGAAATAGTCTGGTTTTTGTCAGAAAGGTCGATAGTTTGATATTCCTGAACTTTTCAACTATACCTAATATTGTCATTAACTATATCTTTTCAGGTTTACCACTTTATATGTTAAACATTAAAGGACAGAAATAGAAAAAGAATAGTTAATGGATAGCCAGAACTAGTCCAGAAGATTAAAGAAAATGTGTCTTGCTGGTTTAATTTTTTTTTTTATCTATATATGTAATTTTAAAATACTTGGTTTTCTATTTTAAAATTTTCGTGTGAAGATCTGATAAAACTATTAGTGAAAAAAAATTCAGACAGCTGCATTGGTGAAAACTATTAACTATAATTTGCATCTTCATTAGGCCAATTATATTCAAATGTACATCATTTTTTGCTAGCTAATTTTATAAAATAATTCATTGTTTATATTCATGTTAACTGACAAAGGATGCCAAGTTAGTGTACAGTATTATAAAGGGTAGATGTCCTGTTTATAGGAATAGGTACATGCTTAATATAACGATGGTGCATTTAATCTTGTTTGTTTATACGAGACATAAGCTAGTGCTTCTTGAGATCAAATTCAGTTAACAATTTTATTCTTCCTAGAATAAAATTGATTGCTTTCAAATAATGCTCACCAGGTGAGGAGACTTTAAAATCAGACATTGTGAATTTGAATTGAGACAGTTTTGTAGAGAAGTTGGATAAATTTTGTTGAAATTGTTCTGTTGAGAAGATTAACAAGTTTAAATGAAATAATCAAATTTTCTGTGAAAGTGTCTTATTTTTTTTTTTAGTGCATGTTAAGTTAAATGCATTTAAGCTTGTAGATATTGCCTATGGCATACTTCAATTTGTTTTATTATTAAATTTTATTTTATTAAGAAAAAGCATTAAATTTATATGAAATGTGAATGAAATATGCATGAAAAAGCATATAGAGCTTTTTTTATTTTATTGATTTGTCAAAACCTACAGAAATTTTAAATCATAATTCTGCTTATGCATCTTAAAATCTTGCATGAATGAAAAAAAATAAATTCCTTACAAAATCAAAAGGAAATTTCTTTTTTTTTTTTGCTTAATGTGGTTATATATAGCTTTAATACATTTATCCTCTTCTCAATTACTGTTTCTAGGGCCTTTTATTTTCATTTTCAAGGAGTCATTTTTTGAACATCGTTTGTCACCTCTTAAACAAGCATAAAACTTGATGACTTTGTGTGGCATTACGCTTAGTTGAGATCTTATTTTATGTAGGAACATTTATGGGTTTATACTTATCTGCAATAAATTTACAACAGTCATTATAAAGTTTGCTTTCATTATTTGTTGTTTCAATTTATGTTTGTATGTTTTATAAGTAAAAGCACAGCCAAATAGTATGTTTGACATTGTTTGTCAAATTACATTTATGAATTACATTTATGAATACTTGCACAAATGTTATCCTCAGTTCAAATACATTTCATTAATTTCTTTTTAACAATTAATCTTTTTGAAATATATTAGTGCAATTTCTAAATGTGCTTCAATGTCTGAAAAACTGAGAGTAACTTATGCTTCACAGATTTTCACGATTTATCATATAATTATAATCAATGATTGTATAAATTGGAATGTGGCTTATTTATACTGGGAATGGCTTGTATTTTATATACATTTTGTAGTATTGTGATACTGAGTTTGGGAATAAAATAGTTTTGTAGTACTGATGTTATCTCCCCTTAGTTTCTATTGTTAGTTAAAATTAATTGGCCATATACATATTATAATAATACACAAATGATTAAATGTATCTTTTTCATTTACATATTTCTCTGCATATTTCTTTTTATAAATCTTGAAGTAACATTATGCCTTTTTATGTATTTCATGTCTTTCAAATGACAAATTAATTAAATAATTACAAAAGGCAATACACACATATACATTCACTGTCATTACCCATATTACTTTGTAACATCTTAATTACATATGTGAACATACATATGATGTCAGTTATAAATGTGGACAGAAGTGAACTAATATGGTTAATACAGCTTATTACATTGAATGTACAATGATATATCTCATTATTATAAGTTTATGTTGTGGACTATTTGACCTAAAATTAGATAGAGATGGTTCATATTTCATAAAAAGCAAGGTACTTATGGCCAGTTAATAAATGATGTTGTTTCAATTCATTACTGTACTGTGATACACAATAGGAGAAGGCCTTTTACTGAACTTAGTTTGTCTTTCAATGTGCATTCTTTATTTAAAGATTGAAGATAAATAATATTAACTATTTAATTGGAATACTTGTCCATGTTTTAACATTATTTTATTCATGCAAATGAACAGATGGAGGTTAGAAAATAGACATTTAATTGTTTCAAATTCATACACAACAAATCCTATATACCATCTCACAACTGTTCAGATCTTGCTTGGTAAAAATATTTAAAAATACTGTGTGATAAAATTTTCAACAGATAAATCATGTATTTTATCTATAAAAATTTACCAATTCAAAGTCTACATTTAATATGTCTTTTTGTTTTAGAAACCTTTAAAAATATTTAAGTGGTGAATTATTATTTTGGTAATTTTGATTGCATATCTGGGGCCATATGTTAATTTTATGTTATTTAGCAGACAATCCTTTGCTTGTTTGCTTTATGTAGAAAAAATTGAAGTTGATTAAATACTCAAATTTGTTTTCTGTTAGTATTTATGTCATTGATGCTAGGTTTTTCCTAATTACGTGTGAATAAATGCAATGCACACAAAGTTTTGTCATATTTTAGATGTACTTGCATGAATATAATACATACCTTCATCTCAATAAAAATTTGAAAAGACACTGTATTAATTTAACAAGATTATTGATATTTTAATGGTGTATTTTAGAGTTGGGGCTACATTTGTTAACCATATTTCAGAAGTTTATTAATTTGGTGATGTACGGCGGGCTGGCATCTGGGTTGGTGGCTGCCAAACAGAGTCCGTTCAATAACTGGAAAACACTTTGACAAAATCTTTTCAAATTTATATATGTTGTTTCCTGTGACTGAATGAAGGTCAAGTCCTTTAAGTAGCAAAAAGTGATACTTAGTGTGTTGTCTCTGCAATAATTTGATAATACTTTGATGAAATCTTTTCAAATATAGATATGTTCTTCCCTGTAACTAAAAGAAGGTCAATTTTGATTTTCACGTTTTAAGCTTTTATAGTTGTAGTGTTGTAGACCTTAAGTAGCGAAAAGTGATACTTAGATTGATTTTGGCCTTTCCTTTGCTGAGCCCTACAAAAAATCATTTATTTGTTTTACTTGATGTTTGGGGGTCCAGATTTGCAAATATCATTTTCATGCTGGAAAATCCAGTTTGCTAATCTGATAGCCTCCTGTTTTCATGTCATTTTAAGTCTTTTAATATTTTTTTAACCAAAGAGGTCATGGTTTCATCCCAATTCCAGTTTCAAAATGATAAAATGCTTCTTTTTTCAAGTTCAACTTTTTTTTGAGACTGGGTACTGAACCTTAAAATTGATAATAGTTTTATTATGGAGATTTTTTTATTTACTAATAATGTCATTTCAAAGAATATGAGGATAATATTGAACTACCTTTAGCAGACACCTCAGAATCAATATCAGATGTGTGAGAGAAAGTGGATCATGTGATTCTACATATAGAGTAATTGAGATGTGGGGTAGATCTCATCAAGACAGAAACCCTACAATTCAAAAACCATTTAAAGGTCAATATTTTGTCTTTAATATACGAATGTCTTTGCCATGTCAAGCCTATGGACACTTAAAGATTATTATTCTCCTACCGACGAAGTCGAAGGGGACTTTAGGTTTGCACTCCATCCGTCTGTCCATCCGTCAGTCCGGCAAATCAGCTTTTCACACTTTTTTTCTTCGTTCTTGAAGATATTGATTTGATATTTGGTATATCGTTTTATCATGACAAGTTATAGATCAAGTTCGAATTTTGTTCCGGTCTGATGATTTAGTCCAGAGTTATCATGGTCCATATTTAATGTTACTACATTTTGTATGATAAACCATATTTCTGTACAAAGAGAGATAACTCATTTTTTTAAAGACATTCTTTGGTTAATTGTTTGAAGTGTTTTTTATTTTGTATAAACTAATTTTCTGAATGCTATATACATAAAAAAAATTGATGAAGTGAAATCTTTTAATTAGATAATAATCTATTTTTATTAAGGTATATATTTCATTACATTACATTGTGTATAGATAAAAGTTGTTGACATTTTATAGATAAGTTACAAATCTATATTAGTTTGTGACAAATGAAAGAAAAAATATTTGGAACTATTAATTATATTTGATTATAACTTGAAAATAAATATACATTGTATTACATCATATCTAATTTTAGAGAACTATTAATCACATCATGCATGAAGATATTGATTGATAATTGGTATATAGTTTTATCATGAAAAGTTACAGATCAAGTTCAAATTTTTGTATCGGTCGGATAATTTTGTGCAGAGTTATGGTCCTTGGACTTGAAAAATTCACTCATATAATCAGTTTTCCACACTGTTTTTAGTCATGCTTGAAGATATTGACTTGATATTTTCTTTTTGTTTACACCATGACAAGTTATAGAACAAGTTAGCATTTTGTTCCAGTATAATGAATTTTTACCCGGTAGGGGACTATGTATTGCCATGCAATACTCTCAGAATGCTTGTTATTATAATCATGTAAGATTGATTGGAAACTTGCCTTGGTTGACCATATTTTCTTGGGGTAACAATCTGCTCTTTTTATCCCTCAGCTACTGTGAAAGTACTAATATTCATGGGATATCAATTTTCGTGCTTTTTATGGTGGATTTATCCACAAATTTAAGTGTTCAACAAACTATAACAACTGATGTCCAAATCAAGACCAGGAATGATCCAGATGCAGGTAGGACTACAAGGATACCGGCATATAATCTAGAGAATACATATCAGCAAACACACTATGAACTGTTATATACAACAACTGACAGGATTTTTATTCCCAGTTAAACTTTAAAAAAAACCTAAATGTACGACTCAACCTTTTAATTCTCATGAAAAACTAGTTTTGATTGATGAAAGTCAGACTTCCGGTGATGATATGTGATGATGAAGTTCATTTTATCTCCTAATAATTCTCATATGAAAAAAAATATTATTTCATTTTGGGCTTGCGTTTATATTTCATAAGAATTTATTCTACAATTCAAAGTTCATATGTATCATTTTTGTCGAGCCTTCGACTTTAGTCGAAAAAGCGAGACATAGCAATCCTACATTCCGTCGGCGTCGTCGGCGGCGGCGGCGTCCACAAATATTCACTCTGTGGTTAAAAGTTTTTGAAATTTTAATAACTTTCTTAAACTACCTTGGATTTCTACCAAACTTGGACAGAAGCTTGTTTATGATCATAAGATAGTATCCAGAAGTAAATTTTGTAAAAATAAAAATCCATTTTTTCCGTATTTTACTTATAAATGGACTTAGTTTTTCTGCCGGGAAATATTACATTCACTGTGTGGTTAAAGTTTTTAAAATTTTAATAACTTTCTTAAACTATCCTGGGTTTGTACCAAACTTGGACAGAAGCTTGTTTATGATCATAAGATAGTATCCAGAAGGAAATTTTGTAAAATAATAAATCCATTTTTTCCGTATTTTACTTTTAAATGGACTTAGATTTTCTGCCAGGAAACAACACATTCACTCTGTGGTTAAAGTTTTTAAAATTTTAATAACTTTCTTATACTATTTTGGATTTGTACCAAACTTGGACAGAAGCTTGTTTATGATCAAAAGCTAGTATCTAGAAGGAAATTTTGTAAAATAATAAATCCATTTTTCCCGTATTTTACTTTTAAATGGACTTAGATTTCCTGTCAGGAAACAACACATTCACTCTGTGGTTAAAGTTTTTTAAATTTTAATAACTTTCTTATACTATTTTGGATTTGCACCAAACTTTAACAGAAGCTTGTTTATGATCAAATGCTAGTATCAAGAAGGGAATTTTGTTTTCTTCAAGTTAACATTACATTCAGTCTGCAGATAAAGTTTTTAAACATTTATTAGATTCATAAACTATCCTGGATTTTTACCAAACTTGGACAGAAAGTTCTTACAATCAAAAGATAGTATCAAGAGGAATATTTTATTGATTTACTTCCTCATTTTTGTTGAGCCTGCGATTAACAGAAAAAGTAGGCGAGACACTGGGTTCCGCGGAACCCTTACAAATTTTTTTATGTTACTGTTTTCTTTAAGTGACATGTTTATGGCCCAATTTACAACTTTGACGATTGTTAATCTGTTGATGATTCCATCTTGGGGGAAAGTTAGTGTCATCACTTTTGATTACACATGTGAAACAATTCAAATGTTTGCTTTGCATTTCCTTCAATCGAGACAATTTGTAAGCATACATTTTTTGTAGATGAATCAGCTTATTTACGAAAGCAATTATTTTATTCAAAATTTTATGAAACTTGTCAGTAATGAAAGATGAAAATGTAATTGAAAAGGAACACCTTATTTTGCAATGTCTCACAAATCATGCAAATCACTATAAAACAACATATGATATTTTTCAAGAATTCTTTGTTTCTGATTGTTTCAAATGCTTCTTTTGATTTTTTTCAGAAAACTAAAATCCGTAATTTTAGCTCAGACCACAAAAATTGATACCAATGAAAAAAAGTACTTTATTTATATACTGTTCTAGCATTTTCAGTGTAATAGTAATTTTGTAACTAATCAGGATTTTAAAAGTAACCACTGCAATGTGTTTGCTTGTCCTTATTTTTAGCAAAAACATGTACCAGTGTATATATGATATATGCTAGCTAGTGATTGAATTAATTTTCATTTTTTTCGCTGATTGAATTAAACCTTGAGGTAAACAAGCAAATCACTCGCACACAAAAAAATAATCTAAAATTAAATAAAGCATTCACAATTCAAAGAAACCATACATATTTGCTTACTGATAATAATCTTTTGGAAAAAACTTCACTTGATTGCTAAATAAGAAAAGTGAACCACTCAATTTGAATATACTTTCAAAAGTATTCAAGAAAAATGCTGTTTCAGTCAGGGACCTTAGTAATAAAAAAAATCATATTGGCAACCAGTGATGTTGCAGTCAGCTTGGCCCCATTGCCAGCAACACATTTTGTCAAGTGTTGAGTTTATCAGTTATGTGCCTCCTGATTTAGAAAATTAAACCTCCAGCAAACACATAAATTGATGTTGGTACATGAGGAATTTATTCATAGCAACACATAAAACTATATTTTACATAAAACAACACCTGTTGTCATTACTTAATATATAAGATGGAAATTCTGTTTCATTTTATATTTTTGTTCATTGTTTCTATTACCAGAATGTTTACTAGTGAACAATATCTGCTGTATATAGTAAACAGAAATTTCTTTTTATTAATAGTGCGAAAACAAGCTTTTTACTAGGTGCTCGATGTTAAGAAGAACTAATAATCATAAGCAACTTTACAGAGAATGTAAAAATGTTTAAAAGGTCAATTTCTCAGTGTTTGCAGGGAGGCATTTCTAAGCCACTAGATTTTCCACTAAGTTAGGTTTGATCTATTGACTTGTGTCAGATGGACACATACTCCTCCAAAATATTCTTTTACCTATGATTCATTGTTACGTAGGAAAATCCTGAAAACTTAACAAGATCAATGAAGTGTGGAATTACGGTCAATGTCGAATGACATGTCAGACAGCCATATACTCACAGGCACTAGTCTCAGAAAAAAAAATTCCTATATACCTGTTTTTTAAGGTATATATATAAAAAAAAAATTCTGAGACAAGTGCCTGTGCATATACTCCTAGCAAAATTTTGATGCAGGCAAGATTAAACCAGTATTTTATCATATAGTATGTGTTTCCTTCTGACAATAAGATGCGAAGATGCTAGTAGATTGGTAAATTAATCCATTGATATGAACCAATGATTAACACTTTTGAAAAGCAATAGCAAATTCAAAGGGAAGTGCAAATTAAAAACAACATCGAAAACAGACTGAATTATGTACATTAATTAAGACAATATGAACTAATGCAGAGGATGTTGTCAAAAATCTCAAAAAAATAAATGATTCCTAATATTCCATGAAAAATGCAGTTCAGTAGGATCTATGGGAAGCCATGTGCTAGTTGCTCTTATGTTTGCAATGTTAATCATCCCACTATGATTACAAAAAATCTGTTGTAGTCTTCCATTGATGTATAAGCTACTGATAGAAAAAAATATTGAATGCTCCTGGTTTCCATTTCTAGCTCACCTAGTCCACAGGGCCAAGTGAGTTTTTCTCATCACTTAGATCAGTCGTCCGTTGATGTTGTCTTGCATTCAAATCATATGTGCCCTTTTCAGCCATATCAGTTATATTGGTTGATAGACTTGGTCATCAGACACATTTTAAAACTAGATACTCTAATCAGTCTAATGATGATTGTGGACAAGTTTGGTTCCAATTGGCCCAGCAGTTTTAGAGGATGAGATTTTTGTAAAAGTTAATGGACGATGTCGACATGCTAAGTGAGAAAAGCTAAAAAGGTGAAAACAATAGCTCACTAAATACAGAATTAAATAGGGATGACTACAGTTCACTTAACAGAACAAAACTTGAACTGTCCACTAAGCTGGACTTATACTATTCCCCCATCCCTGAATGACATTTAAGTTTCTCGTGACTGAAATACGGGAATCAAAGAAGTTGGTAATATAATTTTCAGTGTTTTATTTGATGACGTCTCTGATGCATGTGATGCATGTACATCCTACATACATCTATATTTGCATCTCAGGTTCTAAAAATATACAAAGTTTCATATAGATATAAGAAGCATCATTGAGGGGAAGAAATTTTTCTAAGTTCAATGGACCATAACTCTAGAAAAACTCAATTTTCTGAAATATCTTGCCCACATGCACATCTGCACATTCATGATTATGATTTAACAATGTACCAATTTCCATGTAGATACCATAAACCATGAAGGAGAAGTTGTGATGACATAGTTGCCGGACAGGGTCAAAATATTCTAAGTTCGAAGGGACATCGCTAGGAAAAAATGGACTGGAGCACCCTAACCACATGCAAATATGTATATAAGGATTTAACAATATAACAAGTTTTGTGTAGATATGATAAAACATATTGGTGGAGTGGCAATGACAAGGACAGTACCAAAATTTGAAAGGGGCATAACTCTAAACTAGAGACTCTACAGAGCCTGTGTTGCTCATTTGCATCTTCAACAATTCCCATTTTTAGGTAAAAATACATTTGTATTCATTAAAGGATAATAACAATATTGAGAATTAACTGACAATTTCTGTAATGTTGACGTATTTGTAGATTTTAACCTCTAGATCATATTTCTTTTTTAAAGTTTTTAATTATCGTTTATAGTTTGCAAGATAATTGGCAAAACATGCAAAAAAATGGTAATGGCAGGGCAATAATTCCAATAAAGAGTCGACTGGCTTTTTAAAGTGTCTATCTATCCTTTATAATTTTAAACATAATGGGAAAAAATGAAAAAAATTGGGGGAAATTGTTCCTTGAGGGCCATTACTTCAATAAGGTGTCGATCAATGACTTCGGTCTTACTGATTTATTTGTAGATCTTGACTTGTTAATCATTTTTACTATTTGAAATTTCTATCGATCTATTAAAGTTTTCAAGATCATAGGCAAAAAAGCAAAAAAATTGGTAAAAAAAGTCATTATACGAGAATAACTTCAATAAGGAGTTGACTAATTATTGCAGTCATGTTGACTTAATTGTAGATTTTTAAATTCACCTTTGGGCCAGGCGAGCCAAAAAAAAAAACAATTCAAGGAACATACTACCCACATGCACATCTGCATATAAAGATCCAACAAAGAAATAAGTTTCATGTAGATACAATAAACCATATAGTCTGGTCTGAAAAGGGTCATAATTTCTAAGGTGAAAGGGGCATTACTCTTGGTAAACTTAACAAAATTAAAAATCTTTCACATGCTGCATATCATTTATTATTTATTCTAAAAAGTTTGAACTGAATCAAAGGATAAAGAAGTTTGTCTGGAGAGACAACCTGATTTCTATAAACCCATCCAAAATTTGAATAATAATTTAGAAATCTCTGAATACAAAGATTGTCAGAGGAGGGAGAATGCTTTAAAAATATTGTGCAACTTATGAACTTTATTTGACACAACTTTTTATTTTCTATATAATTTACATTCCATCTGAATAAAGTTTTGGAAGTATGTCATTTTTATGAGGAGCAGAATACACATGATGTATCTAATCTTTGTCATCCTATCCATGGACTTTCTCTGTTGACTTTCATCACAAATTCAATTTTTCTTTGCATGTCAGCATTGTAAATCCTCTTACATCTTTCATAACTTATACGTCTCCTCATTGTTGTTGGTTTTTCATAATATTTCTTTCTTCTCACTTGGTCAACGATTCCATCATTTCTCATAAATCTGAAAAAAAGTATTTAAGTATGTAAAACAGAGCCCTGCTTGGATCACACCATTCAGAGAGACAAAGACAATAGCCCTGTAATATCTTTAATTGATCACACCACCTCTTATTCCATGTATATCCTAACATAATCATAAATTAAAATTCAACTCTTATTGAATATAATTTTACTGTTTCATATTTAGGGATTATAGTTTTTTAAGACCTTGAAAATGTCATACATGTACCTTCAGAATCATGTGGTTTTCTTGAACACTTTATTATTGAAAGTTCTTGTATGTACCTTATATTGTTCCAGTGATCAAGATTATAAAGGAAAAGGAATAATCTAATCTAAAAGAAATTTATGTTTAATCTCCAACATACATGTATTCATGTAGCTGTTCAAAGTCTGGGGTTGTTGTTCATTATAATTTAATGTTTTTGTTATTGTGAAAGTTTGGTGTTATTAAAGAGCAGATCTTTGATAATCTCTGATCAAATTATTCACAACCTTTTTAGACTTCAGCCCATTCTGACCTTGACATATTGTATAGAAACCAGTCAATTATTGAAAACTATGTGCTCACCTCTAAATGTCTTTTTGGTTTATTTTGTCTCACTGATGTATATATAGGAACAGCAAAATTATGAACATTACCAATTCTATGCTTGAAGTATTTATTTTCAGTTAAAAAACTGTTCAACTGTTTTTATCTTTGGGTAGTTGTTGTTGCAGATATATTTAGTAGAAATGGCAAAGTCCATGTTCTCTTATGTGGATTCAGAATCAGTTTCCTCTTAAAATTACAAAAAAATACCATCAAAAACTGAGTTAAGGTTCATCATAACAAATGGACAAATATGGCCGTATTTTCACCTCAAAAACTACGCTGTGTACAGACTTACCTGAGCAGTTTGGAAAGTTTTAAGGCCTGGCATCCACTAGATATATGAAAGTTAAATGTATTTTGTATATCAGAAAGATAAAATCTTTTTTGGATTTTAATGCACATTTTTTTTCATTCCTGCAGAAGGTGTAAAAATAAACTAAGTTGGGATACAACTTTGAGATGCTCCCTCTCAGGTAACAACCGGTTTGTATTGTATTGATTGTCCTTGATTGGCATGGACAATAGATATCTACACATCTATAGGTGAGTTAAAGGTAGTAACTGAGTGGACAGTATCAAATGCAATTCAGGTGTTTGTTTATTTTTACACCTTCTGCAGGAAGGAAAAAATGCCCATCAAAATCCAAAAACGATTTAATCTTTCTGAATATATATATATATTTATTCAAGATAAAAAGGCATGAATTTGACAGATACAAAATATTACAAAGACACAGATATAGCACTAGATATAGTTTATAGACACTAAAATGATATACATGTTTACTAAAAATTTTAATTTAAGAAATAAACTAGAGGCTCTCAAGAGCCTGTGTCGCTCACCTGTATTTACTGATGCTTTGGAAATCATGTAAAATAAGGTTAAAATCATAATTAATAGTATTAGATATTAGATATTATAATGATATCTAAGATAATAACAATAAAATGCTTCGCTGGGCGCAGCTTGATACGACCGCAGAGGTTGAACCCTGAACAGTTGGGGCAAGTATGGACACAACATTCAAGCTTGATACAGCTCTGAATTTGGATTGTGATTAAATATTTGACACAGCATAGGTTTCTGACACAGAAAGAATGTGGTCTAAGAACTTGAATTTTTTTGATTTACCTATTATGGTCCAATGTCCAAAATCAAAATACATGGTTAGATTCAGCATATCAAAGAACCCCATATATTCAATTTTTATTGAAATCAAACAAAGTTTAATTTTGGACCCCAACTTGGACAAACTTGAAAACTGGGCCCATAATCAAAAATCTAAACACATGTTTAGATTCAGCATATCAAAGAACCCCAAGAATTCAATTTTTGTTAAAATCAAACTAAGTTTAATTTTGGACCCTTTGGACCTTAATGTAGACCAATTTAGAAAAACAGGACCCAAAATTAAAAATCTAAATACACGGTTAGATTTGGAATATCAAAGAACTCCAATAATTCAATTTTTGATGAAATCAAACAAAGTTTAATTTTGGACCCTTTTGACCTCAATATGAACCAATTTGATAGCGGGGCCCACAAATAAAAAATCTAAATACATGGTTAGATTCAGCATATCAAGGAACCCCATATATTCAATTTTTGTTGAAATCAAAAAAAGTTTAATTTTGGACCCCAACTTGGACCAACTTAAAAACTGGGCCCATAATTAAAAATCCAAACACATGTTTAGATTCAGCATATCAAAGAACCCCAAGAATTCAATTTTTGTTAAAATCAAACTAAGTTTAATTTTGGACCCTTTGGACCTTAATGTAGACCAATTTAAAAAACTGGACCCAAAATTAAAAATCTAAATACACGGTTAGATTTGTCATATCAAAGAACCCCAATAATTCAATTTTTGATGAAATCAAACAAAGTTTAATTTTGGACCCTTTTGACTTCAATATGAACCAATTTGATAGCGGGCCCACAAATAAAAAATCTAAATACATGGTTAGATTCAGCATATCAAAGAACCCCATATATTCAATTTTTGTTGAAATCAAACAAAGTTTAATTTTGGACCCCAATTTGGACCAACTTGAAAACTGGGCCAAAAATCTAAAATCTAAATACATGTTTAGATTCAGCATATCAAAGAACCCCAAGAATTCAATTTTTGTTAAAATCAAACTAAGTTTAATTTTGGACCCTTCGGACCTTAATGTAGACAAATTTAAAAAACAGGACCCAAAATTAAAAATCTAAATACACGGTTAGATTTGGAATATCAAAGAACCCCAATAATTCAATTTTTGATGAAATCAAACAAAGTTTAATTTTGGACCCTTTTGACCTCAATATGAACCAATTTGATAGCGGGGCCCACAAATAAAAAATCTAAATACATGGTTAGATTCAGCATATCAAAGAACCCCATATATTCAATTTTTGTTGAAATAAAACAAAGTTTAATTTTGGACCCCAATTTGGACCAACTTGAAAACTGGGCCAAAAATCAAAAATCTAAATACATGTTTAGATTCAGCATATCAAAGAACACAATAAATTCAATTTTTGTTAAAATCAAACAAAGTTTAATTTTGGACCCTTTGGACCTTAATGTAGACCAATTTGAAAACTGGACCCAAAATTAAAAATCTAAATACACGGTTAGATTCGGCATAACAAATAAATAAATGTGGTCAAAAATTTTAAAAATCTAATGTGCCATACTGTGCAATTAAAGATTACTTCTTGAAATTTTTCAATATTTGAAATTTGAAAAAAAAATAATATTTGAAGAATAATTCTTTTTAATTTCTGAAATCTGAAATGAGAAAAAATTGACCCCCCACAATTTCTTTTTACCCCCTCCCCCCTCCTTTTTTCCCCAAAAAAATTCTTTCCCTCAAGATATGGTCATAATCTCAATCAAATTTCCAATGGAGTTTGCAACCATAATTACCCATTTAAATTTACCATAGTGCTAACTTAATCTATTTTATAATAGAATTTAAAATATAGTGTCAAATCTTTCATATGGATTTTTTTGTAAAAAAAAAAGATGCAACATTTGCAGATATTTTTACTGGTCTTCCTTTATAAATATGCATTTCTTTAAACATAACTTAAAAGCTGTAAGGGAAGTAACCAAAACGTTGTATTTGGATTACCTCCCTTACACTGTTTTAAATTATCTTAATTGTTCATTAACCATTACTTTATTCATAATTTAAAAGCAATGTAAGGGAGATAATTTCAATGATGTATTTGATTTATCTCCCTTACACTGCTTTAAATTATGTTTTGTACTAAAGTATTTGTCCATTAACCAGGACAACCTTGTTTTTCCCCCTTTTTTGCCCCTAATTCCTTAACGGTTTGAGCCATAACCCCCCAAAGCAAATCCTAACCATCCCTTTGTGGTATGGAAACTTGTAGTATAATTTCAGAGAGATCCATACACCATTCCACAGTTATTGTCTGGAAACTAGAAAATGCTTATTTTTGGCCCCTTTGTGGCCCCTAATTCCTTAACTGTTGGAACCATAACCCCCAAAATCAATCCCCACCTTCCTTTTTTGGTATTGAACCTTATGGTAAAATTTCAAAGAGATCCATTCACTTAAACTAAAGTTAGAGTGCGAAAACCAATGTGTCTTCGGACGACATCGACGACGACAACGTCATACCAATATACGACCTTTTTTGCGGTCGTATAAAAAACTGCAAAATCTTTGTAAAATTACTAACTCAGGGGCAGCAACCCAACAACGGGTTGTCGGATTCGTCTGAATATTTCAGGGCAGATAAATCTAAATCTGATGAACATTTTTGCCACCTGTCAGATTTGCTCTAAATGCTTTAGTTTCAGAGATATAAACCAAAAACTGCATTTTACCCCTATGTTCTATTTTTAACCAAGTCGGACATGATGGTTGGAGGGCGGGGTCATCGGACAAATTTGTTTAACTAGATACCCTAATAATAATTATGGCCAAGTATGGTTAAATTTGTCTCAGTAGTTTCAGAGAAGAAGATTTTTGTAAAAGATTACAAAAATTTACAAAAAATTGTTAAAAATTTACTATTAAGGGCAATAACTCCTAAAGGGGTCAACTGACAATTTTGGTCATGACAATTTATTTGTAGATCTTACTTTGCTGAACATTATTGCTGTTTACAGTTTATCTCTATCTATAATAATATTCAAGATAATAACCAAAACAGGGGTTAAAAAATCCACTAGCCCGACGCCCGGGACTAGACTTTTACACTTCGAGCAATTAAAACTGGTAACCGAATATGCCCGACGGACTAGTAACAAACAATTCTTGGCATTTCCAAAATAGTAAGTGGAAAATCCCCTCATCACTATTCTATCTTAGCCAATCAGATTCAATTATGTACGTCATCCGGGATTCCAAGAATTTGAACCGATTTTGTACATGTTTTAAAAATAGAACAACTAACTCTGGGTGGACCGGTATCATGTATTGATCGCAATTCACGTACTTTCAATATCAATTTCTCAGTACAGGGGGTATTGTACATTGCTTATGCCGAGATTTTCAATTAATGGTACTTGGGTGTATGATGTAATGATCGATATTGACCTGTCTTGTTGGACAGCTGTTAATTTGAGCTTGAAACCATGCACAAATTATTTCTAAACATTTATACGGCCACCCATAGGAACTTTGTCAGTTTCAAAACGTAAAATGGTAGATGAAGGGGGTAATGAGGCTGAAAATTTATCCCAAAAAATGCCAAATACGACCAGGAAAAGCGGAAAAAAACATTTATAGTGTCATGGACAGAAAGATTCCCAATGGGCAAGGTCGATTGTTACTGATGATAAACAAGAGATGATGTTTTGTGAACGGGAGAAAGGAAGAAAGACCATTCACAATTTGTCTTACATTTGTTTTTCTCTCTTTCTAGTAAATAAAAAAAATTAAAACTTTCAGATGTAGAGTTCATAAGAAGGAAATATTCCCTGTGGAACACCCACCCCCCCCTTTTTTTGTGTTCTCTATTTTCAACCCTCTAATCTAATTAAAATTAAAACTTTGATTTCTAACCGATCTATTTATGTACCGGACCGGCAATTTTTTTTATTTAATAAGAAAATCTACAGTGCCGTTATACACATGCATGTTGATTGTTTGGAGTCCCCGCCCGAAAAGAAAGAAATAGTCTAACTCCAAGATACTATATTCCTGAATCACGTGATTTTTACTACGTGGAGCTTAAATTAGAATAAATACGGAATATGGAAAGTGAAACTACAATACATAACATAAAGTCCGTTGGCAAATAGAAGAAAAAGAAGATTATTTTTTGGCAAAGGGTACCGGGTTAATCCTCTTTGTGGTCAAAATATACATGAAATATTTTCCACTGCCCTTGTCTCGTTTCTATGAATGTTTACCCTGAGTTTTCTATCTGTTACTATTGCCGTTATTTTCCTGATCACGCTGATAAAAAGTCTACTTTGTATGTGGGAACAACAAATATACGAATTGAACCACTGGTTTCACATGACAAGATCAATGAACATGTTTTCTGTGCCCGAAAATATTTAACAACCCATAGTACAAGGGATATCCAAAAAGATGTCTAGAGATCCTTGTTATAATTAATAAAACAAAAATTTATTTGATTTATTTTATCAAATACCGTGTATAATGCCGCATTCAAAACAAGGGACACCCACTCTAAATTTGTAAGGTATACTCGGGCTAGCAGGTCAGTTTTGATGGGCTAGCAGATCTTTCAACAGGGCTAGTAAAATCCTGCTACCAATAAGTCCTGGGCTAGTGAGCTGTAACAAATTTTTTTAACCCCTGCAAAAACTGCAAAATTTCCTTAAAATTACCAATTCAGGGGCAGCAACCCAACAACAGGTTGTCAGATTTGTCTGAAAATTTCAAGGCAGATAGATCTTGACCTGATAATCAGTTTTACCCGATGTCAGATTTCCTCTAAATGCTTTGGTTTCAGAGATATAAGCCAAAATCTACATTTTACCCCTATGTTCTATTTTTAGCCATGGCGGCCATCTTGGTTGGTTGGCGGGGTCATCGGACACATTTTTTAATCTAGATACCCTAATGATGATTGTGGCTAAGTTTGGTTAAATTTGGCCCAGTGGTTTCAGAGGAGAAGATTTTTGTAAAAAGCTAACGACGACAGACGACAAGTGATGAGAAAAGCTCACTTGGCCCTTCGGGCCAGGTGAGCTAAAAATAAGATTATGAAACACAAAATGCATTTAACTTGTATATATCTAGTGGATGCCAGGCCTTAAAACTTTCCAAACTGCACAGGTAAGTCTGTAAACAGAGTAGTTTTTGAAGTGAATATACGGCCATATTTGTCGATTTGTTATGATGAACCTTAAATTATGATACTACCAAACACTCTGTGTTGGAAAGGTTAAACTTGTTTTGAAAGCAATTTGTTTGCTTATCCTAGGATTTATGATGGTCTACCTTTTTTTACCAGAAAATAATGTTAGTATTTTCATAATAGTACCTCATCATTGCATTGTGGGCTTGTTCTACGTTATTTTTGTGGACAAAAACAGTTCTTGCCAGAAATTTTGCATTTCTGTGGCATGACATTTTGTGTCAATGAATGGTCTCCCTTTCCCAATGGTCACTTACGCGTTTGGAGAAATGCGATTTGTAATAGAAATGAAAACAAAATATTGTACACTGATTAAGATTTCGAGCCACTCCGAATCAAACAGAAAGTATGAAAATAGCATGTTTTACTTGCCTTTACATAAAAAGGAAGGCTTTAATTTGAAAACTCTAGAAACTAGTTGGAATACAATGCATGAACATAATTATTCGTCCTTTGCGAATTTTCACTACATATTTTATTTAAAAGCATTTTTTTTATTGTGGGATCATTTCTTCTTTTTGCCACCATGAATATAATGCAAACTTTAGTTTGTTAAAACATCATTTGATAGTAATTGCATGTTATTGTCAATTGGGGGTTTTCTATACAATTTCCCATCTTAAATATTCCTTAAAAGGTTTTAGGCAGAATTTGCCAGAAACATTAACATCTTTACTCCATTTATTAGATTGAAATACTAGTACAAGAACACGTCTTTAATGCACAATTATATGAAATAGAATTATATAATATGATATCCTGATTCACAAGTTTTTTAGGAAAAACTGTTATTGCCACGCAAAAAAGAGAAAACGATTATTATGTCTTTCCACTTTTCTGTGGAAAGACCTATTGGATTTCTTCTGATTATTATTATTATTTTTTCTTCTTCCGCCACTTTTTTCTGACGGTGCTTTTTTGTTTCGCAAGATGTCGCTTAGATTTTTTGTGTATGATATGGAACAGTTATTGCGATTTTGGAACTGACCCAGAGTTCGCGAAAAACTTATTTTGACCCGTCGGTCATGGGACAAACAAAGCATGATTATTTGTCAGTCCTACAAAATTTTAGCCAGTCCTACAAAATCTGTCAATTTTATCCTGAAATAAAATTAATAACATATTTTATAGAAAAATAACTTTATTAATATTAGTTTTATTCTTCGCAGGACCAGTTCAGGTCTTCTGATTGTTCTTATCTAAAGTCATCTTCACTATCCATTTCATCGTCTGAATCACTTTCTCGGCTGTTACAGTATTTGTTTGCTCCATTGTAGGGTTCAATCGCCGATTGTTTGCCAGGGATGGCTCTATGAACAAATTTAGTAGGCCACATGTAGATCGCCGCTTTGGTTTGTTTATAATAAATCCGTAAACCAGTACCGGAAATTGGCAGCAGGTACATCTGATAACTGATGTAAACACTTATTGGAAACAGTTGCGGTACATCTAATAACCGATGTAAAAAAGTGCCGAAATATGCACTACAACGGCCGTTTTACATCGGTCATCGGGACCGGCACTAGCCTTCAAAATACTGGTCCGAGCCTCATTTTGACCGACAGGACCGACCATTTTCGCGAACTCTGCTGACCCTGTTTAGCGGAATACTTTTTATTGTAAGAGTTATCTCCCCAAATACTGTTTTTCTTGTGTACGCATCTCCTTCGCAACCGTAAAAGATTATGACAAATTTATGTCTCCAATTTGTTCCTTATATCCTCAGGATCTTAAGAATAATTTTGACCGAAGCGGTCCAGAAACTCCATATGAGAGTTATTTCCCCTTCTGTATTTAAAATAAGTAAAATGTAATTGTAATTGGTAAACCATAAGTGATAGGGACCTAGGGTCTTTTGATTTGAGGTCCTTGGTCCAAAAAAAAGAAAATAGTGTCAAGGTCAAAGGTCAAGGTCATTTTTAAATTTGGATTTTGGCTTATTCACCTCTTTTCAAACACGATATAAGACATCACATCGACAACATATTTTTACTTAATTGTTAGTTGTGACATGTCGTAACTCATACATATCGGTTTAAAGGGTACGCTTACATCAAATTAGAGTTTTCTCCCCTCTTTTATTTAAAAATATGCATATGGTGATATAACTCATGAACCAAATATAATTAAGTCCTAGGGTCTTTTGATTTTAGGTCCTTGCTTGAAATTGAGCTCAAGGTCATAGGTTAAATTGACGTTCTAGATTTTGACCTTTGCTTTTACCTCACATGTATACATGATAAATCCATGGGACTTTTTGCATTAGTTTTTAAAGCCATTTTACCTTAGAAAAGCCAACCGGAAGTGACCTTGTGTAAACCAGAAGTAGCTCTTTTTTGTACTTAATTAATGTAAAAGTTTATAGAACCAGATATTTTTGGTATCAGTGTCAATTAAACTTTTGAATAATACCGGAAGTAACATTTTTCAAACCGGAAGTAACAAATTATCTCCCTTATTTAACAAATATTGTATAGAAACCATATACCGGTATTTTTGGAATCAGCGTACAATAAGCTATCATTTGAAGCTGGAAATGACATTTTAAAACGAATTTTACTATTTTCATATTAGAATACATGTTTTTTTGTGGAAAGGCCTTCAATTGTTCTCTGAACAATTGGTTTTTAATTCTGAATAAGTTTCTATTCAATTGTTGCACAAATAGATGTTTTTTTGGGCCACAAATGTCATAAAACCAGAGAAAAAAACATAACCCCCTTTTTATAAAGTTGTAATGATAAATTACTATCCAAGTTACTTGTATTTTTCATATATCGAAACAATTGTTTTATTTCTTGCTTCATGCAATTACTGTAAAATTGAAAAAAGTATTAAGCTGTACAGTAATTATTAACGTTTATATCTAGATTAGTGAGTTTTATTTCAACTTATGGTTTAGCCGTTGTTATACCTTAATGCATGAGAAAAGAATATTCCACTTTAATGTGATAGGTTAAATGGGATGCAATTTCCTTCAAATCGTCACTGAAAATAATAATTTTTGATAGTATATAAGTCAAGTAATGCATATTTTGGGATGTCAGGATTGTCCAAAGAAAGACATTCCTATGGTCGGTCTTTCATTTGAACAATCCTGACACCCCTCAGTGTGTTATACGACAAGAAAACCTTAAAATATACATTTTCTATAAAATGAACAGTTACACATATCATTTATATTATGTTTAGTTAAGATTTTGTTCTTGAAATGTCTTACAGATTGTAAAGATGTTTGGAGGGAATAATCCGCCAACAGGAACAACTTCATTTACATCAACTACAAAACCATCTGGTAGGTTTATATGAATTTAAATTTAGTGTGTTCTGATATAAAGTAAATAAATAACAGGTCAGGTGTACAGGTAGATCATACACAAGTATTCGGCATTGTAATACATGTATATCTACTTTAACTTAATACCGATACTTCTGTTGATTTGAACCTTTACTCTACTTCATATCTTAACTTATGTCTCAAAATTGATGATGACTAGCTGTATAAAAAATATTGAAAACTGATTATGTCATAACGTTTATTTTTTATTTAACATTTTATCAAGTTGTATTGAACATTATTATCATACTTGTCTTTTTATGCTAATGTATGCAATAAACAGAAAAAATATAAGTGAACCAACACCTGAAGTGGTGATTGTGCGGTAGGGTAAAAACGAGTGGATACCGCTAGGTATTCACAGTCATCTTGAAAAAAATGAATATGTCGACAATAAAGACAACAACACTCAAGTTTTTACCGCAAAGTATCTGTTTATTTGGTCAACATGTTTCGCCAACAAGCGTGGCGTCTTCAGGACAATATTACATATGAAATCAAACAGTGAAGTACAAATTTTTGCGGTTGTGTGGTTCGCCGAAAGTAACGTAACAATAGAGGTTATTATGACGACGTTACAGATATAAAATGTATGCAATGTATATGTTTGCATTTTGTTTGATTTTTTATGATGAGGGCCTCAGGGAAGATTAGTTATATAGCTAACTGTGTAACCCTCTAAAAATAAAGTATTGTTGTTGTTGTTGTTCAGAACAAAAAATTTCGAGATGATTTCAGCATTCCAATTGTGAACTTCTCTTTCCTTGATAATGACATTAACGAAAGCGACTTATCACAGAATTTGCCATGAGAAATATGAAAGGTGCCACTAGTTGTGCAGAATCTGCTTTATCATAATACCTTTACATAGCACTTGAGATCAATCTCATTTTTTTGTGAGTTTATTGTTGCTTTGTTTTTAGTTTTCTTTGTATTGTTTTTTAGACCATTGCTTGTCTTTAGGTTGTTTTTCTATGACCATGATGTCTGTTTTCCCTTGAATAATGATTTTTATGCCCCATTTATGGGCATTGTGTTTTTCGGTCTGTGCGTCGGTTTGTTTGTTCGTCCGTCCGTCCGTCTGTCCCACTTCAGGTTAAAGTTTTTGGTCAAGGTAGTTTTTGATGAAGTTGAAGTCCAATCAACTTGAAACTTAGTACACATGTTCCCTATGGTATGATCTTTCTAATTTTAATGCCAAATTAGAGTTTTGACCCCAATTTCATGGTCCACTGAACATAGAAAATGATAGTGTGAGTGGGGCATCTGTCATCTTTGCTAGCCAAGGGTTACAATCAACTTCCCTCCTCTTCACCCTTGGCAGATTAAGCCAACATTTGTGATAACAATGTTGCGCCATCTATCGATAGATTAAAGTCACACCCATTCCGAATACATTATTCTTGACCAATAGTAGCACTTGAACTCTTCAATTTGGAGGTAAAAACACGGTAGCGTCTAGATTCTACACACTTGGTAAAGCAGGAAACGAAAATATACGTTGACATTCATGCATTTGTGCAAGAAACATACACAGGAACTTCTATTAATTGATTAAAAACATTCAAATTGTCACTAAATATAGTTGTATGTTTAGGGATGTAAAGACTTGTTGCACAAAAAGCACGTGGCAATTGTTTACATACACTTTCTACATTTACACGTGATCATGTTATTGGCGCTTTTTGATTGGATGCAGCGAGTTTCGACTGCAACCAATGAAAATCATTACCTTGTGTCTCCGAAATTCTATCTCAATCCGCCAAGGGTGAAGAGGAGGGAAGTGGATTGTAACCCTTGGCTAGGGAAGATGGGCATCTGTGTACTATGGACACATTCTTGTTTAATGTGGCTTAGTATTGTCTGCCATTTTTTTTATTCAGAATTTCAAGTAAGAAAATAATTAAAGAAAACATTTTTATCTTATTTAATTAAAACTGTACATAAACATGATAAACTTAGTGGATTGAATTAAATTCCCAAATTTATGACATCCTGTTGTAAAAGTTTTTTTGTTTAAGGATTTTATTTAAGCCATTAGTAGTTTTAAAAACTGAATGAAATATAGAAAGAAATGAAACTGGAAAAGTATTTCCCTTATTTTGGCAGGCACTGAAGAATAAAACGCATGTTTTTGCATGGACACCAATGATAGATTTTTAAAATTGAAAAATCTTAACATATATATATATATATAATCATTATTATTTTTTCATTTTAAGGTTTTTCATTTGGACCACCTGCAGTCAGCAGTACACCAGGTGGAGGTGGTGGAGGGTTTAATTTTGGAGGTGCAACTCAGCCAACAGCCTCCGCAGGTACATCAGGATTTGGTTTTGGAGGAACCACAGCACCAGCTCCTACATCTGTACCACCACCAGGATATTCATTTGGTGCTGGAACACAAGCTACATCTGGTTTCTCAGGAGGAGGTAACCAACCAACAATTGGGCTGCCTCAAGCTGGCGCAACCACGCAACCAGGATCTGGATTTTCTTTAGGTGGTGCAACTACCCAACCAGTATCAGGATTTTCACTTGGTGGTACAACTACCCAACCAGCATCTGGATTTTCATTAAGTGGTGCAACTACCCAACCAGCAACAGGTGGTTTCTCATTAGGTGGAATAACTACCCAAACTTCAGCACCAGGGTTTTCAGCTGGAGGTACAACAGTAACACATCCTTCAGGTATATTTATTGTTATTATCTAAGTACAAACTTGGATTTCAAATGCATGAATAATATTGTATCTATGAAGGATTCTGTTTATAGCTGACTTGACAGTATGGGATGTGCTCATTGTTAAAGGTTGTATGGTGACCTGTAATTGTTAATATCAATGTTATTGGACTCAATGGCAATCATACCACATCTCTTTATTTTATGTATTTTCTCTTATGTAAATTCTACCTGTACTTGCCAAGCATAACAAACATAGGCTCTTCCAAACGTTAATAGTGAGGTAGAATTATTCTTCATCAGTATTTTTATATGTATTATTAAGATAATAAGATGTGGAAGTTGTCAGATTGTTCAGAAAATGGAAGCCATATATATGTTTTAAAACATTAAAATTTATAATCATTTCTTTTGAGTAAACAATAATCAACTGTCATGGTGAAACATATGCATGATATTCTCATAACTCAGAATAATTGGGCTTTTGTCAATTTTTTGTCTGCTTTGGATTTGACATATATCCCAAGTATTATCATTTTGATAATGACTTAACTGTTTAATACTGTAATGTCTCAGAATATGAATTTTATTTTGTATCTCTTTGCTGTTTTAATCTATTTACCATCTGAATAGTACAGATATTTATCATCTGGTTATCATGCGATGTGTAAAACTGTCTAAAATTCAACAGCATCAGACTTTTTTTCTGCATTTCTTTCAGGTTTTGAATTAAGTTATTCAGTGTGCATTTCTGTCTTCCTTACCTGTAGTACCAATATATATAAATATAAATTTTCAGCAACAAGTACAGCACAGCCAGCTGGTGGTTTGAACTTGACCAGACCAACAGGACAAACCACAGCACAACCAACAGGTGGTTTTAATTTGTCATCACAGCCAACAGTTAGTCTTGGTGGTGGTTTAACAAGGCCTGTGCAGCCATCAGCAGTACAGCCAACAGCTACATCAGCTCCAGGTTTGGCTCTTTGACATCAAATGACCACATCAACACCTTATTTTAACAAAGACAAAAAATTCATATAGAATGGCAAATGAAATTTTTAAATCATTTAAACTATGGTGTTAAAACAAATTCTTCTCAGTTTTCATATTGGTAAGAAATAGACAAATATGTGGTCATTTTTGTCTGACTTCAAACATTACTGGATACCAGTGTATGGTGGATTACTTAAACAAAATATATACATGTGTATACACAGCTACATGATAGAATTATAAAAATGCATTCTGATTCTAGTTTCTCGTTGAAAATTTCTTTGAATATAAAAATATTGGTATGATGGTGAGTTAAGATCGGACTCATGCTTCCTTTTGGATGACCTTTTTTTCACAGAATTAAGGCCCTTTTTCTATGCATATCCTGTTATGCTTGTACATATTGGCTGATTTTCAGTTAATAAGTATATATTTATGAGTTGCAGATCGAGTTTGCTTTGGTTTTTAATGAACTACTTTCATAGAAATATGATGTCCTTCCATCATTCTACAGGCAGGAGTATAGATATTGTCCTGATATATTTAGAAAATAGTTCAATTGTAGCTTAATAATTAAGCATGAAGATTTATCAGTTTGGACAATACAGACCAAATGAGAGCATGAACACATTTTTGTGGTACCAATTTTTGCTTATTTGTTGTAACAATTTATATGACTTATGATTTGATATAGATCTAAATACCTACTTTTTATGCCTCCGCCATAGTGGAGGGGGCATTAAGTTTTACCCTTGTCCGTCCATACATACGTACGTACGTCACCAAAGTTGGTTTCCGTTCTCTAACATAAGTTTGCCTCAACCAAATGTTATGAAACTTATACAAAATGCTTATTACCACAAAACACAGATAAAGTTTGAATTTAGGTAGTGTCACTTTATCCGTTCTAGAGTTATGCCCCTTTACAAATGGAAAAATTGCTGAATTTTTCGTTTCCGTTCTCTAAGTTCTAACTTAAGTTTGCCTCAACCAAATGTTATGAAACTTATACACTACTTATTTATACCACAAAACTCAGATCAAATACAAATTTGGGTAGCGTCACTTTTACCGTTCTTCAGTTATGTCCCTTTATAACTTTATATGATATGCAAGCGGGGGCATCATCTGTGTCCCATGGACACATTCCCCATTTATTTTTTAATAGTTACTAAATTTACAGGTATATTTGGAGGAGGATTAAAATTAGGAACAGCACCAGCCTCAGCTACAACATCCAGTACACAACCAGCTAACTTGGGTGTGGCCTCAGGATTCTCCCTTGGTGGGGCTACTACTTCAGCTGCTCCATCATTGGGTGGAGTTGAAAAAACAAAGACAGCTACAGTTGGCTTTTCACTCCCTACAACAGTAGCTGCTAGGTTAGCAAATATACAATACAGAAATAAGAAAAACATTTTTTTTGTTTCAATATAGTGAATAATGAATAATACTCTTAATATAATATAAAATGTTGACTGGTACATACGTATACTATAAGTAATATAAAAGATTTTGTACATTTGAAGGTTATATGTGAGATTTGATGTACATTATGATATAATAATAGGTGTGAGGTTTAACTGAAATATACTTATTATACTTATTATATGATATCTTTGAAAATTTTCTGATCAAATGTAAGTTTAGCAAAGTGATTGATACATGTATAAATTTTGAACTTAATTCTGTTTTTAGCAACCTCATTGTAAATAAGTATACAGACTCCTTGATACAAGCTCTGTGATGTTTAAAGTTTTTGATAATTATTTTTGGAAATGATGAAAATATTCAATTGCATACATTGCTCTTAACCAGGAAATAATTGTTATTAAATTTAATTGTAACACTTTAAAGCTCTGGTACTGCAACAGCTCCACAGAAACAGATGAACTATCAGCAACTCGAAGAAAATATAAATAAATGGATGCAAGAACTCGAAAAACAGGAAAAAGAGTTTTTAGAACAAGCAACTCATGTTAATGCATGGGATAGGTTGCTGGTAGAAAATGGTGAAAAAGTAAGTAGAGTGAGGATCAAAGAATTTAATGCTTTTATAGAATGATTGTTATTTGCCTAACATCTAATGGCTATTATCTCATTGTATTCATATTGATTGTAAGTGTTATGCTATATTTGAATAAGAGAACCCTTTTAAAGGGGTATTAGCTGTCAAACTCATGTTCACCGATTTGACTAAAATTCTCATATTGGATTTATAACATACTTAAACGTATATCCAAATTACAATAAGTCTGAAATAAACAATTAACAATGCATGGACTCGATAATATATATCAACATTTCATGTGTATTTTAATCTAGATGCCATCTAATTAACCATTGAGATGACCTCTGAAGACTGCCTACGTCACATAACCCTATTTAAACATAAACATAAATATAAATAGATAGCGACCTCTTGCAATTGGACTTTTCTAGGTCTGTTTGATACATGTTATAGGTTAAAAATCAAATTCATCATCGTTTTTACCTGTATAAGAATGATTTTTGTTGAGCCTGCAAAATTTATTTCACGAAAGCGAGACATAGCGATCCTAGAGTCCGGGGGTGGCGTCAACATTTAGGTTCAGTCTGTGGTTATATTTTTTTGGACATCAATAACTTTATCAAACCTACATGGAATTAGATGGAATTTGGACAGAAGCTTGTTTATGACCAAAATACAGTATCCAGAGCAAAATTTTGAAAATATTTATTTTCATTTTTCCATATTTTACTGATAAATGGATTAAGTTTTTTTCACACTTAACATTCAGATTCAGTCTGAGTTTAAAGTTTTTCAGTCATCAATAACTTTGTCAAACCTTCATGGAATTTTATGAAATTTGGACAGAAGCTTGTTTATGACCAAAATACAGTATCCAGAGCAAAATTTTTAAAATCTTTATTTTCATTTTTCTGTATTTTACTGATAAATGGACTAAGAGTTTTTTACATTTAACTAAGTTTTTTTTACATTTAACAAATAGATACAGTCTGGGGTTAAAGTTTGTTACACATCAAAGACTTTGTCAAACCTTCATAGAATTTTATGAAACTTTTTTATGATTAAGAGATAATGTCTGAAGCACACTTTTGAAAATACATTTTCATTTTCAGTATTTTTCTGATAGACGGACTTTTTTTACAGTTAACATTTACTGACAGTCGGGGATTAAATTTTTTTGACATGATAAGTTTGTTAACCTTCATGGATTGTTATGAAACTTGGACAGAAGCTAATCTTCAAGACCAAGAAATAGCATCTAAAGAGAAAGTTTGAATCTTTTTTAACATTCTGTATTTTACTGATAAATGGACTCACTTTTTAAGTCAACATTACACTTTTACACTGACAGCAGCAATCGTAGGCGAGACACAGGGTTCTGCGGAACCCCTTACAAATTTTTGTGGATCAAATCCGTCAATGAAATGGTTCACCTTTGTTTCACTTTCAATGTTGACATTCTTTTCCTTTTAATGACTGAACACGACTAATACATGCGTAACCAATCTCTAACTAATGGGTTAAATTGAAGGTCACATTAATACAACTTTAATGAGTACGAATTATTCACTTGCAAGTGAATAATTCATCAGCGATATTTTGACAAAATTGAACTAAACTGGCTGCTAAAAGGGAATTATTATTTGACTATTTCACTTTCATTAATGATTGAACAAAAAAAAATGATATTTTATTTTTTTTTATATATCTCGTAGCTAATGCCCCTTTTACAATCAAGAATTTATCGGGATTTTGTTTTCTTATTCAGTCTGATTTGCTTTCATTAGTTTCCAATGTGCAAGAATTTTGTGTTTGTTTTTTGTTTTCCGTTTGGTATATGGTTTCCTTGCAACGTCTACATGTCCGTCAGGTAGGGTTCACCTGATCTGGACCTCTTCATGGATCAGTGATCAAGGTTTAAGTTACATGGTCAGGTCCGTATCTCAGAAACTATAAGCATTAGGTCAACTATATTCAGAGCATGGAATGATTGTAAGGTGTGTAGGTTTCATCCGCCGTAGCGAAAGGGGCATTAAGTTTTACCCTTGTCTGTCTGTATGTCCGTACGTACGTCCATACGTATGTCCCAAAATTGTTTTCCCTTCTCCAACTTTAGTTTGCCTCAACCAAATGTTATGAAACTTATACACAATGCTTATTACCACAAAACACAGATCAAGTTATAATTTTGGTAGCGTCACTCTAACCATTCTAGAGTTATGCCCCTTTACAAATGGAAAAATTGCAAAATTTTTTTGTTTCCGTTCTCTAACTTCAGTTTGCCTCAACCAAATGTTATGAAACTTATACACAATGCTTATAACCACAAAACACAGATCATGTTTGAATTTTGGTGGTGTCACTTTTGCCATTCTAGAGTTATGTCCTTCTACAAATGGAAAAATTACTGAATTTGTTTCCATTCTCTTACTTTAGTTTGCCTGAACCAAATGTTTTGAAACGTATACACAATGCTTATTAACACAAAACTCAGATCAAGTACAAATTTGGGTAGCGTCACTTTTACAGTTCTTGAGTTATATTCCTTTATAACATTATATGCAAGCAGGGGCATCAATTGTGTCCCATGGACACATTCACCATTTATTCTCAGATACTATAAGCAAATAGAGCCACTATATTTGGTGTATGGAATGATTGTAAGCTGTACTTGTATGTCTGGCAGGTTTCAATTGACCTTGACTTCATTATCATGGTTCATTGGACAATGCTTTGTTTTTTGTGGTTTGGTGTATTTCTCAGATATTAAAAGCAATTGGTCAATTATATTTTTTGTATATGGAAGGATTGTAAGGTGTACATGTCTGTGTGGCAGAGTTCATACAACCTTGACCTCATTTTCACAGTTCATTGGTCAATGATAAAATTTTGTAATTTTGTCAGTTTATCAATTTGGTGTATGGAATGATTGTAAGGTATACATGTCTGTCTGGCAGGGTTCACATGACCTTGACCTCATTTTCATTGTTCATTGGTCAATGTTAAGATTTTGTGTCGAGACATTTCAGTGTGCACTCTTGTTTATTTTTAGTCCCCTAGTGACGAAGTCAAAGGGGACTTTTGGTTTGCACTCTGTCCGTCTGTCCATCCGTCAGTCCGGCAACTCAGCTTTCCACACTTTTTTTCTTCGTTCTTGAAGATATTGATTTGATATTTGGTATATAGTTTTATCATGACAAGTTATAGATCAAGTTCGAATTTTGTTCCAGTCTGATGATTTAGTCTAGAGTTATGGTCCATAAAAAAACTTCATAACTAATGTTAGAGTACTATGTTAAACCATATATCTGTACAAAGGGAGATAACACATTTTTTAAAAGACATTCTTTGGTAAATTGTTTGAGGAATTTTGTGGCAGGTTGATATGTTATTTTGTATAAACTAATTTTCTGAATGCTACATGTATATACCCTGTATATATATATTTTTTTTTATTAAGTGAAATCCTTTAATTAGATAATAATCTATTTTTATGAAGGTATATATTTCATTACATTATATTGTGTAGATAAAAGTTGTGGACATTTTATAGATAAGTTACAAATCTATATTAGTTTGTGACAAATGAAGAAAAAATATTTGGAACTATTAATTATATTTGATTGTAATTTGAAAATAGAGATACATTGTATTACATCATATCTAATTTTAGAAAACTATTAATCATATCTAATGTTAGAGTGTTATAGGTTTTCCCCACTTTTTTGCATCATGCTTGAAGATATGGTTTGATATTTGGTATATAGTTTTATCATGACAAGTTATAGATCAAGTTCGAATTTTGTTCCGGTCTGATGATTTAGTCCAGAGTTATGGTCCATAAAAAAACTCCACAACTAATGTTTGAGTACTATGTTAAACCATATATCTGTACAAAGGGAGATAACTCATTTTTTAAAAGACATTCTTTGGTAAATTGTTTGAGGAATTTTGTGGCCGGTTTATATGTTATTTTGTATAAACTAACTTTCTGAATGCTACATGTATATACCTGGTATATATATATTTTTTTTTATTAAGTGAAATCCTTTAATTAGATAATAATCTATTTTTATTAATGTATATATTTCATTACATTACATTGTGTAGATAACAGTTGTTGACATTTTATAGATAAGTTACAAATCTATATTAGTTTGTGACAAATGAAGAAAAAATATTTGGAACTATTAATTATATTTGATTGTAATTTGAAAATAGATATACATTGTATTACATCATATCTAATTTTAGAGAACTATTAATCATACTGTGGATTCATTTATTTTCGTGGGTATCAATTTTCGTGGATAGAGAAAAAAAGACGTTTCGTGGTAAACATAAATTAGTGGATCGCTGATTACAAAAAAAAAAAAAAATTCAGATACATAATTCGTGGATTTCTTTTTGATTTAGATCATATAACCTCCTTGGTTTGATCAATAAAACAAACAAAAAAGAAGGAATTCATGAAAGGCTTTGAATTGTCAAAATCCTCGCTTGGTCATTCTAGGTTAAAGTGTTCATTGAAAACTTCTATTACAATAATGGACAGAGACAACTAATTATTTGTTTGTTTTACAATTTATGAATTCTTGTCGGAATTTTATAAGGCATTCAAAACTCTATGATTGAAATATACCCTAATCACGATACAATAAACAGTCATATAAGTAAAAGGTGTGAAAATAAATGTTCCGGTCATAAACAATATTACCTACGGGCAATATCCCCGTACTTAATCCTATTGATTTTTAATCACCAGTAAACCAAACTATGACACGGTAATTAACAACTTGCAGTTATTTCCATGAACAGTTTTAATCAATTTTAAAAAGTAAATTATCACTGATATTCGATATATTTATTATTGATTATATCAAAATACTTGTATCTTCTTTCAATAAAAACACGTGTTATGTTACAATGTTTATCGCTAGTCAACACTATACTAGAACTGCATAACATAACCGGAAATAAACATCCGACTCCATACACATTTCTCTGGATTATTCTTCGTTGAATTCTTAAATTCGTGGTTCGCTGTGACCCACGAAACCCACGAAAATTGGTATACCACGAATAAAAATGAATCCACAGTATCTAATGTTAGAGTGTTATAGGTTTTCCATCATGCTTGAAGATATGGTTTGACAATTGGTATATAGTTTTATCATAACAAGTTACAGATCAAGTTCAAATTTTTGTTTCAGTCTGATAATTTTGTGCAGAGTTATGGTCCTTGGACTTGAAAAAATTCACTCATTTATTCAGTTTTCCACACTGTTTTTAGTCATGTTTTAAGATATTGACTTGATATTTTCTTTTTGTTTACACCATTACAAGTTATAGAAATAGTTAGCATTTTGTTCTAGTATAATGAATTTTTACCCGGTAGGGGACTATTTATTGCCATGCAATACTCTAAGAATGCTTGTTCTTCCTTAAACTACCAGGTTGAACATTATAAATCGAATAACTTCTGCTTGTAAAGGTGAACTTATTGTTATTTTACTCTTGTTTGAAGTCTTTGGTATACAGTTCATATAAGTAACTTCAAGAATTCTCTCAATATATTATAATTTGTGCTGAATGTTTATTGATAATAACATTTGATTGGTTATATTATTTTAGATTACCTGTTTGAATAGTGATATGGAGAGAGTGAAGGTAGAACAACAAAAACTAGACCATGAGTTGGATTTTATAAAATCACAACAGAGAGAACTAGAGGAGATGTTAAATCCTTTAGAGAAATCTGTTGAGGAACAACCTAATATCAGCTTCCAACAACATGCAGACTTGGAGAGGGAAAACACGTTAGTATAATCATTGGCTAGAATCAACCGATCAAAACTTTTCTCCTAATCTGATCAGTTTTGGAAACTATTATGAAATCTGTTCCTAGTGACTCATAAGTCTTATAAAATAAACTATGTTCCCATAGCAATGATAAAAATTAACATCTTATGTTGCAGTCACCATATGACTTTCAACAATGATTATACCATATGATAAGGTGGAATAATCAGGCATGAAACAGTTTATCAGAAATCTTCAAAAACCTTTGAATTGACATCAATGTAAGAAGAAAAGTTGACATAGATTCCTTGTCCTGGACAGGTACAAACCAACAAATACTGTGAACTTTACCAAAATGTGTCCAATGCTGTATAAATTGTGAAACTGATAATTATTTTTATCAAATTATTCAGCCATATTTATTCCATGTTTTCTACACCTCTCTTTTAAAGTTATGTTTTCTTTAGCAAGTATGCATTGGTGTTTTCTTTAGCAAATATGCATTTGTTTTCAGTTAAGGTAGGTTGAAATTTACTAATAGTGAATTTTAAAATGATAAAGTAATTTTACCAGTATCCTGATTTTTAATAGTTATATGTAAAGTCCTGTTATATTTGCAGTTACCAGTTAGCAGAAAATGTTGATGCTCAGTTAAAGAGAATGTTACAAGATCTGAAAGAGATTATTGACCATCTTAACACGTCGAATGCTAGTCAAGATAATACTGACCCAGTAAGTGTTTATTGCTGTAACACTCATTATTACATATGTATAAATAGTTGTAATTTTAATAGAGGAAATTTTAATATTTTAAAATTGAGAATGGAAATGGGGAATATGTCAAATAGACAACAACCCGACCAAAGAGCTTAAAACAGCCGCAGGCCACCAATAAATCTTCAACACAGCGAGAAAATTCCGCACCCAGAGGCGTGCTTCAGCTGGCCCCTAAACAAAAATGTGTACTAGTTCAGTGATAATGGACGTCATACTAAACTCCAAAACATATAAATGAACTAAAATTAAAAATCATACAAGACTAAAAAAGGCCAGAGGCTCCTGACTTGGGACAGGCACAAAATTGGGGCAGGGTTAAACATGTTTTGTGAGATCTCAACCCACCCCCTATACCTCTAGCCAATGTATATTGAGTTTGCATTTATGAACCAAGAATTCAGAGCAAAACATATTCCGGTACATCTTCTACATGAAAGTTCATGTACAGCTTGACTAGCAATATCATACTGGATTGCAGTTGTCTTGTTATTTTATGCATAGCCCAAGATATTAAAGGGCATATTATTTTTGGTTTTATGTACATCCCATTATTCATCAGTCCTGTTTCAGGTTGAAGGTAGTTTGCCAAAAGTTTTGGTCACATCAATTTGATGTACACTTTTTAGAATATATGTCAAATTAGGGTATTGAACCTTATTTTGCAGTTCACTGAACATTTAAATGTGATAGTGTGAGCTGGGCATGTCTAATGAACGCATTATTCATTTTTAGCTCACCTGGCCCGAAGGGCTAAGTGAGCTTTTCTCATCAATTGGCGTCCGTTGTCCGTCGTCGTTAAATCTTCTCCTCTGAAACCACTGGGCCAAATTTAACCAAACTTGGCCACATTCATCATTAGGGTATCTAGTTTAAAAAGTGTGTCCAATGACCCCGCCAACCAACCAAGATGGCCGCCATGGCTAAAAATAGAACATAGGGGTAAAATGTAGATTTTGGCTTATATCTCTGAAACCAAAGCATTTAGAGTAAATCTGACATAGGGTAAAACTGATTATTAGGTCAAGATCTATCTGCCCTGAAATTTTCAGACAAATCTGACAACCTGTTGTTGGGTTGCTGCCCCTGAATTGGTAGTTTTATGGAAATTTTGCAGTTTTTGGTTATTATCTTGAATATTATTATAGATAGAGATAACTGTAAACAGCAATAATGTTCAGCAAAGTAAGATCTACAAATAAGTTGTCCATGACCAAAATTGTCAGTCGACCACTTTAGGAGTTATTGCCCGTTATAGTAAATTTTTCGTAAATTTTTGTAATCTTTTACAAAAATCTTCTTCTCTGAAACTACTGAGACAAATTTAACCATACTTGGCCATAATCATTATTAGGGTATCTAGTTTAAAATTTGTCCGATGACCCTGCCTTCCAACCATCATGGCCGACTTGGTTAAAAATAGAACATAGGGGTAAAATGCAGTTTTTGGTTTATATCTCTGGTCTAAAGCATTTAGAGGAAATCTGACAGGTGGCAAAAATGTTCATCTGATTTAGATTTATCTGCCCTGAAATTTTCAGACGAATCCAACAACCCGTTGTTGGGTTGCTGCCCCTGAGTTAGTAATTTTACAGAAATTTTGCAGTTTTTTGTTATTATCTTAGATATCTTTATAATATCTTATATCTAATACTATTAATTATGATTTTAACCTTATTTTACATGATTTCCAAAGCATCAGTAAATACAGGTGAGCGACACAGGCTCTTGAGAGCCTCTAGTTTTATATCTCTCAGAAAAAATAAATATTGGATGGGTGGGTGCCCATGTTAAACTGCATACTTTAATACATCAGCATTTATGCACCTTTGCATCTATACTTATGCATGTGTTGTTGTAAATACAGCGCGAACACAATGAGGGAACGTCACTCATTTCTTAATTCACGTATTCACGACATGTATATCAATATCCAGTCTACCTTTCCTCAAAAGTGGATGTTGCCTTAAAAAATGCATAAAAATAACAGGTCATAGCCTATAAATTTTTTTCATCTTTAAACTTGATCAATTTTGTATCAGTTGAACATATGTAATTTTTTGTAGTTGTATTATCTCAAGTTTTGTATAAATTACATTAATCAGTCTTAATTGTCAAGTTAAAACTTATTTAGCTATTTTATGCCATATTCTGAAAATTCAAGGGCTATTTAGAAATCAGATATAACTGTCAGAAAAAGTTAAAAGTTTTAACAGGATCATGAGGAGAGATCAAAGGAGAAGAAAATATTATAAATGCATGTTTGAATGAGTTTGGTCATGGTGCGTCCCTTAGTGATAAATAAAGGCTCTTTTTTAGTTTATGTTCATTTCTTTATCTCTTTCAGATATTCCAGATTACACAGATATTAAATTCACATATGGATTCATTACAATGGATAGATCAAAATTCAGGTAAATTTTGTTCATATTGATAATAAAAGGTAAAAGTATGGTTATGTTTTTGTTGTCAGTTCCTAGTTTTTGACCAAAGCCTTACTATTTTGATATTGTTGTAGTTATACTAGGAGGCAGTATATACTGATAGTTCTGAACAAGTTTTATTTGAACATTAAGTGTTGTGGATCTATATACTCATTTAATATTATACGAAGAAATAGAAGTACTTGTTTCATATTAGAGGAATAAGATTGAACGATTCTGTCCAGCATTGAGTATAAGTTTTACTTGATTCAAATCATTTGTTGACACACAGAGATTTGTGGTACCAAGATTGGACAAGTTTCTGTTGTACTATATATGTAGGACTCGGAGGTGCGATGGGGACGCTGAAGTGCGATGGTCACACTGAAGTGCTATGGTCTACGCTGAAGTGCGATGGTCTGTTCGCTGAAGTGGGATGGTCTATATATGTCATCTGTCACAGTTCCATACTAAATGAGAAATCGTTCTCTTTAAATTTGCTGCATGTGAACATTATTCTGCGCTCTCATCTGAGATAACTATAATTATGTCTTAAAGTAATCTCAGCTTCCAGCTCTCACGAGTTCCACGTTTACCGTAATATCATAATACGGAGAGTCTGTCTGCGGAACCATATGTAGTTCCATAAGCTCCATCGTACGCAAAAAACAAAACTCCTGTAGTTTTCAAAAAGAGGATCTGCTACAGAGGCTAATTTTATATATTAAAATTGAGAATGGAAATGGGAAATTGCATTTTAAATAGCTTTCACATTTTTAGTCACTAGTTTTTATGGAAAAAAACCGTTGCGTGTGAACATGAAAAACATTGAAAATATAGTTTACGTAATCCATCGCATTTCAGCATAACCACCATCGCACTTCGGCGTAGCTATCAACAATATAGCATCACAATGCCACCATCGCACTTCAGCGTGATTAGAAACGCACTTCATCGTCAAACCATCGCACATCAGCGTGACCATCGCGGTTCAGAGTCCTACATATATGCAATCAGATAGGCATATTTCAGGGGAGATAACTTGATATGCCTTTGGTTTTGACAAATAGTTAATGCTTCATAAGAATTTTTAGCATGTCTAGATTTCCACTTCAACTTTCCTCCAATTGTAAGCGTAGTAAAGTTCTGGCATATTAATAAAATGTTTATTGCAAATTAAATATCATTTCAAAGTGAATAAAAAAAAAATATGATTCAAATGTTGGTGCTGCTTATCTTAAGTAACTAAGTGTATATAAGAAATATTTCAAGTTTAAATGAAAATATGCATAGTCTGAGCTTGTCCTGTGGTATAAAATTAAGATAACTTAATGTTACATGTATAAAACCAAATACTTTGCCTTTGAATCACTTAGATATTTACAGAAATTGATTGCCATGAACAATAGAAGAAAAATATCTGGAAAGTGTTTGTGAATTTTTTCAAGTTCACTCAAGTAACATATTTTATCATTTCTATTATACAGCTGTATTGAAGAGACATGTTGAAGACATATCAAAACAGATGGAATCACAAAGAAAACAAGAAGAAAAAAACTTCCGTCTTGTTTATCAATGATCAAAGACACATGTTACTCTGAATCTGTGTTATCGTTTGTACAGTTTACAGTGCAGGATAAGACCCTTGAATAATTGTTGTACATCATTAATTATAGATAAACACATGTTTTCTTAACACATAAAGCTACAGGTGCTTTTTGATTTGTATGTGCATCTAAGAAAAGCAAAGTATTTACTTAGAATGATTGAATTACACCCACCAGTAAATGCATATATGTAACTTTTTGTACAAACACCTACTTCTTGTACAAATATTTTGTGCAATAAAAATATTCAAACTTGATGCTTTTTTCTATGAGGTATAATTAAAGAGTTTGAAATACTTTTTGGTATCTTAACTGTCTTTGTGTCAACACATAAAGTATTGTCGAACTTTTATCTGATTGCTCTGAATTTATAAATAGAATTAACTTACCTCCTCATAGGTAGTGTCTTATGTATGCAGGTGACAGATAAGAATTCCAGGCTTATGGCGGTTAACGTCATAGTGAGAAAACGTCAATGTAATATCACGTAACATAATCGGTGCACCTGTTATTGAATGTCCAATTATATCATGCAGTTAAATAAAGTTTCATTATTTCATGACTTGAGGAAATTTGAATTTTATATTAAGATATACAAAACAAGTAGATCTTTTACGTAACATGAATAATTTAGGTTAAAATCCAGTTTAGAATAGTGTTCTAAATTCACACAATTTATCTTTTCTCCTAAATCATTAATATGTTTTTCAATTATACAAAATAGTTAAAAATATATCACCATTGTGAGATATTATTTAGAAAATAAGGTTTTGAAAAATTAAACTTTCCCGAAATCATGAGCAGCAAGTTTTTGGAGTAAATCTCATTGTTCCTCATTGTAAGGAAAAATATGAACATATGTATGGACATATCCTGATACATGTAAATCAAGGAATATATACCTGCCCATTAGGACCTCAATAGTGTCTCATCCCATGTTTCTTCCTGTTAGATTCTGGTTTGAATTGTTTTACATTTGTCATTTCGTTGCCTCTTATAGCTTGCTATGTGGTAAGGGTTTTGCTCATTGTTGAAGGCCGTACAATGACCTATAGTTGCTTACTTCAACATCATTTGGTCTCTGGTGGAGAGTTGTCACATTGGCAATCATATCAAATCTTATATTCATACAAACATCAAATCAACTTATTACTAAGTTATTTTTGTGAAACCTGAAAAAATCACATTGAAAAATATGTTTTACAAAAGACATCTTGAAGTTAAAATACAGTCTTCAACAATATTTCCAGCTCTTAATGGCCAAAGTCAAGAAAAGTGAATAGATTTATCAAAGATCTGCCATCAACACAAAATTCCTTTAATGACAAACTCATTTAGACATAACTAAAGACAACCACTGACAATGTTCCTGACTAAGGAAAGACAAATGAATATAAGGTGGGTTTAACTAGTTTTTAGATCACCTTGCCATAATAATGCAAAATTACAAAAATATCAAAAAATTTATTTAAAAAAACAATAAAAATATATCTTATGAAATCTTAAATACATTGTTTGTATTAATACAATGACAGTTATTTATATGGCACCATTTAATTTTAAAGTACATTTTTGTACACATAAATCTATGAATAACCTTATATTACTCTCCTAACTTGTACCCTCAGAGATTGCAACTAGGCAACTGCTGTTGAAGAACATACAACTTTTTAGGTAACAGGTGTGAAATAGTTGTAAAAATATATCATACCTATCAACTAATCAACAATCTAAATTCCAACTTTTATATGATGCATAGTTGCTGGAAAACTGCCCTGAAAAATTCTAGTATAACATCTGTTTGAAATGTTAATTATGGTGCAGGAACCACATGAAACTGACAAAACATGTAAAAATGCTTTATACCTAACAGCTCAAAAATATGCTAAATGCTAAATCAAATAACATGTTGATGCATGGTTGCTGAGAAATTCCTTCACAGAAAAGTGTGGTTGAAACAATTTTTTAATATTCCTCCACTCCTTAATAGTATGTTAAATATTTTTATAAAACATTTTGTATGATTACCTCCAAAAGTTTACTCAGATTACCCAGTAGTGTAAGATGGAAAAATAAATACAACAGACTGAATGGAGTGCTTGGAAATGTCCTTCGGTTACATTAGTAAATATCTCAATAACAACTATAACTTTGTCTCAATTATGTAAAGCATTAACAACACATTTAGGGCATGCTACACATAACATCCCAGGTCTCTGATAATACTGCATCAAAATACTACCACATCTCTCCAGCTTTGTATGTCCATCTGTTATTTCTTTTTCAAATTTAGTCATGATTTCTTCAATAAATATCTGTCGGGTATAATTATGTCCACATGTAAATACTACAGCATTAGGTTCAGAAGAGGAACTTCTACGAGACATGTGCAAGTTCTCATCAAGATGATCCAATTCCCCTCGTGTTATGTAGATATAGTTTGTATGTTCTTTCTGAAGATTTTGTACCACATCATGCCATAGCTGATTGAATGGGTTCAGGTTTGAGAGGGAGGAAGCATTCTGTTTTATTGTTAATGAACTTAGCATCAGATATAAAGCTGGGTGACGTCTTTCAAATTCTGTGTCGGAAATTGCATGAATGACTGTCTCCAGAATTTTGAATTTGAATCTCATGGAGAAGGATAATCTAAACTCATTTGTTATTTCTATAGATGACTCTCCTGTTTTCAACCTGTCAATAAATATCACATTAATATATTATAAATTTCAGAGTTACATATAAATAATTTTGTAGTAAGAACAAATTTGGAATTTCCTTTATATGAGTTTTCTTACATAAGCTGAATGTTTTTATGGCCCTTCTGTAGCAGAGGGGCGTTAAGTTTTATCCTTGTACGTCCGTCCGTCTGCCTGTCCGTACGTCCCGAAATTGGTTTCCGTTCTTTCACTTTAGTTTTGCCTCAACCAAATGTGATGAAACTTATACACAATGCTTATTACCACAAAACACAGATCAAGTTTGAATTTTGGTGGCATCACTTTTACCGTTCTAGAGTTATGCCCCTTAATTAATTTGAAAAAATTGCTGAATTTTTCGTTTCCTTTCTCTAACTTAAGTTTGCCTCAACCAAAAGTTATGTAACTTATACACAATGCTTATTACCACAAAACTCAGATCAAATACAAATTTGGGTAGCGTCACTTTTACCGTTCTTGAGTTATGTCCCTTTATAACGTTATATGCAAGCAGGGGCATCATCTGTGTCCCATGGACACATTCCCCATTTATTTCTATTAGTTAACACAAATTTCAAATAATCTGAATGTTGTAAAACAAATTAATTTCATTTTTATAATTTTGGACAATTTGCTGAGCAATAAAAAATACCACTAGTAGTACAAAGGACTCACAGAAATTTTACACTTCATTCATAACAACATGTTTGATGTTAAACTTCTTTCTATGCATACATAGTTCATAACATTTTTCTAAAGTATTCAATTCAAAACTGAATAAAGTTCTGGTATAACATTTTTCTAAAGTATTCAATTCAAAACTGAATAAAGTTCTGGTATCTATGACCATTTTCATTAAAAAAAATATGACCCAAAGCAGACTCTGAGATAACCATTCTTTGCTCATACTACTAAAATGTACTTTTTTATGGAAGAAACAGCAAATACTCATTTGTTGTCTTTATTTTTACTAAGTGAAGAACAAATCAGCAGGAGCTCACTGCAATAATACTGTGAATGAGGTATGAGATTATTTAATACAAATACATACCAAAACAGAGTTGTACATAAATCACATGCAAAACAATCTTTATGTGTCTGTAAAACATCTTCTAAGTCTGAAGTCTGTAATGAATGTGTCTCCCAAAACTTCATAATCTACAATAGATGATTTATTAAATTGTAACTTCATTCATTTAATCAGTGCTACACTAAATCACAAAAATATTTCAGTTCCGTCATGACAGTTTACACATAAATAACACTTTCAACTTGCTTGACCAAAAGGATCATGGAGGAAGGGTTGAACAGGGGTAAGGCAATATGGGAATGAGCAGAATTAGGAGTAGGAGTAGAGGAGGAGGGAGGTAAGTGGGGTTCAGTGACCCTCTAGCCACCCCTTCATGGAGTCTTCCTTACTACTTTGTAACTGCAGCAAGTTGAAAGTTTGTCAGGTGTTCTTAAGCATTTAATAAAATATTCTACATCATTTAGCAAACAGGACATGAATAATCTTAAAGGAATATATTTGAAACTGCATTATGCATTTCACTCCCAATCAACCAACAGGCAACCGTTACTATAAATAGATCAGAAATTTTTCTGACTAAATCTCCAGAAACATTTAGCTGATCTTTAATAAATAAATGTGAAATAAATCAAAACAGAAAATATGTGAGTATTGTTCAAGTTGACCTAATTATGGACTTGAACTTGAACTGAGAAAATATCTGAAGATGACAGTTTTATAATCTATTTGTAATCATAAATCTGATATTGATCTGATATCGTATATATATAGTTGTAAAGCCTATATTTTCAAAACATGTGATATTGTGCATCTAATTTACAGTAAAAAGGTGAGTCAATTCAATAGAGTCAAATTCTTAAACTATGGACTTTTTCACAAGTGCCAGATGAGTAAAATTGACTCAATAGTGCCTTGTGCTATGTAATCACTAGAATGACAACAAATATAATATATGTAATAAGAATTAGATGGTTTTGAAAATCGTATCCAATAACTTTATGAATATAATAAGACTTCCTTTCAACTTGTTTGTCCTTTAAATATTTACAGTTACCTTACATTTGAGAACTTATAGCATACCAATAATGTTTAGGCTACTTTTGTGAAGAAAATTAATACTACACTGAAATGTGTATAGAGTGCATAAAAAAAGACAGAAGGACACAGTTATTTTGCTATTTGACTGCTGAAACTTTCTTTGAGGAGAAAAAAGTACATTCTTAAAGTTATAGGTCAAAATCTATATAATATATAAAAGACTTGAAAACTGTAACATTGAAGAGTGAAAGTATAGTTTGATGTCATTTTTATTATCATTCAGGAATAAATATTTGATAAGGGCAGAAAATATTTTAACCTCAGCAAAAAAAGAAAATTCCCCATAATTCTGCACAATATATCCCTCCAAATACTGTGGATTCATTATATTCATAGGATACCGATTTTCATGGATTTCGTGGGTACAGGGGGACCATGAATTTATAAGTTCAAAAAATCACAAATTTTTTATAGGAATGTATACATTAATTTTTAAAACCACAAAATCATATATCCACGGAAATGCAAGTTTACCTCAATCACCAAAAATTGGTAAAATGAATCCACAGTAGTGAATGCCTGAAAGTATAATAATTTAAAGATAAAGATTGGCTTATCATTTAACATATATAAGAGATTTACAGTTCTTAAAAATTACCTGTAACAGTAAAATTCTGTAAACTTCTTCTTTTTCTGTTGCAGAAGACTTGTGATCCACACATAACCTTTAAAAATAAATACATGTATCATCCTTCATGTAATATTTGCCACTAAAAATTAAGCAGCCAACAATCATCTAAAAAATAACTTGAATATCATATCATCAGCAAGTGTATTCAAGGTTTTCAAAGTCGTATTTGTGTCAAATTAAATTGATTTTTTTTATATAGTGTCATTTTCTGTTAGAAACAAAATATACTTATTCTCAATTATTTGTTACAAGAACTTGATTCTAATTCTCAAATTTAGGGTATGACCAAGGAGAATCTACAGTGTAATGTTATACATGTACTCTATTAGAAGAAGAGATAGCCATGAAATTTTGATAGGATGTAACAATGAAATTTATAATAAACTTAAGTCTGTTCAAAAAGAATATTCCAAGCTTATTTTCATTTGCATTGTAGAAGGTACAATAAGGCCCCTTTTTTGGTCATTTGAATTAAAATACCTAGCAAGAAAGCACGTTAAAATGTCTTGATGGATTTATGACTCACAGACCAGGTAACATAATACCCTGTATTACCATAGGCAGGGCATACTAATAAACTGTTAATATCAACTTTTTTGCTTGCATACAATTCCACCAAGTAACAACAACCCATGTGAGCCGATCCTTGTTCAGAAAGTTAGAAGTGAAGATAGCATTACTTAAAAGACATAAACCAATTTGTATACCTGATATAATTTTGAATAACAGTCTTGGATACCTCTGTAAATCTACTGTCTAATGATGATTTATAGTGAGTTAAAGCAGCCAGATGGAATGATAATGCCTAAAATAAACACATATACCAACTGTTAATACTGATACTTTTAACAGAAAAACAACTGCAATTAATGAAATGTCATCAAATGAATTTTTACCCTGTAATGCAAAATTACCATAGCAACTTCTATCTAATAAAATTTAATCTATTCTTATTCAGGGGTACCATCAAATCAAGTTCAATTGTTTTTTGTCATGCATGAAAATCTTTGAAACTGATAAAATACCCCCAACCACCACCACCACTGTATTAAATGGGGTTCAGACCCTCCCATAAATTTGTTTCTGGAAAAATCATAAGGGTCATTTTTTTCAAATTTAAAGTTTTTTAGAACGTCATGTAATGTAGTAAATTTCAATACCTGTGAATAGTTGGTCTGATGGAGACAAATGTATGCTGCACTTAACCAGTCCTGGTGATCAACATATGTTCTAAGTAACTTTAAACAATTACACACACTTGGTAAATGCTGAAAATAGATAATTTACTGAGATATTGCAACTTTAATACCATGAACTTAATTATTTAATGAAAAAAGTTATTTGATATATGTATATATAATTTTGCATCAAATTCTATTTGTGAAAAAACAAATTAAATTGATTGATTGAATGTTGGTTTCTTAATGTCTAGTGGCAAATATTTCATACATATTCAGGATAAAAACAAATTGAATAACATAAGTTATGTAGAAATTGATATGGTGCATCAATGCATGCTACTGTTTGAATTTCATTTATAGTAACTTATAATTAGAAATATTAAACTTACCTCCAAAATAGTCAAAACAACACAACGACTGTACTTGACACCAACATCTGACTGTAAGTCTGGTATATGTGGTACAAAGTCATCATCATCACTCAGCTACAAAAATCATGTAAAAAAGTATTAATTTTCAGCCACACTATTTCACTATAATTTTTTACACACCCTTCCATATGTTTATGAATGACTTAGAACTAGATGCAATAATTAATTCAAAACAAGCAACATTTCTTCAATTCTTAATATTTTGTTCTAAATAATATCTAAAATTCTATTGTCAGTATTCCAAATTAACGAACTCATATCTTGACATGAAAATCTTACCAGTAATTCATCATCACTACTGGATGACCTTGACCTTGATAGCATTAAATGTCTCGATTGTAAAGGTTTAACTGATGGCAAAGCTGTACAGCGTGTAGGTACCAACTGTTCCTTCATGTTACTACTTGGTCTTAATCTTCTACCAGGATCTGTTGGATCAAGACCCAACTAACATAAAAATATATTATTCCAAAATATAAAATATGTGTATGGCTTCAATAGTTACGATACGAAATACAAATAACAGTTTTCTATGGGGTACCCATCTATTTTGGCATTTATGAAATAGACAGCATGGTAAAGGTAAATATTTCACATCGTCAAATTTTCCTTTTGTTTGTAATCATGATGTATTCAATATCAACAACACTAAATTAGGAGACCTTTTTCGCATGTTGCTTTTCATACTATCAGATAATATCAATCAGTATGATTTGGTGTTCTGAACTAAGCATGTCATTTTCACTTTTCATGTTCAGTTTGGATTTTCAGGGGGGAAAATTTAAAAAAAAAAAGTGATTTCAGATTTATGTCAATACTTATAATTTCCATGTTAACACTTGTTTAGAAAAGTTATGACTCATAACCACCAGTATATCCAAGCAACAACACACCATAATGTTAAAGGTTTGTTTAAAAACCAAACAAGACTTTCAAACAAAAACACACCACCAGTCTTGAATCGAAATAAACTTGGTCTAAAATTTGCAAAACTGAGCCCATAACAAACAGAATAAGGTAATTTTGACCTTAACGAAAATAGTTTTCTTACATCTTTCAACCATGACTAACTTCTTGTACTTAATCAGTTGACAATGTGAATTGAGAGAATAAACATAATTAAATTCACAAACCCAATGATTTTGCAGGTGTCTTCCAGAAGGTATTTAAGTTATTTGAAAAAAAAAACTTTTTATACATCTCTTATGTTATTTTTTTTTTTTTTTTTGGTATTTCATGTGTTCAAATGAATGTTTACAGCCTATAAACTTGTATCAAAATATTCTTGAACAATATGGTAGTGAACAGAACTTTTACAAATATTTACCTGTCCAAATTCATTTTTGCCCCAAACCCACAAAGAATATTCTGAATCCATGGCTACATTAAATTCACCTCCTGAAGATATGTGAATAATCTGTTTGTCATTTATACTTGTTACCATGGATGGAGTTTTCTACAAACAAAAATATGTGCATTTGGAAAATATGCATGTACTGTTGTTATTGTGTAAAAGGTTAGTTTTGAATTATTACCTATTTTTGTATTTTTTTTCTAAAAGATATAAATAAATAAATCCATTAACTTTAATATTTGCCACTACAGTTTAAAAAAGTGTAAAACAAAGAATTTCAACCACAAACTTTCCATAAAATGAAATTTAATAATGAACTTACAACATCTTGTCTTGAGTTATTACCAATCTGTCCATCCATATTACGTCCCCATGTGTAGACATCACCATCTAACGTTACTAAACAAGTGTGAGATTTTCCACAGGAGGCCTAAAATTCAACCAGTCAACAAAACTTTATTTAGATCATACAGGTCTCAAGTTTAGTATTTTCTGTCAATGTCATCTCTGTTTTCATGTATTGTTTTTTTTTAATCATTTATGTAACTACAGCTTTAAGTATATATTTATGAGGCAAGTTCTAGAACTTTATTGAGAGAACTTTGAAAGTGTTAAACAAAGCAATGACTCATTAAGAAATTAAAAAAAAAAATGTTTCTATACATACAACACTAATAAAACTTTATAGGAAACAGAGTAAACAAGAAAATATGACAAATATAAAAAAGGATTATGTTATAGCAATGACATAAGATGGTTTTGATTTTTCCTTTTTAAGTCCATTTTTGTTGATAAGCTTTCCTTGTGTTACACAACTCTTGCTTTCTAATTTTTAATTGTAAGAATGATTTGGAAACTATTTAAAAACTGTTTGAAAACATGAACTAAAAAAATCCTACCTTTACAATACGACCATGAACAAAACTAGTGTCGACTATCTCTGGAACAAGGAATCTCTCCACTGGATCACTGACTGCTGTACCCGCTTGCCTAGCTCTACGTACAGCATGAGCATTCAATCTGAGGTTATATGGATGACATCCCCAATTATAAACAACATTATGTATAGTTACAGCTACCTGTACATAAAAAGTATATCTAATTAATTAATGTACTTGTCTCTTTCTTCAAACCCTATACAGTTACATGACTGTTATTGATCAAAGAATGAATTTTAAATTCTTCCTTGAATATTTCTATTATAAGTTGAGAAGAAAATGCTCCTTTTTACACATTATCATTCTACATATCATGAGTTATTGATTTCTACTGAAAAATGAATCCTGTGACCCCATATAAACTTTATATCATTAAAACAGAACAGTTCATAGCAATCACATATAATTCTTAAACAAAATTTTGTGGACAGAATTTTGTAATTTAAATTTGAAAACATTTTTTTTGCAGCTTTTTATTTACATTCTATACATTTGTAGATCTGTTTCACAATTTTTCTAATTAATTGCATCCTTGCAGTAATAAATGCTACATATACATGTATATAATTTTTTTTATCTTGATGCAGTTAAGCAAGTTATAAGTGCAAACAAAATTTCATAAAAAATTTGAAATACAGCCAAATTAGGTATACATTGCCTTCAGAATATATAGATTACTTCCTAGCCAACATCCTAATCATGTTAAAAAGTTGTTTTCAAAGAAAGTTATCTCGGATAATCTAAGTTATCAAACTTAAACAAAACAAAAATACTTACATTATGGAAATACTTAGTAGCTATCATTTTAACTTTATGTGGTATTCTCTCCATCTTTACTGGTAAAGACTGTTTGGTGGTATGACCTATGCCCAACTGACCAAAATAACCACAACCAAATACCCATATTTCACCCTGAGAAAATAAAAGTGCAAAAAATTACAAGTACCATAATATTATTTCTTTATTTAATATTTTCTACAGTATTTCATTTGACTGATAACATAATTCTGTTTAGGAACACTTATCTTTCAAGAAATACATTTTCAAAAAGAAACTGCACATGAATGGGAAGATAAACAAAGGAGAAGGTAAAAGCCTTACTTGGCAGATAAAGTATTACAAAATCATATTAGTTCTGAATTTTAAACATTTAAAAATTATTCAAAATTCCTAAATATCAAATTTTATCAAGTGCATATATTTTCAACTACATTCATCATTCTAACAATGTTTTTATAAATCAATGTTAATATTTGATATTCATTTTTAATGTGTAATCTCTAGGCAAAAAATGCAAATGAGTTTGATTTTAGTGTGTTAAAAGTATATTTTACTTGTATCAAACATAAAGTTCTTTCATTATCTTTGGAATTATTATTGCGAACCCAATGATACTTTTCCACAGATTCACCTGCAAGTTACCTGTCGATTTAAACTTTTGTAAGTTCTTTTGTCCCATCTAATAAATACAATAGCTATTGTTCTCTGTGTAGTTTATTTGATGGGACCTTTAAATTTCTTCCAAGAGAAATCTATCACTCACTGATTAATTTACCTGAACAAAAAATTGAACTGTCAAAAATGAAAATACATGTACAAATACTAAATAAGGACTCAAAAAAACTGTATGTGGTGTTGTATTTATTCAATATCAATAATTCATTTTTAATAGTTTCAATATAAACACTGATTCAAAAATTAAAAGTTGATTTCTGAACAAATTTTTTTTATTTTCCCTATTAAAATTTGCTTTTTTTTGTGTGTTTGACAAATAAAAACTTGAAAATTATTGTGTTTAAATTAAGGTCTTGATAAATGTATTCTATAACTGAACAACAACAAAAACATGCAAATTCATTGGAACAATATTAAAAATTTTGTCAGAAATAAACTTTTTATAATTAAATCAGTGTTTATATTGAACAGATTGAAAACATATTATTGATACTGATTAAATACAATATTGCATGCAGTTTATGCGAGTTTATACAACTATTTCCCCCCAAAAAGAAGATAATTTTTTGGTCAGGTAAATTAATCAATGAGTGATAGATTTCTCCTAGAAGAAATTTAAAGGTCCCAGTGAAAAAACTACACAGAGAACAATAGCTATTGTATTTATTCAATAGTACAAGAGAATAGACAAAAGTTTACATACCCTGGTCAAGAGCAGACGACTCTATGGAAGACTTTCATTTGGTTCGCAATAAATCACCTTGAAGGTCTCAACTGCATGAAGCTGATATTTGATGCTATTACACTGATGGAAATTAGATACATGCTTATAAAACTTACTTGACTTGATAATGCTAATGTATGACAATATAACTTACCTGACTTGATAATGCTAATGTATGACAATATAACTCACCTGACTTGATAATGCTAATGTATGACAATATAACTCACCTGACTTGATAATGCTAATGTATGACAATATAACTCACCTGACTTGATAATGCTAATGTATGACAATATAACTCACCTGACTTGATAATGCTAATGTAATGCTAATGTATGACAATATAACTTACCTGACTTGATAATGCTAATGTATGACAATATCCACCAGATACTGCTGTGATTTGTTTATCTGACAAAGTTTCTATTCTTTTTGGTGTCAACTGATCTTCTGGGTCTCCGTGACCCAGTTGTCCATGTACTCCCCAACCCCAACTATACACTCTGTAAGCAATATAAAAATCAGCACAAAATCTACCTATTCATTAATATGATATCAATAATCAAATTAACATGCACTACTTATTTACTGTTTAAAAGATTGCTATATTAAGAATTATATAATTAGAGAATATCTCTTGCCTAAAATATTGTTAAAGAATATTTCTTGCCTAAAATATTGTTAAAGAATATTTCTTGCCTAAAATATTGTTAAAATATGATAAGTAAAAGACACATATCATAGCTGAGAAAAAAATCAAAGCTGAGAAAAAATATAAAACTGTCATCAAAATTTCATATACTTAGCTAAAGACCTATTCAGATAAAACAGTGGCGCATTCTCATATAAACCTTTATAGACAAATTTCGGGAAGCTCTGATTTGTAGTTCCTCAGAAAAATGCGACCAAAATTTTTTATAAAAGTTTTGTTGATGATTAAGATCAAATTTAATTTATGAAACAATGATTACACCTGTAATCATTATAAGGAATATTATATTTGAGAAAAACTTACTGATTGTCATTAGTCAGAGCAAGAGTATGAAACAGTCCACATACTACACTGATAATATGATGGCCAAAATTAACTAACATAGCACGACTGTACATATGTCTAGTTCCTACTCCCACTTGACCATACAAGGATGAACCCCATGAATACACCTGAAAATAAAACAACATAACACATAAAAAAATTAATGCATTTAGAATCAACAGCTTCTTTCATTTGAATACACTTGAGGGTGGTACCATTTACATGATTTTTTAGTTTTGTTTTTATAAATAAATCTGACAAATGTTTTAAGTTACTTTAATTCTGTCACAAACTGTCAGATCATATAACCTAACAAAAGGGTAAAAGTAAACAGCTAGCATAAATTGATACTTGGGTTCAATAAACTCAGTAAAATAATCTATATTTCTTTTTATTCCAATAAAATGCACTGAATAATATTCCCAGATGAAGTATTTCATAAAAATTAAAAACCTATTTTGCCTGTGTAGGAATTAATCTTAGGCTTGTGGTGTCATGAAACAGGTTTATTCATGCATACAATTTTTGGTTGCAATGGCATTCACCAATGAAATAAGACTAACATATAACATTAGAACTATAATAGATTGATTGTATTCTCGTCTTTTATTTTTGCTTATGTGCTTTGTCTATATGCCATTTTGTTTTTCTTTGTTGACATATTTGTTTGTTTTTATAGTGATTAAGATTATAACACAATGTTGACTGCTGTACCCCTATTTTTGACATTTTTACCTATTATGTCTGTTTGTTTTGTTCACACATTGTTGTCAATATAATGGAATTTTATGCGACTGTCATACAAGTGAGAGGTTTAGCTAGCTATAAAACCAGGTTTAATCCACCATTTTCTACATAAGGAAATGCCTGTACCAAGTCAGAAATATGACAGTTGTTTTCCATTCCTTTGATGTGTTTGAGCTTTTAATTTTGCCATTTGAGAAGGGGCTTTCCATTTTGATTTTTCCTTGGAGTTCAGTATTTTTGTTATTTCACTTTTACACATAAAACTAAAATTCGATACCCCCATCACCTGTACAGAAACAAACAAATATTTACAAATTATATTACTCACTCCTTGATGAGTTAAGGCTACTGTGTGATCTCCACCACATGAAACTGATATCACCTTTATCTGTAGCTGATGTAGTGTGTCAACTCGGCAGGGAACCAGTGTAGGATTATCTGGTACCAGATCTCCCTGTCCTAAACTGAAAGATATTACATATGTATAAACTGTCAAAGTCTTTGACTAACATATTTCACATTCTCTAAAACTGTTGTATTTACACTATGCATCAATCTACTTTTTGATAATATAATTCATGGAGCAAAAGTGAAGTGCAAGTTCTTTTGAAAATATCGCAATATTTTTTTTTTAATTCTGGAAAATAAATGTTGTGTTATTAAGGGTTGGAAAATAAATTTGGATACACAACTCAACAAAGGATAATTTACAATAAGCACATGGAAAAAGTTAGTGAATAATTCTATTGGAAATTATACACTAGTGTAACTTGTCCTCTTGAAAAAATATACTGGCGGAAGGAATACACTGTTACAAGCTTCATAGCTAGGTATATATCTATAAGACTTACCGACCATGTGAAGCTCGTCCCCAGGTATACAAATCGCCATTTCTAACAACTCCAACATGTTGAGCTCCACAACTTACTAGTTTCATCTGGTATTTCAATTTTCTTTTTCTTAATTTTATATCTGACTTTCTTGCCTGAAGAAAAAAAAACCAGCTTCTTTTTAAAATGCAATACACTATTTAAAACCTAGAATGAAGGTATATATGTTATACATTGTCTTATGGTTCCATTTCTAGGAATTTAACAAAAAAAGAGCTATTTCACAGCAAGCTTGTGTATGTGGAAATATGGTATTTACCATAAACAGCTATTGTTCTCAACTTTATTTGTGTAATAGACTCAAAGGTAAAAAAAAAAAATTATTGGTCGACAGGTTTCGTCTGTATTTAATCATTTTTATTTGAAAACCCTGCATACCATCTGTATCCATTTAATGAGACTCTACCAACACAAAATTTAGAAGGTGTTAACTGTATGTTCAGTGGATCTTTATTTTTATTGTTAATGTAAAATTATTGTCTTGTTTTTTTATTAATATACATTCCCTTAATTAAAGTTTGACTAATATGTGCAAAGAATTTTCTTTTTAAGTGCTGTTGTATGAAATATACATGCATTGTTTGTCACTGGAAGGTACGCAAACAACATTTAATCAATCTTTCTGTATTGAACTTCTCTATATAGATTAACTTTGTGCATTGAACCAGATGGTCTTTCTATGCTGTTCAAATATTTTATTCCCACCTTCCACTCCCTAGTGGATAGCTTTTCCATATTTGCTACATTAATCATTAGAAATGGAACTCATAGTTATCATGTACTTTGTGTTAGGGGTACCACAGGTTTACATTTTGATTTTGCTTTGTTTGTTAATATATTTATTGCTTTATTGATATGCAAAGAAAATATCAAACTGTGATTCTTTCTCCCAAACCTTTGTTTTTTCAGTTTAAACCCTAATACAAGAACCAGTTACACACAGGCAAAAAAGCTAAGGACATATCAAAACATCCATATCACGTCTGTTTTACAGATGTATAGTACCATGTCCGTAAAACAGATCTTCCATATTACAGACATTTCTCAAACATTCATATGACTGCTGTACAACCCCATGTTTTATTTTCATTTGAAAAGCATTGTGTAATATTTGCCTTTCTTTCATTGTAACATTAAGAAACTTCCTTAAAACATTACGAAAGTGATACAACATCTCCTGGGTCCCTTACTGACTTCTGATTAGTGTAAAGCAGATGCCTTTATTTGCACTGTATCTTCTTAGCATTTGGTTCAGGCTCCAGAGATAGCAACCAGGTAATTGGTCAACTGATGTGAATTAATTTTGTGCATTGACCAGATGGTCTTTCTATGCTGCTCTTTATGTTCTTGTTTAAAATCTGTTCAATTAGGTTTTAAATCACTATCTATTTCTATAGTGATTAAGTTTTGACACTGGTATCTACTATGATATGACACCAGTGAATGAATTTAAAATAAGGAAATATTTAATGATAATTTCTTTTCTGTTGACCTGTCAGAGTTTTTTTTGGGGGGAGGCATAATATTATAGTATTTTACACTTGTATATGCACATGAAGTACTCATATCATATTGGAAATAGCCTATGTAAATTAAAATACAAAGGATCTTTTAAGGAATAATTTGTTCAGTTTGTTCATATATCCTATAAAGAATGATATTTGCCATAAAAATTACTCACAACAAATCTACATACCCCATAGTGTTGACCTATCAAGAATACTTACTGAAAAACAGATATCATCCTGATAATTAAATCTCATTACTTGCAAATTAAAATGGGGTCTTGGTTAGATAACAATACCTGATTTACAAGGTCACATCATAAATGTCATCCAGAAAAAAAATGTTTGACTTAAATGAAAGTGGGGATAAATTAAAACACATTTGCAAATTGTTTTCAGTGTCACAATTGCTGTTAAATACTGATGTGTCATCTACCTCAACTTTTGAGACGTTAAAAAAAACTGTCATTACCTTTTTAACAACGGCCTTGGGTTTCATCATTATAAGATCTTCAGCTGTTGGTGAATCTAATCTTTTATTCAGATGTAAAACCAATGTGAAGAAAAATCCTATCAACTCAGAAATGTCGGGAAATGTTTCCATCTGCTTAAAAAAAAGGTACATTTTTTATCACTAGTGTCTAAAATTTATTGATAATTAAACCTGTTAAATAGAGTAAGAAATTATCATTTCCTAAAATTGATAATAGTTCATAACAGTACCTATAATTAATGTTTACATTAGTTTTATCTGCACAGGTCATAAAAATCAGTTATGAATGACAATATGGTACCTATCTGTTTTTATGTGTGAGCTTATAAAAGGGTTGTCTAATAAATAAAATATTCTTTCAAAAGTATTCTGTTTATTCAAAGTTATGATACATAGACAGAGCATCACAATTTATTGTTCTTTATTATTTCACATCATGAAAATAAAAATTGATATTTCTAGATGAAGAACAGCAATGAAAGCACTGTACCTATGATTGTGATTGTTTTCATGTGCATGCAGTGAATTGATACACATTCTTTTCCATTTCATATAGACCTTTCAGGGGCGAATCCTGAAAAGGGGGGCCAAATTCCCTAAAAGTAACATATACCACTGAGTGGAGAGAGGGAAAACATTTTTTGGATGATTTTATGCTAAAAAGTTATATATTTTCCAATCAAACACCCCCCTCCTCTCTCTATCTGCAAATGCCTTTCCATGCATTATTCCCAATAAGCTTGATTCAAAATGATAAGAAGCATGCTTTCCACTTCCATTAAATTGACAAATTGACATCTATTTTGGATTCATTTATTTTTCTTTGGTATCACTTTACTTGGTTGGAGAAATTTTGAATATTCAGCAGGTATCAAATTTCATTTTTTTTTTACAAAGGTTGAGTTATATTTTCTCTCTTAGGTATCAAACACATGAAACTATCAGAATAAAAATTGTTTCTAGCTGCCTAATTTACCCTACATTGGAAAACAATTATGAATCTTTATAAAATAACTTTCACATGTCATGCATGCAAAGTCTATTCCAATTTAGTCTTTTGTAGAAGATACTAGTAGATGATGATGAAAGATACATGCAGGGTAATAACAATATATTTTGCAGTCCTTTAAGCCAGTTCTAGTGATTTCCTAAAAATGCACATAAAGTTGGAAACACAAATTCAAAGAGCCAAAACATCTAAGTGTTTATGCTACAAACTACAAAATGTTGTTTCACAGAATTACCTCAGTATAGGTATCCCCTTCACTGGATATTGATGTCATTGAACTAACACTTCCTCTTCTAAAACAAAGGATTTAAAATCAAATCAGAACAGATTAAACTGACAGAAAATGTAATTCCAATATAATATCTTGATTCTACTTAAAAGAAAAATATCCAAATTCTCAAAATATTAAGTAGCAAAAACTTAATTGTAATACTCATAATAACACTGTTTTACTACATGTATCATCACTACATTAAATGTTAAAAATGGAAAATGTTATGGCTGTTTCTGGTTTTAGAATGAAAAATGGGACAGGCCAATATCACAGGAACTTGATAGTCACATATACTAATTGGCTAATTTAAAACACATCCGACAGGTAATTTATATTTTACTACATTTTATTAAATATATACTTAGTGTATTGAATGGTTATGTACTTAGTGATGTAAGTGTACGAAATGATGTAATTGTCCTTAATGACCTTTGCATACCTAAATATTTTGTAAACAACTTAGTGTATTTTTGGAGGGAAAGATGTAAATATTCATATAAAAGGATAAGATCATACAACATGGACATTTCTGGATTTAAAAATATCTATACTTATTTACCTTTTCCTTGAATGCAACAATTGTCTACCTAAATGTGATCCAAAGTATGATTGTGATGGATCAAATATTTCACACAACTTCTCCAGCACTGGTGTTTCTATATCTTCAATGTAGGGTACCAGTTTTGTGTAGTTATGGAAGGCTAGAATTGGCTTCTCACAGAATAACACTACTAAGCTGTTTGGTGTTAGTCCATCTAGCAGTACACCTTAAATAATACAACTTTAAATATAGTCATGCCTGTTTTAATTTTATGAAGAGCTGTGACAGGAGTACATGGCACTCAAGTTCTTAATTACCTTTGCAAATATACTATGCTTGTTTACTTTAATTGAAATATAGAAGTTAACTATCTATCCATTCCATTACAAAACTTTTCAATTAAAATAAGCAATCATTTTTAAATGTTTTTAATTATTTCTGGGACATTTTTGCCTTAAAATTAAAATCACTGATATTTACTTTGAATCACTTGTTGTTATTAGACTTACCATTACTAGCCCTTATCAGGTGATGTGCAAAGCCTTTTTCTATTAGCTTACTAATAAGACATGGTTCTAGAACAATATGACCTTTCTGTACTAAAATCTCTAATGCTTCTAACACCAAACCTCTGGCCTAAAAAAAAGCAGAAATTTCACACCTTGTGAGCAAAGCATAACCCCATTTGTAATTCAAAGTATTATAAAACAGGAAGTAGGAATCTGATAGATCTGATAGGCATTACAACTATCACTGTCAAGCTGGTGACCAAATATGAAGTCATTCTGTACCTACAGTAGTTACTGAGTAAAGTGACAAAAAAATTTTGTTTTCATTCAACATATTGAAATATTAAAGTATCTGTAAACAGAAAGTTGGTGTCTAACACATTATAACTCATCACTGTCATGCTAATGAAAATGTATAAAGTCATTTTATTCAAACTGTGGTTATAACTCTTCAATATAATGGTTGCATATTTCAGAAACACCCTTGATACAGGGTTGTTATACTAAAAAGTTGGAAGTAAAGATCTACTGAAAGATGTCACATTATTAACCATGTACATCTATTGTAATATCTGTAAATATAAGATACTGGGTGAAAAATGAGGATGTTCAACAACCTGTTATTTTGTAAAACAAGAGCGCTGAAATGTCTCGCCTGCTTTACTGATCATTGATTTCATGTTGAAAGTCTCAAAGATAAAGGTTTTACTAAAACCGTTACAGTAACTTAACATTTTTAAAAATCTATGACAATGAAGTTAAGGTCAGATAAATTGTCAGACAGACATATACACCTTACAATTTTTTTATACACTAAATACAGTTGACCTATTCATATGCTAATTGAAAAACAGACCAAAACACAAAAACTTAACATTGAAATGAACCATAAATATGAGGTCAAGGTCAGATAATACCTGCCAGACAGACATGTGCACCTTACAATCATTCCATCCACCAAATATAGCTGACCTATTGCTATTAGTATTTCAAAAACAGACCAAAACACAAAAACTTAACATTGACCATTGAACCATGAAAATGAGGTCAAGGTCAGATGATACCTGCAAGACAGACATGTACACCTTATAATCATTCCATACACCAAATGTAATTGACCTATTGCTTAAAGTACTTGAAAAACAGACCAAAACACAAAAACTTAACATTGACCAATGAACCATGAAAATGAGGTCAAGGTTGGATGAAACCTTCCAGACTGACATGTACCCATTACAATCATTCCATACACCAAAGATAGTTGACCTACTGCTTATAGTATTTGAGAAACAGACCATAATCATGTAACTTTAAACTTGATCACTGATCTATGAAATGAGGTCGAGGTCAGGTGAACTCTGTCTGAGGGACATGTAGACATTGCAAGGAACCCATATACCAAATATAGTTATCCTATTACTCATAATAAGTGAGAAATTCACATGACAAAAAAACTCAATTTTTTTTTCAAGCAGTCGCTAAACCATACAAATGAGGTCAAGAACAATGGGCATATGATTGACGGAAACTTCGTAACATAAGGTATCTGCATACAAAATATGAAGTATCCATGTCTTCTACCTTCTGAAATATAAAGCTGTATACAACAATTTCATGCCACTGCCACCGGATAGTAATACATATGTTTCGCATACTGCGACTTTCGTCAAAGGCGAGACAAAAAAATGGTTCAAAATCTTAATCTTGACAAAAGACCAATTTCAAGTTCCTTTTTATGAATGAGTTACACCTGTTGACCTGGGGTCAATCAGTGTAAATGAGGTCTTTGAACAATTGGCACTTACTGTGCATGGTGAATTGGAAATGTATGTGAAAATACAAGAATGTGAAAGTCATCTATAGTAGAAATTAGATATGTTAACTGTGAAGAGTAAAATGTACTGTATCTATGAATGGACAAAAGGCAGTAAAACAATGTCCCATGCTGTGCTATAATCATCAATGACTATTTGATCAACAAGTAAACTTGATCTAAATTACTACCTTCAAATTTCACTTTCGTTCAAATATAAAACTCTGAAAATACATTTTCCGCTCAAATTTGTGCTAGGGGCATTCTTGGAACTTAGGATCTTAGTCAATTTTTTAGGTTTAAGGACAGCACAAACATCTTTACATACTTGGATTCCGGTCAAGGTCATGTGCATCGTATTCATTCTTATTCATGGAGTGCATGTAATGCGCCCTGCTGGATTAATTTTCAACAGGAACACTATTAATCATAATTTTGGAAAGCCAAATAAATCATAAACAAGGAAAATGTGTCCACAGTACACAGATGTCCCACTCGCACTATTATTTTCCTTGTTAAGCGAACAATGAAATTTGGGTCAAAACCCTAATTTGATATACAATTTAGGAAGATCATATCATAATGAGCTTTGTACTTAGTTTCAAGTTGATGTGACTTCATCTTCATCATAAACCACCTTGAACAAAATGAGAATGTACTTTTTTTACAATATCACATTTCTTAGTTCAGTGAACCATGCAATTGGGGTCAAAACCTTAATTTAGCATACAAGTTAGAAAAATAATATCATAAGGAACATGTGTATGATGTTTCAAGCTGATGCGACTTCTACATTATCATAAACTACCTTGACCAAAAACTTTAACCTGATCCGGGACAGATGGTCGGACGCACAGACCAGAAAATATAATGCCTGTCTACTAACATAGGTGGGCATACAAACTATGTAGCAATAAAACTAACAAACAAAATATTAAACGAGTAAATTCCATTTTGATTAAGAGAGTCGGAACCTTATTTGATTCTTATCTTGACTAATTCCAGAATTTATCGAAAAAAAAATGATACCCTGAGGACAACATGTATCAGTCCAACAAAAAAAGATACAAGCTGCATGGGTGGCAATAAACTGGATCGATCTGTGTTTCTAGATTATCCTATTGAGATCTATTGAGGCATGCTCGTACACAATAATTTTAAACTGAAGTCAACAGCTCATATAAATAGCTTTATAAACAATAAACCAAAGGAGGGGACATAGTTGTTGTTTTAGCTCCGAACAACAAAATACAGAGTGGTCATGGTAATTCGTCATAACTCGTAATGATAACTAATAATCATCACTGACTATATTAGACTGTTAGCACGGGGATTGTAAGTTAGAATATGATGGCCTTTTTAAAAGCGCATAGTGTTCAACTCCATTCTGAATTGACAAGGATTTCAGTTTTACTGACGAAAGACAGCGTTTAACCACAACAAAACCAAACAATCAAAAATCAGAATCTGCATAGCACCAAACAAAAACTGGGGGAATTTATAAGTACAGTTTTAAACTGTCGGTTAAGGCTTACAGTTACAAAATACAAACTTCTTTCATTACACACATGCTACAAAGGTCATCCAGTTTCTCCAAGAGGGTCACCATGCCTTGCTAACTTAGTTTTATAGCAATAGATATTCAATAGACATGTTATCCCATGGAAAAAGTATGATTGACCTGTTTATTTGAGGTTAGAGGCCATGTTTATCATTTCAGGATTATTCTTTTGTTGGGATCTGGGATTTCAATGTTTTAAGATCGGGAATTCTGGATTTGGGCAAATTAAGTTCAGGATTTCGGGATCAGAACCCCTCCTGCCCCCTCTTACATCACTTAGATATTACCATAGCTAGCTCCAATAGTGCTTCACAAAGATTGTGTTCAGCTAACAGGTCTAATGCTTGTTTTTCTTCGTAGTAAAAGTCTGTAACAAGTACATTTCTACAAAAGAAAAGAATCAGAAAAAAATTAATTAAACATGGAAGTTTAAAAAACAAACAAGAATGAGTGTCAATAGGACACCATGCCCAACATGCACTATCAAATTTCCATGTTCTTTAAAAGAAAAAATCTATGTCAAAACCCTAATTTGGCGAAAAAAATTGAAGTTCATGTATAAATGAAAACATGTACTAAGTTTCTAGATGATGCAACCACATCTGCCTTAAACAAAAGCTTAAACCTACCTTAAACCAAAACTTTAACCTACTTTCAACCAAAACTTTAACCTGATATGTGGCAGATGAGTGACTAGACAGAGAGACAAGGAAATGAACAGAGGAATGGACAGACACACTGACTGGAAAACATTTTGCTTCTCTATGATCTAGTATGGGGGGCATAACACAATATAAATTCACCCACTGCATTGAGTGTGATGCAATATTACTATATCATAGTGGAGAAATATCGTATAGCACGAGATGAGTGTGATGCAATATTACTATATCATAGTGGAGAAATATAGTTTTGCACGAGATGAGTGTGATGAAATATTTCTATATTATAGTGGAGAAATATCATATTGCACGAGATGAGTGTGATGCAATATTACTATATCATTGAGGAGAAATATCGTATTGCACAAGATGAGTGTGATGCAATATTTCTATATTAAAGTGGAAAAATATCAGATTGCAGGAGACGAGTGTGATGCAATATTTCTATATTATAGTGGAGAAATATTGTATTGCACGAGATGAGTGTGATGCAATATTTCTATATTATAGTGGAGAAATATTGTATTGCAAGAGATGAGTGTGACGCAATATTTCTATATTATAGTGGAGAAATATCAAATTGCAAGAGATGAGCATGATGCAATATTTCTATATTATAGTGGAGAAATATCATATTGCACAAGATGGGGTATCTGTTGTTCCTCTTATGGTTTTTATATGATATGTAGGCAAACTTTATCTTTCATTTTCAATGATCTGCAAAAAGATGTGCTCTTTCTATATGAGGTCATCAAGCATGTCCCCTTTCTTCATGATGTCATAATAGCAAATTCAGAGGACAGCAAGAAAATAGTATATCATAATTAAAGAACTGAGTGCTAGATTAAATGAATCGGACGAAGGTTATAAAAAAAATAATCAATGGGTCTGGGAAAGTTCATATAAGCCAAGAATGATCAATAATGTAATATAACATAGCAATGTTAATTTCAACCGTATCAATCATATACAGCTATTGGAAAAAACTATGAAGTATTGCTTTATAGCAACTAATAGAAATAATATATTTGAAAACAAAATAAAATAAAAATATATGTAGAAATAACGTGCTCTAGGTACATTCTATTTTTCATTGCATTTACATTTTAAACCTCTTCTTGAAATGAGAAAGAGTTTAATCCTGTTTTATTCCTAGAAAGAATAATGATGGAAAAAAGAACTAAAGCTGTAAAAGTGAGAAAATGCTCAAAATCAAAAATTTTCTTTTTTTTAAACATTTTATGATTAATCAGCAATTGAGGACAAATGTATATGTATGATCTAAACTTATATGTACTCCTGTATGTTTTGATATGGTCCACATTGTACAAGTTTAGTCCAAATACCTATACTGTCTGGATCTTCAATATCCTTAAAACTAGAGGCTCTCAAGAGCCTGTGTCACTCACCTGTATCTACTGTGGTTTTGGAAATCATGTAAAATATGGTTAAAATCATAATAAATAGTATTAGATACCCCAATAATGATTGAGAGGGTCATCGGATGCATTTTTTAAACTAGATACCCTAAGGATGATTTAGGCCAAGTTTGGTTTAATTTGGCCCAGTAGTTTCAGAGGAGAAGATTTTTGTAAAATATTACAAAAATTACGAAATATTGTGAAAAATTGATTTTAAAGGGCAATCACTCCTTATGGGTCAATTGATAATTTTGGTCATGTTTGACTTATTTGTAGATCTTACTTTTTGCTGAACAATTTTGCTGTTTACAGTTTATCTCTATCTATTATAATATTCAAGATAACTAAAAACTGCAAAATTTCCTTAAAATTACCAATTCAGGGGCAGCAATCCAACAACGGATTGTCTGATGAGTCTGAAAATTTCAGAGCAGATAGATCTTAATCGGATGAACATTTTTACCCCCATGTCTGATTTGCTCTAAATGCTTTGGTTTCAGAGATATTAGCCAAAACTGCATTTTACCCTTATGTTCTATTTTTAGCCATGGTGGCCATCTTGGTTGATGGTGGGGTCATCAGATACATTTTTTTAAACAAGATACCCTAAGAATGATTTAGGCCATGTTTGGTTTAATTTTGCCTAGTAGTTTCAGAGGAGAAGATTTTTGTAAAAGATTACAAAAATTTACGAAAAAATTGTGAAAAATTGATTTTAAAGGGCAACAACTCCTTATGGGGTCAATAAACAATTTTGTCGTGTTGACTTATTTGTAGATCTTACTTTGCTGAACAATTTTGTTGTTTACAGTTTATCTCTATCTATGATAATATTCAAGATAATAACCAAAAACTGCAAAATTTCCATAGCATTACCAATTCAGGGGCAGCAACCCAACAACAAGTTATCTGATGTGTCTGAAAATTTCAGACCAGATAGATCTTGACCTGATGAACATTTTTTCCCCCATGTCTGATTTGCTCTAAATGGTTTGGGTTTTTTGACAGGTAAGCTAAAAAGGTTAACAATTTTTTTCAATCCATTATACATAATTTTCTTTTTTGACAAGTGCTGTATGACTATATTAACATACATTAAGGTTTTCTGATTTGTCTCCATATCTCCATCTTGCAGCTGATATACCATACAATGTAGATATAAGTTAGACACATGTTTCCTGTCTGCTGTACTGATTTCTCTATTAGATAGTGCCAATGTTAAATGTGAAATAGCATCAGCTACATATCCATATTTAGCCAGGTACATAACTAGTTTATATGACGTACTCTGAAATATATTTGACAACTTTCAAAATTCAAATGACTAAGAATTTAAGTAAATATTTATAAACAACTGCACCAGAACTGTATGATATGCCTGTCATATGTATATAAAATGGAATATTGTAAGTAGCTTGAAATTAGAAGTCAGTAGAATGGCCCTTTAGAAAAAGTTGGAGGATATTCTTTGTGGTAAAAAAAAAAACTTAAAATTTTACAGTTAGTCCCATAACTAAAATGACAAGTCAGAAAATTAAAAAAAATCAAAGCAGAGCTTACTTTCATCAATACATGTAACAATACAAAGTTTGAAATCAATTCAACTAAGCATACTCTAGTTCGTGTCAACATGTGAAAAGTTCCCTTAAATCTGATTGTTTAAGTCCAATAGATCTAGAATGACAAATTAGAAGATTTTTTAAATCAAAAGTAGCTTAATTTGACTAACTCCCACAAAAAGTTTCATGAAAATTGTCCGGAGCATACCTGAGTTAGTGCAAAAACTATGCTTTATTTACTATGTAATACAAAATTAAACGAGTGGAACTATTATCAGTTATATTCAAAAACTTTAACAGGTAATGAAATTTAAAAAGTGCTGATTTCCTGTCATTTGATAAACAGAAAGAATCTGGAATCACTAGTAAGTTATGATTAACTTGAAACTCCTGGTTTATATTTCGTTTCTAAAAATCGAATGTATTGTGGTTGATTCCCGAGAAATTTACAGTTTTAAGTCATTAACATCATTTCAAATTTAAACGGTTGAATTCAATAAAAAAACGATTTTAGAAAAACGGTATGAAATTTCATGAAGTAAATGCAGTGAAACTGTCAATACAAATTCATTAATCAGTGAATCTAGTATGAATTTGACAGTTTGAAAAAAAGAACCCAATTTTCAAGTCACCTCAGAATAACATAAATTGAGTGAAAAAAATTTGCAGATTATTGAACTGGAACATGTTTTGATTGAAGAAAATGGCCAATTAATAATTACAATGCTGCAAACTGTGTCGATTTTTTCAATCAGCAGTCAAAGACCTGTTCACACTTTAAAATATACAAGATACAACAGCCATTGAACTGCAACAGAATACTAGATATCTTTTTCAACAAGCATTCTGAGAGTATTGCATGGCAACACATAGTCCCCTACCGGTTAAAAATTCATTGTACTAGAACAAAATGCTAACTTGATCTATAACTTGTCATGTGGTGTAAACTATATAACAAATATCAAGTCAATATCTTCAAGCATGACGAAAAAAGTGTGGAAAATTGATTATTTGAGTGAATTTTTAAAGTCCAAGGACCATAACTCTGCACAAATTATTAGGCTGGAACAAATTTGAACTTGGTCTGAACTTGTCATGATAAAACTATTTACCAATTATCAAATCAATATCTTCAAGCATGACGAAAAAAAAGTGCAGAAAACTGATTATTTGAGTGAATTTTCTAAGTCCCAGGACCATAACTCTGGACATAATCATCAGACCGGAACATAATTCGAATTTGATCTGCAACTTGTAATGATAAAACAATACACCAAATATCAAATCAATATCTTCAAGCATGAAGAAAAAAGTGTGGAAAACTGATTTGCCAGACTGACGGATGGACAGACAGACGGGCGGAGTGCAAACCTATAGTCCCCTTCGACTTCATCGGTAGGGGACTAAACATTAAAGTTCATTTTAAATCTGTTCACATTTATTCCCATTGAGTTAGATGTACAATTATTTAAGATAATCTGTCTCTTTCTGTTTTAAAACAAATTAACTGTCAATAAATGCAATGAACTTTTGTCAATTATATTGAGGAAAAATACTATATCATTATATTTTTTATCTTACATATAATAAAAAATCATTTTCTAACCTTGACAACTTTACAGAATTTAATAGCCTGGGCAACATGACCTCTTTGTAGTAAATATTCTGCTGATTTCTCATATAATGTGTTAACATCAAGTCCTAATCCAATTCCAAGGTTTTCTACATGTGCAGACTCGCTGTAAAATGTCAGTTCTAAAAACAACCTCTCTGGAGATATTCTGCAAAAACAAATATTGAAGTAGGTTGAAAATTAAGAACATAAATTAAAACAATGCTTTATAGCATAAAAAAAAGAAACATTCATTTGAAAGTCTATTACCAGTATTGTTGAGTTACTGTCTACTTGACAAATAGTTAAATAAGTTTTTATTTTTAATTTTTATGTTCAGATATCTCTGATATTACCTTTTTAAAGTGAAAGCACAAAAATATTGAAATGTGATGTGAAATAGCAATGTTTTTTTTAGTTGATTGATTAATTGTTAGTGTTAACACGCCACTTTCAATTCTCATGGCTATATCATGGCAGCCATCTTTTAAAGATGAATTCATAAACAAAACAACTTATTCAATAGTCTTATATATCAATTGATAGTTTTAAGTTAAGAACAATAAAACATCAGCAATATTAAAGAAAGTAAAACCGTTTTAGTCCTATGTACCTTGGTTTCATTTCATACACTGAAGAATCAGTTATTATAATACAACCATCTAATACAGTATGATTGGTCAATTGAATATCATGTGACATTGTCAGACCAGGTTGCCACGACCCTGATGATGTCAATCCAAGTTTGATATCCTGATTATATTTCTGTCTCATATTCTCCTCACATTTTTCATGCCAGTAAAATGGAAAGGATTTCTTTTGTATGGTAAGCAGATGTTCATTTTGTGGTATATCAAACTGTTGTAGAACTGCATCTTTGTTGAAATCCTGCAAAGAAATCTTACATGCATATGAAAACAACTCCATATATATCTGTATCTGAATCTCAACAGGGAAGTTATTTGAAAGTTTTTGTTTTCAAGCCACATAATTGTAATTGAATAAATTATAAATATTTCTTATGCCTAGAATTGATAAATTAGTCTTAAATTATCCATTTAAGGTGTACTATAAAATTATATCATGTAGTTTTTTTTTTAAATTGATTAAAAAATTCAGACAAGACAGTCATGTCATTGTAACTAAGACATTGAAATCCAATAATATATACTATTTCCATCAAATCGGTGTTAAACTTGTACTATTATGATACCTTTGTTTGGTCCATTGAGGTTTCAGCCCTCTGATTTGCTATTATGTAGAGCTTCTTTCCACTGGCAAGACGTGTCATGGCTAACAGAACTTTATCTGTCAATATTACAATGTCAGATCCAATGGGTAACTTGTAGGCAAATAATGGTGATCTGTCTATGTTACTGTCATAAACCTACAAGAACATTATCATACTGTTATCCCCCTAAATGTAATTAGTAAATAATGTATGTAAGGCATATTAAGTGTAAACAATTTTGCAATAACAAATGTATGTTGTCAAAATAAAGGGTGATGACATTTTTCTCCCTACATGACCATTTTTCAGTCCATTCAAAAAAATTGAAAGCTACATTATTAACACATTTTTTAAAAGTTCATTTATGGTCATCCATTCATTTAGAACAGAAACAGATCCATGGATTCTAGGTAAAACATTATCTGTACGAGTACCTTCATCTAAAATACAATAGTTTGCATTTCTAAAATCAGTATAGACTTATAATTCTTACTACAGAGAAAAGTATTTTAACTAAAAACATTATTTTAGAGAAACAACAATTTTAAATCATATTTATTTTGTAACATATTTGGGTGTTTATATACCTTTGGTCAATTATATATACTTCAAAGTTCCTCTGGCACAAAGAATTGATTTCATCATATTCTATGGCTCTCAAACTCCAGTTTCCCAAAACCAAAATTTGTACTCTTTCATTACTGTTAAAAAAAGGATCAAATTTCTGCTAATTAGATATATTCATCACTTACAATGACTGAAATAAAATTACTGTGACTTCACTTAATTTCCTGCTTTATTAACAGTATTTACCTGAAAAGTAGATTCTTTAGAGCAGTGAGAGGTTATGAAGTGATGACCTTTAGCACATTGGGGTTGTAGAATGACTGAGCGTGGAAACTGGTCTAACTTCTGGGGCTGGAACAGGCCTCTTGTTTCCTCTTTAATATAATAATAAGCAAATACAGTGGCCTCAATATGTCAAAAATACAATTTAAAAAAAATTCACCTAACTTAGTTATTTTTCTAAGTAAACACTGACATAACAAGATTAAATGAATATCTAACATGAGCTTTGTCAGCATTCAGTAATGTCATCTCTAAATATAATGTTTTATTTTTATATATAATAGCATTATATATACTAACATATAGGCAAATATGTTTACTTCAGAGGTTAAGTCTTTGTTATATTATTAACTTAGTTTGAAAGTAAATAAATGTGGATTGTGTCCACATGTGGACACAGATGATGCCCCTGCTTGCATATCATATAGTTATAAAGGTACATAACTGAAGAACGGTAAAAGTGACGCTACCCAAATTTGAACTTGATCTGAGTTTTGTGGTAATAAGCATTGTGTGTAAGTCTCATAACATTTGGTTATAGCTAACTTAAGTAGAGAACAGAAACTAAAAATTCAGCAATTTTTCTATTTGTAAACACGCATAACTCTAGAACGGTTGTGTATAAGCTTTATAACATTTGGTTGAGACAAACTAAAGTTAGAGAACGGAAACGAAAAATTCAGCAATTTTTATGTTTATAAAGGGACATAACTCAAGAATGGTAAAAGTGACGCCACCAAAATTTCATACTTAATCTGTATTATGTAGTAATAAGCAATGTGTATAAGTTTCATAACATTTGGTTGAGGCAAACTTAAGTTAGAGAACGGAAACACAAAAATTGTACATTATCTTAGTTTTGAGGTAATAAATATAGTGTATAGGTTTCATAATGTTTGGTTGGGGCAAACTTAAGTTACAGAATGGAAACTAAAAATTTTGCAATCTTTCGATTTATAAAGGAGCATAACTCAATAATGGTTAAAGTGACACTAACCAAATTAACTTGATCTGTGTTTTATCAGTGGAAGGCAAAATTAAACATTGCATTGTATAAAGCATTGATTGTAGTTGATTCAACTATAATCATGGACAAAGGAAGATAACTCCAATTTTAATAAAATGCTCCGCTGGGCACAGCTTGATTCGACCGCAGAGGTCGAACCCTGAACAGTTGGGGCAAGTATGGACACAACATTCAAGCTTGATACACACTGACTTTGGATTGTGATTAAATATTTGACACAGCATAGGTTTCTGACACAGAATGAATGTGGTCTAAGAACTTATAAATTTTTAATTTACCTATTCAAACCATATCATTATTATTTGCTTTTATATATAAATCAGAAATAACCAATTTAAAATGGAAAATTTTAAAGAAAAAAAAAGGAAAATAAGGAAAAAAAATCCCTCCCCCCAAACTCAATCCCAGCCTTCCCTTTGTGGTATGGTACCTTGCAGTACAATTTCAGAGAGATCCATACACTTGAACACAAGTTATTGTCTGGAAACTAGAAAAATATTTGTTTTTTTGCCACTTTTTGGCCCCAAATTTCTAAACGTTTAGGGCAATTACCCCCAAACTCAAACCCAGCTTTCCCTTTGTGATATGGAACCTTGTAGTACAATTTCATAAAGATCCATACACTTACACACAAGTTATTGTACTGAAACTAGAAAAATGCTTGTTTTTTGCCCCTTTTTGGCCCCATATTCCTAAAATTTTGAGGCAATTCCCTCCAAAATCAATCCCAGCCTTCCCTTTGTGGTATGGTACCTTGCAGTGCAATTTGAGAGAGATCCATACACTTGAACACAAGTTATTGTCTGGAAACTAGAAAAATGCTTATTTTTGGCCCCTTTTTGGCCCCTTATTCCTAAACGTTTTGGGCAATTACCCCCAAACTCAATTCCAGCTTTCCCTTTGTGATATGGAACCTTGTAGTACAATTTCAGAAAGATCCATACACTTACACACAAGTTAATTGTCATGAAACTAGAAAAATGCTTGTTTTTTGCCCCTTTTTTTGGCCCCTAATTCCTAAAACTTTGAGGCAATTACCCCCAAAATCAATCCCAGCATTCCCTTTATGATATGGAACCTTGTGGTACAATGTCAGAGAGATCCATACACTAACACACAAGTTATGTCTGGAAGTTACAAAAATGCTTATTTTTGGCCCCTAATTCCTTAACTGTTGGTACCATAACCCCCAACCTTCCTTTTGTGGTATTGAACCTTATGGTAAAATTTCATAGAGATCCATTCACTTAAACTAAAGTTAGAGTGCGAAAACCAATGTGTCTTCGGACGACGACGCCAACGTCATACCAATATACGACCACAAAATTTTTTTGCGGTCGTATAAAAATTACTTGATATTTAGAAAAAAAAAGAAGAAAAATTTAACAATTTTTCCATTTGTAAAGGGCATAACTCTAGAACAGTAAAAGTGACGGCACCAAATTTCAAACTAGATCTGTATATTGTGGTAATAAGCATTTTGTATAAGTTTCATAACATTTGGCTGAGGCAAACTTAAGTTAGAGAATGGAAACTTAGCAATTTTTCCATTTGTAAAGTAGTATAACTCTATAACGGTAAAAGTGACGCCACCAAAATTCAAACTTGATCTGTATTTAGTGGTAATAAGCATTGTGTATAAGTTTCATAACATTTGGTTGAGGCAAACTAAAGTTAGAGAACGGAAACCAACTTTGGGACGTATGGACGGACGGACAGACGGACAAGGGTAAAACTTAATGCCCCCTACGTTACAGCGGGGGCATAAAAACATAAGGACAAATTTCTTTATACATAGTACAGGTTGTAATATTCATCTTTTATTCAATAATCAAGTGGAGATTGTCATGTTAATAATTGCAATCATAATTATATTACTAATAAAACGGTTTAGTATGAAATATTGTCATCTTTATGTGATCTTTAGATAGCAAAAACATACACTAACTGGGTTTTTTATCACAGTCTCATACCTGTAACTTGTGTAATTGACAGTATTGGTAGACTTCGTCCACTGAGTCCATCGTATCCCATGTCTGATATTTCCTTATCTACTGGCATTGCTAGTTCTTGTGTACGACATTCTAATAATAGTTTCCACTGAACTAATGGCTGACCTGTAATCTTTTAAGAAGTTAAGTATAATAATCTGTTATAAAAAAGGATATTAAATGTCTTAAAAATCTATTAACATCATAAAAAAAGTGCATTTATTAAATCTAAGTAACTTATTAAAATAGATCAAATTAATGTGTTAACTTAGTTGACTTAGTGTTACAAGATCCATATATTTGTATTGCCTATAAAATTTACTTTTTCAGAGTTTTAGACAAAACCAATTCTGCAGAAAATGCCACCTATCAGTAAAATAAGTCAGATTTCTTTTTATTTTCTCACTCTATCTACTTTATTTTTTTTAGTTTATCTAACATTTGTTTTGTTTTACTAGAAAAAATAATTCAAACTCTAAATATCTTATTTTTAGAAAACTTATATCAGGCCAAATGCAAAAAAAAAAAGTATGACCATCTCATATATTTGTTGTTTCTGTTTTTTAAAACAGCAAGCCTTGTTTAAGTATGGCATTGTTAACTAACAAAAAGATTGCATTTATTTACCATTAAATAAGTAGACATTTGTTGGTCATCTTCAACCAATTCTAATTTATGAATTCTGGTCTCTAAGGTAAACTGATGAACCATTTTCCTTGTTGACAAATCAACCAACAGTATGTTTCCATTCTGAAAAAAATAATACAAGTTTTACTTATCAAAAGATTAATGATAAATACCAACAATAACAATTTTATCATCCATACATGCATGCACACATCTGAATAAAGTAAGTGTGACATACAAGTTTTTTTTGTGTTTCATTTGTGTTGTCCCTATGATCAGTAGTAGTATCAAGGCTGGCATAAGTGAAAGATAGCTAATAATCAATATTCAATTCCATCTTATTGTCTCAAAATTATAAAATAAAAATATTTGGACTCTATTTATAAAACGCAAAAGTGTTTTTGTACAACCTTCATTCCAATGATTGCTATCTGTCTATCATCCAGTGTATGCCACCAGGTCACTACAGATGGTATACCTGAAATTATCAAATATATTATGTTACCTATCTAATGTGTGATGCATTAGTATAATCACTGCCATATGATAAATATTTCTCAAGACAAACATTTCTAACTAACTGTGGGTCCTTCCTTATGTGAAATATGTGGTGAAATATATTCTTTGACTCCAATTTAGTCTTCACAATGGACTATTTTACTATCTGGGTATCTTTGTTTACAGTAGTACCAAATTTTAAAAAACAAACATACATGCATACATGATAACTGTTCTGTGTCAACATACTTAGGAAAACTGTCAAAGCTTCTATTGAGGGCAATGACTCATTTTATACTTACCAGTATCTGGTTGACAAATATGGCAAGGTTATAATGCTTGACATTTCCATAAATTAAGTATGAACATTTAAAGTAACATGATTTTAAGAAACTACTTACTGGAAACTTTCTAATTATAACAAATGCATGCCAAGAACAACCTCTTAAAGAAATATACACCATGTGGAATCAGTTACTTGCTGAAGTTAAATTATTACAAATGCATTCTATTATACTGTTAAGCCATCTAACCTTAAAACAAAGAAACAATTTACCTTGCTGTCTTTTAAAGCGAAGAACTGTTACATCTTCAAGATTCCATAACCTGTTTACTTTGGCTGTACTGTCCTATAGTATGTGAAAAGTTAATAATATAAGATAGCACATTAAATTATTGATAGAAATGAGGCTGGAATTAATAAGAAATATCAAAGCAGAGGTACAACTCAAATAAATAAGGAAAATCTAAATTGGAAATTTTGATTCCAAGGATTTAATTTTTTACAAAGTTTACATCATCACAGCAACATTTTTCAATTAAATTTGTATTTATCCTGTAAACTTTAATCCTATAACTTTTTTTTACTAGGGGTGTCAACGTAGAGTTGTTCCTCCTACCAAAAGTTCCTCAGAAAACTTTTTTATAAACAAGACTATAATATCTGTTCCTTTTGGAACAAATATTCTAAACCCTTTATACCATAAGGAAAAAATACTGTCATTTTTCTTCCAGTGGAAATAATATTTCAGAATATTTATTCCATTTAGGAACTTATATTATAAAGGAACTTCTATTCCAAGTCACATTATTTAACAGGCGATATGAAAAATCATGTTACAAACATTTCCTGGAATTACATTACTACATTTTAGTCCTAAGATGAAGAAAACATTTTAAACTTACCATCAGTGATAACACTGGAACAATAGACACTGTCACATCTTCAGAAATGACAAGCAGCCATGAGACTGTAGGATCAAAACATAAGCATACAATTGATCTACTTTCTGGCCATGGAATATGACTAATAACAGGGTCATGTCCACTGCAACAATATCTCAGTATAATGTCTCCTAAAATACAAAATAAAACTTCCAGGGATATGTAACTAGGACAAGAAACTAGTTTTAATTTCCCAGTTAATTTTTTCAAATATGAGTTAAGATGAATCTTTGTTGCAAGGTTTTCAAATAGGTTATTGTTTACAATACATACTTGTGGAGAGTTGTCTCATTTGCAATCATACTACATCTTCTTACTTTTATATTTACATATTTTAAATAAGTGACTGTCTAGAATACATGTACCACTGTTCCAGACTTTTCTGTACTTTTCCATCTGAACAAGATTTCTATGCCATAGAGAAATGTCCCCAACACTAAATAAATTTGGAATTACATTGTGTGTCGCAATGGGTCATATAGTGTTGAAATAGTCAAAATATGATAAAATCAAAATGACCAACAATATAGTCAACTACACGTCAGCGAGCTTTCTGTCAAATGGTATTAGAGGAGTTGGATTCAATATCTAACTGATTTCTGGTGATTTTGTTGTGTCTAGAAAACATATAACAGTTCATTTGTTCCCAAAATTGCACGAATTGTAAGCTTGATTTTACTTCCTTTAGTTCCTTACTTGACCGAGTACCAAAATGTCATATTACAGAGATGAATACCTGTTGGAAAATTATTTATTGAAGAGTCAAAAGTCAGTAATACAGCCTTATCAAATATTTTTTTTTTTTTTAATTTCAACCAATGTATTGGCATAAACAGTTTTGTAATTCCGTAATTGGATGGAATTTTTCTTGATTTTCGGTTGTTTTACTTTCATCTGATGAAAATATAGTTTACAAAAGATTTGGACCGTCACACAAACTGTTCCTTATGGGAGATTACTGAAATTTACTCCCAAAAAATCTTTGGTCCCGAAAAAGACAAATTCATGTCATTTGGGAGTTAACTCTTGTCAAATATCATCTCATTAAATATGTACATCAGAAAACCATCCGTTTTCAAGAATAAAACTGTCGCACAAAAAGAAAATTAATAAAATTCCTGTGATTTCACAACATTTTCCTTAAGCATTTCAACTATGATTGGGCAATTTACCATGTGTGTAAAAAAATCAAGATTTTATTTAATGTCTATAGTAAATGCATGCGAACTTCACAGATAAATTTTAGAGACAAAGTCACAAAGCTTAACTCTGTGATATATATACATCATTTTTTTGTATTAATACATTTTCATCAACTTTAAACATTGCTTTTGACATTTTATAATTAGTCCTTGTCCCACCTGTACGTCTGTACTCAAAGACATTGATAAACCAATTAGTGCTGAGAAAGCATGACAATCCAGAAGTTGTCTGTTACTAGTAACAAAAAATTCTTAAATATAATTACTCCCCTTTTGCTGCCAAACGATAACTGCAGACCTGCCAACTATCCCAATTTATAGGGGATATCCCCCATGAGATGAGATGGCTTGAATTTTTAAATTCTTTATTATATAAACTGAATACCTCAAAACAGGCAATCAAAAAAAGTTAAAATGGTATGTACATGTAAGAACATATATTTTCATTCAAACAATATAGTAGTAGATTAAAAACACTAATGACAATATAAGAGGAGCATCAAGTCCTCTTGCGCTTAAAATCCCCCATGGAGATTTTGAAAAATTGGCAGGTATATAACTGTAATTTGTAAAGGCTAAATATGAAAATAGTTTATATTTATATTCCCATTATTTTTGGTTTTATGAGTTTACCAAATTGAAACAAAAAGTCTTAGGTGCACAGATACATCTGACTGCTCTGTAGCAAAATAATGTATGTAACTAATAATTATGGTCATACATGGTATCGGGTCCGTTCGCCCTAATAACATGCTCGTCCTGGGTCTGTTGCCCTGAGTCTGTTCGCCCATTGAGTCTGTTCGCCCTGGGTCCGTTCACGCTATTTTTTATAAAAAAATAATATTAATGGTTTAATTTAAAGTTTTGTAATCTTATTCAGATATTTAAATGGTAAATATTAAAAATGTATATCTCCAAATTCAATCGGTACATATGTAAGTCCCTTCCTTTGTTAGCATTGCTGGACGAACGAAATAACCATCAACTAATGTAAATGGAAGCCAAAGCTGAGGGGTTATAAAGCAAAGAACTAAATTCTTACACAAAAGCATAATTTATAAGGAAGCAGTCAAACATTTTAATATGATAAGTCTGTCCAAAGCAGAAAATGAAACGACAACATCGCGTAAATTACCAGTAGAAGCAACAAGTGCCAAAAAGTTAACTTCTCCAGCCTCCCGCCAGGCATAATTTACTATGCTCTGTTCACTTGAGTCGCTGTCTTTCACTGACAAGCACTTTACGACCTCATACAAACCAAACATGTTATTTTTGTCACATGAGACGGACAGACGACGGAAGTTGATTTGTTCATAGGCTAAAAGTAAGTATACTGATCCCGTGCACGTCACCGACCTATGCGCTATGCGAGGATCGATGATTAATATTTGTCCATCTAGATAGTTTTTTTTTAAATATTTAGAATTTGAGATCTTTTTTTTCATCCATTCATTCACTTATTAACTTTATATATGCTGTAAACTGAAAATATATTACCTTAAACATATCCTCGATAATAAGAAAAACTATTTTCTTGAACAAATGTTCATTTTCTTCTATCAGTATGATAAAATAATATAAATACACATATTAAAAAACACACTTTAATGCATGTTTCTATATTTGTATTTTTGAAATAATTAATATTTTGATTTCTTGACAATAAATGTGTTTGCTTGTCGCTTCATTACCCTTCTTGTCGCTAATTAGTGAGACCCTGTTTAGAGAGAATATTTTGTGATATGTAAATATATGTATATGTACCTTTTGAGTCTGGAATAAAGATACTCTCATTTTATTTTATTTTATCTGATCGCATCTTATAATAGATAGTATAGGTCAATGGGATTGTTTTCGAGCTACAGGTTGTGTACAATCGACACACCGGCAGTGTTATAAGTGAATGAAGGCAAGTGAAATGACAGAATTGTTATAAACTCATGAGAAGATAGCTATTATTTATAGATAAAATGCTTTCATAAAATTAGAATAAAAAGTGTGGTCATCACACTTTTTCTCGCAATATACTGACAAGTTAGAAAAATTTCTATGTTCATTCCTACCCCTTATAAAGCAAATATTTTTTTCTTTCAATTAATCCCATAAAAATCTGTATATGGTGTTATCATCGGACGAAATTAATGAACTCAGAAAATTGGTGTTCCTTTTTTTTTTTTATCTTATCTCTAATTTTTGTAATAAAACATATGAAAATAGTGGAATTAACCATTTTTTAAGTGTAAAAAAATCTTTGGATGTTTAAGATAAATTACGTGCTTTTGATGGTTCTTTTGAATCGGTTGACAGTTTTGACTTTTCCACTCTTTATACTACACTTCCACACAATTTATCAAATAAAAGTTTTCCTATTTAATTAAATGGTCGTTTGATAAATCTGATTGCAAATTTATTTGTTGCAACTCATATAAAGCCTTTTTCTCAAATGAGAAAGGTAAACATGCTAAATATACTTACTGGAGGTGTGATGAGATGATTAAAGCCATCAGTTTCTCCTTGGCAACATTTATGTACGTTTTGACAATAAAGTTTATCGACAGATTGTAGATATTCCTATAGGCACCAATTGCGCCCCTTTAATAGCAGACTTGTTCTTCAACAAGTGTACTGTTGTGAATCACAGTTTATGACCAAACTCAGTAAAGACCCGTCTAAATTCCATTTACTAGTAATTGATAAATTCTACAACGCTTACCGTTATCTTGATAATATTTGTTCGTTAAATAATCAAGAATTCTCTAAATATATTGCCGAAATTTACCCAAAGGAACTAACCTGAAATAAATCAAACATTAACAGCAATAAGTGTCATTTCCTAGATTTAGACATTTCAGTTTCACACTAAAAACTCTACAAACAAATTTACGACAAGAGGGATGATTTTTCTTTCCCTATTGTTAATTTTCCTTTTTTTTTTTGGACAGTGATGTTCCTTTTGCACCGTCTTACGGTGTTCATATATCCCAACTCGTTCGCTATGCCCGTGTCTGTAGTGACGTTTTGGATTTCAATGAGCGTAATCTATGTATTATTGGTAAATTATTAAGTCAGGGATTTCTTTACCATAAATTACTTAAAACATTTACTAAATTCTTCCATAGATACAAAGATTGTGTTTGCAAGTTTGGCTATACCCGTAAAAACTTATTTCAGACGGAATAGCATATCCTAAATTTTACAGTGATGTTGTTTACCGATCCCGGAAATTTATATACGATCCGGGAAACTTATCAATCCTTTAATTTTAACATTGTATTTTGTATATATTTACCTCTTGTTTCACATGTCAATGTGACGGAGTGTTTTTAAATAAAGCATATTGTATTGTTACATGTAAGGTTCATGTAACTACGGGTAATAATAAATAACCCGATTCCAAAAGGGTTACAAATTCAACACTGTAATTATATCTTTGAATATTGTTTTATTGGTATAAATATTGATTTTGTTATCAGTAAATTAAAACCATACTAAATAGTATTGTTATACACATATGCACTTTCACGGTACTACAATCTGTCGATACCTTTGTTTTGGTTTGGCACAGCACAAAGTTATGTTTTTTCTCTGACTGTTAATGACGTCTTTACACTAAATCCATTGGATGTTGGGTGTCTACTGATTGATATTTTAGTCTTAGATACATGGTTTCTTTTATCAGCTGTTATTGGCTCTCAACTAGCTGTTAGTAACTGCGAGTACTCTCAGGTCTGTACTTTGTGTCTTTTTTGTTGTTAGGGGTGTTTAAATACCCTGCCACGCCCGGTCTGTGTTTTTGTTAGATGTTCTTCTACTTTGTATCGATCTGATGAGTTAAGCCATTTACAACTGATTTTTATAGTTTGTTCTTATGTTGTGCTGTAACACCACTGTCCCAGGTGGAAAAGGGGGAGGGGGCGGGGGGGGGGAGGGGGGGAGCACTCACAAACATGTTTAACCCCGCCGCATTCTTTATGTGCATATCCCAAGTCAGGAGCCTGTATTTCAGTGGTTGTCGATGGTTCATGTCTGTCATATTTGTTTTTCGTAAATTGTTTTGTTATAAATTATGCCGTTAGTTTTCACTTTTGAATTGTTTCATATTTTTCATGTCGGGGCCTTTTTTAGCCGACTTTTCGGTATGGTTTTTCTCATTGTTGAAGGCCTTGCGTTTGCCTATAATTGTTTAAATCCACTTCATTTGAACTTTGGTGGATAGTTGTCTCATTGGCAATCATACCACATCTCCTTATCTTTAAAACATTATTTTTCACCATTATAAATATCAACAAAAGCTACAACAATTGTACCATACTTCATACCCGGTTTTCAATAAAATTAAAAATTTCTGAAAAAGAGATATAACAATACAATAAAAACAATACAATACAATACAATAAAATACAATAATACAATACAATACAATACAATACAATACAATACAATACAATACAATACAATACAATACAATACAATACAATACAATACAATACAACACAATACAATACAATACACACTGTGATAAGGAAAATGTTATCAAAAAATTTTGTTATCTCCCTTTGAACAGACACTTTGGCAAACTTTGGCATATGCCATGTAAATGATGCATCGTTATATGTACATTATTCTTTGTCCCCGATGCACCCAGCAAAACATTATATATACAATGTTAAATAGAGTAATATAAACTTATACTATACAATTTGAGAATAGCATACATCCAGTTTCGTGATAAAGAAAGACCGAACTGCACTTAACACCAAGAGTCGGTGCTCCATTAAATAGTTGACTTAACTACAGTTCAGAACAACATCCTTCATTCTATGCCTCTTCGTAATTTTTCTTCATACTATAGATGCAATCTTTGAGAAAAAAAGTTCCATGCGAGCATGAAGTTCTTATATATACTGTGCATGGTGCATTGTACGAAGACCATCTTCTGTACAAAGAGGCCTAAAGAAGTACAAAACTTAAGCGAAGTTGGGACAGTTACTAGGCAAGGTGAATCCTACATTAAGGCGTTTTTTTAGTGTGACAGCTATTCAAGACACATTTATTATAAAGTTCCATGATACTGAACAAGTATCATCAGAAGGGTACAAAACGAATGTACTGTCTGAATTGGTGCATATCGTCCTTTGAATTTCGTTATTTTCTTGAAGAATATAGTCCCTAGTGTGGACAGTGTAGAACTTGCTTTTTTTCGTACACCTTCAAAATTTATTTATTTATATTTCATGCAGAAAATGGTTAGTACTAAGGGATATTCAACGCTCATATATTTATAAGTCGAAGAGAAACTGACAACGCCATGACAAAAAAAAACCCGAATTCACACTACATATAGAAAACTAAAGACTGAGAAAAACGAATTCCTACGGCAAAGACGATTATTTTACTGTTTGGTCCAATATGATGGCCATCCTCAAACCATAACCAAAATTTAGAAATTAAACGCGGATGAAAATACTATTAAATGGTCAAGCCTGCAATATGTGAATTCACTCTATGCAACTATTACCAGAATTTAAATAGTTGATTGAACTACAAATCTTTTATTAAATCCATTGTAAAATTTTGTGCTATATTTTACCCAATCTCACCACCACCCAAAATAACATGAGACTATCAGATGAGTATAAATTTTCCTCTTCGTTGTATATATTACGTATCCATAAAAGATCAGTGAACGATTTCCGACAGATAGGTCAGAAAGGTTATCAACTGTTATCAGCTGTACATATTAGAAGTACAGAAATGATGGCCACACAATTCCTGGTAACTGTTTTTGTCTTGTTTTTTAAATACTCGACAGAAGCTGAACAAGGGCACCGTTCAAGGCGTTTGCTGATAAATGACCCAGACCATGTTGAGACACTGTTGCATCAAATGCAAGTAGAAATCCAAAATTTAAAAGCAAGAATGGAAACTCAAGAAAAACAAATTCATACTCTTCAAATGAGTCCAGGTAAGAACGTATTACTGTTATGGTTATTGGCAAATGTTCTTTATATTTTTAAATCAATGACGTATAATAAAGTAATAAAAAAAAAATACAGTGCAACATAAACATGATAAACTAAAACAAGTTACTATCTTTTTTAGGTCAAGGGAGTGGAGCAACTTATGTGCGATGGGGACGTAAAGCGTGTCCTGGAAACAATACTGAGCTGGTCTACTCTGGTAAAAAGTAGTAATGTAGTAATTAGGAATTACAAGAAAAGTAGATGGTTAACAGTGATACTTTTTTTGCAGGGTTAACCGCGTTTTGGCAGGCACACTATAAGATCGAAGAGAACGTACACTAGACAGAAATCTGAAAGTGTACAGGTCCGTTATACCCGTGCGTGTAGTGATGTCATAGATGTTAACGAACGTAATCAATGCATCACATGTAAAAAATCTTTCTGATATTGTTTCACATCTCACCCCCTTTTTTTTTAATTAATTTTGTATTTACACTGTGTCATAGATCAAATTTATTCGTTTAGTGTATGTTCACTTAATTGTTTTTGTAAATATGTCTTTTGATTGAGTTAAGCCATTTCAATTGATATTTTATAGTGTGTCTTTCTATGTTGTGATGTTACATTATTATTTCAGGTTAGGGTGAAGGTTGGCGCCTATTAAAACGTTTAAACCCGCTACATTTGTTTGCACCTGTCCTAAGTCAGGAACCTGATGTTCAGTGGTTGTCGTTTGTTGATGTGGTTCATAAGTGTTTCTCATTTTTTTATATAGATTAGACTGTAGGTTTTCCTGTTTGAATGGTTTTACACTAGTAATGTTTGGGGCCCTTTATAGCTTGCTGTTCGGTGAGCCAAGGCTCCGTGTTGAAGACCGTACTTTGACCTATAATGGTTTACTTTTACAAATTGTGACTTGGATGGAGAGTTGTCTCATTGGCACTCATACCACATCTTCTTATATCTAGGAAAGTCTAATCATGCACCAGGATCTGTAGAACTAAATTTCTCATTGACAGTTACGATTTCAAATGACAAACTGATCTATAACATGCATTTAAGCCATTGGTTTTCTCGTTTGAATTGTTTTACATTTGATCATATCGGGGCCTTTTATAGCTTGTATGGGTTTTGTTCAAATTTATAGACCTTACGATGACTTATAGTTACTAACTTATAGGTCACTTGGTGTGTGTTGGCTAGTGTCTCCCCCGGCCCCCAATTAACCAAAACAAAAAACGAAGGGAGCAACTTCTCAGGTAAAAAATGATAATAGTTATGACTTCTTTACGTGAACTTGTATACGAAGCTAGCTTCTTTTAGTAGATACTATCTATTTCAAGTTAGTAGTCATCCTGTTGGTAGCTGTATTGAACAGCTTTTTTATTGTGTGTTTACCTTTTCGACATGTGGTCTGAATAGGCAATATAGGAGGTTTGGGAGCACGTAAAATCCCTACCACAATTCTTGCCAGTACCAAGTCGTGCTATCTGTTAGCCGTATTTCATTGTACGTTTTTTTTCTAAGAAGGATCGGATTTTGTGGGGGTTGGTGTCGTCCAATATAAGTGGTAATTCCTGTGAGTCTTTTTTTAGTTTATTCATGAAAAAAAAACACGACAAGAATATTTATGTTCCATAAACACGAGTTACCTGGGCTATGAAGTTTTTAGGATTCATAAAGCTGAAAGATCGAACCCATGTGAAAAAAAAATCTGTGACAAACGTCTTTACATCAATATAGATCAGTATATGTGGTATAACTGCCATTGAGCAACTTTCTGCCACAGTACTAATAACACAGAAGTTAGTAACTTGCGGTTCACTTTCCCATAATATAATGCCAATCAGTCCCAATTTTACGTATAGTTGAGAAGATGTCAACCTATAATAGTAAGACTCGTAATATTTTGATTCAACTTAATATTATGTGCTTCCATTACAAATTTTATGGTTTTAGGTTTTGCAGCTGGTGGCTTTTATAATGAAGAAGGTTCTGCAGCAGAATATATTTGTCTTCCACCAGATCCAAATCTTGGTGCGACTTATAGTGATAGCTATTATGGAAGCATTTATGGAGCGGAATATGAATCAAATGGTTTTGGTGGTGGTTTATGGAATGATGATGTTCCATGCGCTGTTTGCCGGTCAACGACTGCATCGCATGTGCTTATGATTGCAGCAAAAAATCAGTGCTATGATGGATGGTTTACTGAATATGTTGGGGAACTAGCGGGTGGACATCATCTACATAAAGCAGCATCGTCATTTGTTTGTGTTGACAAAAATCCAGAGGAAATAATTGGCGGAGAAGCAGGTCAAGACGGCAAATTGTTTTATCCAATCAAAACTGTTTGTGGATCATTGAAATGTCCACCGTACCATAACAATCGTCTATTGCCATGTGTTGTATGTTCAAGATAAAAATAAAAGTTATTTTTATTTTTTTAAATATCAACCAGACTATTCTAAACAGCCTTTACTTCGATAAACAAATTGGTTTGTTTCTGTTTAATTGCTTCACAACTTTTTGATAATCATGACGACCGAGTTTGATTGATTGAGAGGTGCTTGCATAACGCCCAGTGGAATACATTTTATGCATATTATAATATATAGTAGCTGCGGAACCGTAGCTCTTATGTCCTTATGATGTTCGCAGCTAAATGTTTAGACACTCGTCTATTGTTGAAAACCGTATATGTTGACTTCCTATTCATACCTTAAGGGTTTTTGTGTCCTTGGGTTGCTACCCCATATGACTTTTACTAGCCCAGACAAAATAAGTTAACAACGAAACAGAAAACAACCAATAGTCAAAAATAGGCCTTTACAAAAAAGAAAAATTTAAACACAAAGCACACACGAAAAGCCAAAGGGAATCTAGAGGCCAATAGAGGACCTAAAGACATATACTAATAGCATTATCGAGAGAGAAAATACAACCACACCGATAACAGAAGAACTTACATGATAACCTAGTACATAACTGTGTTACATGTAGCGGAGATGTATATAGACATCGAGAACTATTTAACATACTGTCGAAACTTTACCTATTTTATGTGTTTATAGAAACAACATTTCAAAGGATTTTTAACATTCAACGAAATTGATTGTAACAATCCTTTTAACCTGCGTCTCCCATTCCGTCCGTCCGTCCACCAGGCCGCCAAAAGGAAAACTTTCGTCAAAGTTTTCTTGGCTTCTATGAAAGGGAATGATTTAATATTTGGTCTGCAGCTTAATAATGTTGATATGTAGCGAGTAAGCAATTTTTACAATTTTCCATGTAGCTACTTCCTGTTTGCCGATAGTTTGAAATTTTACAACACTCATTTTACTAGGAGAATGTTCGTCAAACGTTTCTTCGCTCCTATTTAGCAATTTGTAGTGAGTAAGCAATTTTTACATCTGCCATGTAACTACTTTCTGTTTGCCGATAGTTTGAAATTTTACAACGCTCATTGTACAAAGAAAATTTTCGTCAAAGTTTTCTTTGCGCCAGTGAAAGGAAATGTTCAGTTATGCTCCAGTATACGTATTACCTCAATCAATTGCATGCAGCGAAGCAGGTCCAAACCCTGTGTTGGTCTTGTCTATAGTAAGATTTGGACAAATTGTTATCTATGTAAGCATAGAAAATTTGTAAAGGGTTTCGTAGAACCCTGCGTCTTGCCTGCGATTGCTGCTACATCTCAGTGTGAAAGTGTAATGTTGACTTAAAAAGTGAGTCCATTTGTCAGTAAAATACAGAATTAAAAAAAAAAATTCAAACTTTTCTTTAGATGCTATTTCATGGTCTTGAAGATAAGCTTCTGTCCAAGTTTCATAACAATCCTCGAAGGTTTACAAATGTACCATGTCAAAAAAGTTCAATCCCAGACTGTCTGTACATGTTTATTGTAAAAAAACAAAGTCCATCTATCAGAAAAATACTTAAAATGAAAAAAATATATTTTCAAAAATTGGCTTCAGACATTATCTCTTAATCATTAAAAAAAAACTTCTGCCAAAGTTTCATAAAATTCTATGAAGGTTTGATAAAGTAATTGATGTGTAAAAAACTTGAACATCAGAATGTATCTATTTGTTAAATGTAAAAAAAACTAAGTCCACTTTATCAGTTAAACACGGAAAATTAAAATAGATATTTTCAAAATTTTGCTCTGAATACTGTCTTTTGGTCATAGCTAAGCTTCTGTCCAAATTTCCCATGAAGTTTTGACAAAGTAATTGATGAGTGAAAAACTTAAACCTCAGACTTAATCTGAATGTTAAATGTAAAGATAACGAAGTCCATTTATCAGTATAAAAAGGAAAAAGGAAAATAAATATTTTCAAAGTTTTGCTCTGATATTATATTTTGGTCATAAACAAGCTTCTATCCAAATTTCCTAAAATTCCATGAAGTTTTGACAAAGTAATTGATGATTGAAAAATTTAAACCTCAGACTTAATCTGAATGTTAAATGTAAAAAAGACTAAGTCTATTTGTTAGTAAAATACGGAAAAATGAAAACAAGTATTTTCAAAATTTTGCTCTGATACTGTGTTTTGGTCATAAACAAGCTTCTGTTCAAATTTCCTGAAATTCCATGAAGGTTTGACAAAGTTATTGATGTCTGAAAAACTTTAACCACTGACTGAACCTAAATATTGACGCCGCCGACGACGGAATCTAGGATTGCTATGTCCCGCTTTCGCGACATAAATGTCGCAGGTTCGACAAAATACAGAGCTTTCAATCATCCGTTATAAAGATTTTTCTTTTCACAGAATGCTTTCAGTAAACAGAACAATCACAAGTAATGATAATAGCAAAACTTATTCAGATGAATATTGATATATACATTAAAGTAATAGAAAAACAAAGGATATGGGGTATCCATCCATGACACAAAATCAGTACATGCACCGCTAAAAAACACATTAAGCAAAGGAACAGCGCTTTTATTGCTGTTCTTCATCTCAAAGTCACAGTGAGGCCTTCAACACGAAGCGAAAAAAAAACTCTCAGTGAAGTGCACGTTTTAGCAGATCTTTCTGTTACGTGTTTACAAATGTTTATCTTGCCAGTGGTATTTCATCAAGAGCTGCTACTTTTTTAAATCACTTATTAAAACCAGAATTGACTAGGTGATGCTGTGAAGTAAGTCCCAAAAGGTAAGCTGTTTCACATGAACACAAGATGATTTCAATACCAAACAATTGTTCTAATGAATCTACAAGTTACTCAAATATTGAACCTACCAATTGCAAGAAAATCTGGTTGATATGTTAAAGTTATAATCTGAAGTGACCCAATTGAATTAACGGTAAAACAGTTACGTGTTGATATTGGAATTTTTCAGGAATCAACTGAAAAAATTTGAGTCAGTCTGAAACTTCATAAATCACATTCGAGTAGTAATTTCCTATTTGCAATTGATAGTAATTTTAAAACTAAAGAATACTATTGATTGGCGTTATACACTTTAGAGCTTGATTTACCAATGATGGCTTTAATTATATACTATTGTCAGCCAATATATTGTGTTTGGGGTTCAAGAACTTACAGATCGATGAGTAAACTGTAGCATGGGGAATTCGCTCCAGTTGATCAATGAACTGTGAATCGTAAAGTAAAGCCATACATGTTTCGAGTATGCTGTTCTGATGATTTCATTATATTAGTTTCATCAGCAATGGAATCTCTCGCAGGATTTCAAACTTAAATAATTGATATTGTTATATCTGTATGATATTTAGATAGATATATGTAAGGCGCCAACGTCCAGATTACCTTACCTGAGTCAGGAAATTAACAGAAAACACAATCTAATAAACAATACTTCACAAGTTGGTGATGCTATAGAAAAAAAAACGATAATTGTGATTTCCTGTCACTGTGATATTTTTTCATTCCCAATAGGTAAGTTTTAAACACAATTTGGGGTATTTTATTTTACGTTTACTTTGTTTTTCTTCGTCTAATTTTAACGTTTAAAAGCATGAATACTCACTGCATGGATAGATATAATTAATGCTGTGTTTCTAGACAAAGTTCCAATCACTCAAAACAAAATAAATTTCCTAGCAATAATCAGTCGTCTAGTTTCACTATGGGGATTCAACAGTAAATTTACTGGTAAATATTTCACACGATTTTGGTAAGCTCTCGATAGTGGTAAAGAAATGAAGGATTTATTCTGTGATATAAGTATAGTCTTTGAGAGAGATTGACCTAAGGTCTTCTTTTCAAACTGCAACAAGCTGGTATATCTGGTAATTTATTGAAATGGTATGAAGATTATCTATCCGAAAAATCCCAAAGTGGGGTATTAAACTGTACAAGACCTGAATTGCTAGCGGTAAATGCAGGAGAACCGCTGCGGACTATTTTGGGCCCTTTGTTTTTGTTTTTATAAAAGACATCGTCGAGGTTAGTCATGCCAAAATTATATTTTTGCTCATATGATACTTCATTGTATTTAGAAATTGATAACCCGATTGAAACTGCGGCAACTCTTAACAAAGACTTATGTAAACAATTTATTAGGTCACATAAATGGCTTGTTAATTTCAATGCCAAAAAAATACAGAATCTATGATTTTTTCTAGGAAAAAAAACCTAAGCTTTATCACCCCTTTACAGATAAATAACCAAGGACTCAGCCTAATCGACAATCACAATTTTATTTTTCTAATAATGGATTTTGGCAAGACCATATGGAATACACAATGAACAAATATTACTTAATGTTCAGCATTCTAAGGAAAGTTAGGAACGTACTCGACCGGTTCACGCTGGAAAAATTATATATGTCTTTTATAATGCTAATTCTAAAATGCACCGATGTTGTTTGAATCGCCATTTCCGTTTATGTTATTTTGAAACGACATGCAACATATTCCGTGGAATACTCACACATTTTTAAAACCAACAGAAACAAGAATGTGTCCATAGTACACGGATGCCCCACTCGCACTATCATTTTCTATGTTCAGTGGACCGTGAAATTGGTGTCAAAACTCTAATTTGGCATTAAAATTAGAAAGATCATATCAGAGGAAACATGTGTACTAAGTTTCAAGTTGATTGGACTTCAACTTAAAAAAAACTACCTTGACCAAAAACTTTAACCAAAAACTGTAACCTGAAGCGGAACGAACGAACGGACGCACAGACCGAAAAACATAATGCCCCAAGGTGGGGCATAAAAACAATATCATACCTTGAAAAATGATATATTATGGTCGCCATCAAACACAAACACACACTATCACATTAGAAAAAGAAGAATTCTACTATGGAAATCAAGGTTAATATCTTGGCCAAACCATGCTGTTTTGATTCGTAGATTTTTTTTAATGTTTAGGTAAATAGTTCTGAAAAGAATAAATGGCTCAGTAAGATGCAATATATTTTTTTTGATCCATCGATAAAACAATGGTTGACTTTTGTTTTTTTACTAATTATAGATAAGGTTTGGTCGAGGTCAAATTAACCCTGTAAGACATGCAGACATGTACGCCTTGCAATCATTCCATACACCTAATATCATTGCTTATATATTCTGAGAATCAGACCTAACAAAAATGTAACGCTGACCTTTGAACCATGTAAATGAGGTTAAGGTCAAATGAACTTGCCACACAGATATTTACACCAAAAAAATCATTCCATACATCAAATATAACTGGCCTGTTGCTTATATTACCGGAGAAACAGATCTTACCATGAACACTTGACATTGACGAAAATGAGGTTAAGGTCAGATAAAACACGCAGGACGAACACCTTACAATCGTTCCATACACTATATATAGTTGACCTATTTCTTATTGTTTCTGAGAAACCGACTTAAACACAAAAACTTAACATTGACCAATAAACCGTGAAAATGAGGTCAAGGTCAGATGTAACCAGACAGACAGTCATGTACGCCTTACAATGGTTCCAAACAACAAATAAAGTCGATATATTCCTTATAGTATCTGAAAAACAGATCATACCACCAATACTTAACATTGACAAATCAACAATGAAAATGGGATCAAGGTAAGATGAAACCTGCTAGACTGACATGTATACAGTACAATCATTCCATACACAATAAAATTGAGAATGGAAATGGGGAATGTGTCAAAGAGACAACAACCCGACCATAGAGCAGACAACAGCCGAAGGCCACCAATGGGTCTTCAATGCAGCGAGAAACTCCCGCACCCGGAGGCGTCCTTCAGCTGGCCCCCAAACAAAATTGTATACCAGTTCAGTGATAATGGACGTCATACTAAACTCCAAATTATACACAGGAAACTAAAATTAAAAATGAAACAAGACTAACAAAGGCAAGAGGCGCCTGACTTGGGACAGGCGCAAAAATGCGGCGGGGTTAAACATGTTTTTTGAGATCTCAACCCTCCCCCTATACCTCTAGCCAATATAGAAAAAACAAACGTACAACAGTACGTACAATGAAACTCAGTTAAAGAGAAGTCCGAGTCCGATGTCAGAATATATATGGTTGACCTTATGCTTAAGGTATCTGAGATACGGCCTTGACCACTGATCTATAAAATGAGGTCGAAGTCAGATGAACCCTGTCTGACGGACATGAAGACCTTGCAAGGAACTACAATACAATATATTGTTATCCTATTACTCATAACAAGTGAAGAGTTCACATGACCAAAAAAAAATATACAGTTTTTAAGCAGTAACTACTGAACCATTAAAATGAGGTCAAGGACAATGGACATATGACAGACGGAAACTTCATACTATAAGGCATCTGTCAAGTTAAAAAGTATTCAGCATCCAGGTCTTCTACCCTCTGAAATATAAAGCTTTATACAAATAGTTGATAAATTTGAGTTGTAAAAGAAACTTCTTGGTTGTAATTCATCATTACAATTGAATATCAATGTTTCAGTGGACAAAAGAGGTCGAATTTACCAATTTACGTTAACCGCTAGTTCGGTAAAATCATGATTAATTTTGCCTGCAAGGATTACTTTTTGGTAAACAATATTTCTGCAAAATATATCAATACTTTCCTGTTTTAAATATTATATAAACTTAATACATGATTGAACTTCATTAAATATCCCCACAATGCATCTTTATTATTTTTAAAAGGATTTCCATGAAATTAACTCTGTGTTTACAATCAAGTCATTATAGCATGGAAGTATAGATCGCTTAAAAACAATGTAATATATTATAAATAAATGTAAATACAGTCTGCACGCGGTACTGCAAATGAATAACAAATAAGTCTTAGCCCAAAACATGACTTTAAACAATTGGAAACCAATAGTAACAGAACATACAATACACAAAAAATAAAAGTTGCACTATCTCATAACTCAATTTTGTCCATTTTCAAGCATTCCATTAATGAAAATCCATGGTTTTGAGAGAGAGATTATTTGGCAATTTTGGTCAATTTATATTTGAAGTCGTAGACAAGTGATTTAATATACTTGTTGCATTAAAAAAATTCAATTAGTAGTAGTAGTTCATGGAAGAAATCCAATACATGATAACATATAGTATATTATGGGAATAACAATTTTACACACATGATATCTATTGATATTCAAATTACCAAGGGATTTTTTTCCTGTTCTATAATTGATTACATACCTATGAAATGTAGGTTGCTAGGAATAAAAAAGTATATACTTTTTAGATTACAGAGGGATAATTTTCTGAATCAGATGGAAACAATCGATTTTTTAAGTAACAAAAACTATAAAATAAGCTTTCATTCTACTTTTGTATTTATGTTTTGATTCCTCCCTCGTCATGTCTCTGCTGTTCATTTCCCAAACCTATCATTGGCCAATTATCCTATTTTATACTACGCTCAGATTGAACTTATATATTCTTCTTATCCATATAATTTAATACCCTAAAGATGACATTTTAACAAACACGGGCATAAATGACGCTACTGGCATTAAATCGTAAATATTGTCTAAGGTGTGCCTTTTTTGGCATTTTAGGATAGTAAAACTGTAACTCATTCGCACCAATTAATATTTTTATCCTGTAATATTATTGTTGATTGGCTTTCATTTTGAAAGATCATAGATTAAAACGTAGATACTTTGATCTGTGAGGTAAATAAACGTCAACTGTTAAACCTTATTTTTGGTTTGGTCATTGTTGCTCTTCAGTTTTTCTCAGTTCTGGTGGTTGTTATTTCAATATTTTTTTTTATCTTTATTCCATGGCGCCTGTCTTACTCCAACAATGAACTTTAAGACTCAGTAGTTCTATTTTCAAGGGGATTTTTCGTCTTTTTTCACTTTTTAAAAGCGACATTGGGTTTGCCGGTGTTTGGCATTTAGAGTTAATATCCCAGATGTCAACGATTTTACTACCAATCAACTATTATGCTTCATTCCTGTCATAGTGAGGTATGTCAGAAAAGGCCATTTTCCAAAGTAGATTTTTGGCTGTAAATGCAAACCAATAGGGATATTCTAATATGCAACAGTAGCTTACCGATTTTCAAAACTCGTAAATCCATTAAAAAAAACCAAACGAAGACATAAAAAACCTACCGGAATTGCATAAACTCGGAACAGATCGAGACCGATTGTGTCAACAGGGTAAGCTTCTTATTAATTACCTGTGCTTGATTGACTTTGTTTCAATGGTCATCGAAGATAAATCACTGACGGAAGCGTTGTAAGTTACTGTCATGTTGTCCAAATTTCGTGTAAAGGCATTTAGTCTTCTATATACAATGCTGCTGCTGAAAAGAAAACTCCAAACTTGATTTATTTATAATCTGCCATCCCCCATTATGATACCCGATTCTATAACCACCTCTACACTATACTGTACATTAATTCGTAATTACATTGTTATGTATCAAATGGTAGCTAATTTAAACGGTTAACTCACATATGATGGAGAAATGATATGATTTCTTTTTATTTAGTCCAAGAAGAGTATGTGCTAATAGCTAAATGTGTCATAATAAGGTAATAATTTTCATTAACTATCCGCTAATGGTACGGATGTTGTTATTGACCATGCAGACAGCGCTGTGCTTTAGTCTATTATACTTGTAGCTATGTTTTTTTCCCATTTTTGGACATCAATATCAGCATTTGTAAAATTTTGTCATGAATTTTTATTCAATTTGACCTTCTTCATATTGCTTGAACATTTAGTTGCCATTTTATATAATTTGAGCTCCTTTTTATATTCCCATTTAGTGCAAAACATTTCACCCAAGTGAGGTAATGTCTTGTATAGAAATAAGTTTTAAGATTTTTCTATGACGATCTTCGCCTTATCCACATTTCGACTGTTTAAAATCAAAGATAAAGTGACATTGATACTTTGGTTTCACGAGGAAAGGTCTATTGAAGCTTGAAAGTAATCGGGTGAATTCAGCTTAATTATCATAGCCAGTACCCTTTGTATAAATCAATATAAAACTTCTCAATAGAGCATCATTGCCAAGGTTTTTTTAAAAAGAGATAGATAACTATAAGGAGACAAATTTTATTTCTGTACCTTCTTACCTGGATCTGCCTCGGTTTACTCCGTATTTATTTGTTAAAAAATAAAATAAAGGTTTCTCGATCCCCTTTTTGCAAGTCTTACACAACATCCCCCTCTTTTGGACTGACTGAAAATTTGTTTAACTAAAATTTAATTTTTTTTCGGATAAATATTCTAATAATGAAAATTTAAATCCGAAAAATAACAACTGATACGGTTCGTACAATGCACGAAAAAAGAAAAAGTATCTAACTATAAGGATAAAAAAACAAATCACATGAATACGTAAAAAGAATAGAAAGCATGACGTGTCATTTACATATCGTTGATAGTACACTTTTAATTTTTGTAGTAAGTAACGAAGTAAAAAAAAACAAATGAAATATGAAAATAGAAATTTAATACTTGATGCTTGCAGTTTATCTTATTTATTACGGACATTCCTAAACTTTCATTTCCCTCCTACACAAGAACAAATTTGAGACTGGAAAAAATAGTTTCCAATCCCTATTGTAAAATTGCATAAGTCAGAATTTTGAATTTGTTCAGTAGACAAAAGCTATATTCTGCTGACATACAAACTTGTTTTACTTTGTATTGGAAGTTCGCTTTATCATATGCATTACGGACTATTCTAAACTTTCGTTTTTCTGCTATACACAAGGAAAATTTGAGACTTGAGAGCAGATTTTCCATTATCAATTGTAAAATTTCCCCCTTTTGGTAACCAAACAACAATTTGAAATTACTTAAGTAATTATTCTGATCCGGTACACTACGCTTGTGTTAGGAGTATTTAATTTTAAACTGCACTTAATTCTTTCGGGGGTGTACTATTTGATATCCGAGTGCAGTTCACCGTAGTCTACTTATCAGTTGATTCTGGACTTTGAACAAGTAAGTCGGTAGCAGTGATAGGAAATTGAATGCTCAAAAATGTGTATGATCTTTACATGACTCGGAGTAGTATTTTTTTAAATATGTATGGTACGAGTCTTTTAATTAATTACATCTTTTTTTCTATATTTTCAGATCAACACGAATGTCCAAATGATATCGACAATTATTGCAGTCTCTACGCTGCTTATACAAGGCATAGTGCCTTTGCATGCAGATATAATTGGTAACATATGAGAAAATTAAGAATTAATCAAGGCACACACGCAAACACGAAACACAAGATCGAATACAAATAATTGTTTGATATGTAAAATCATTTAAACTAAAGCAAGTAAATTGATAATACATGCATGGATACAACAACAATAGGCAAGGACATACGAAATGTTGAGCAACTCAACAACAACAGACCAACATGGTCACAAAATGGTATTCATCTTTTCGGATTTGCTAAAGTTTCTTAATGCTAGGTATACGTGTAATTTAGCTATATATCGGCTTTTGATGAAATTTTGTATGCATATAGAACTCACTGAACAGCATCTGAAAAACTTTTACATCAATAACATATCATTATTAGCTAATATCATATCGTTATTACTGATATGGTGCCACTTCTGCATTCGCTGCAGTTTATAGTGGAGTCGGAAAACGAAAGTATTGACCGGTAATAAATTAATACATAACTAAGTATGTATAGTTATAAAGTTATGAACACTTATGGTCGTACAACCAGTCGCGGATCCAGCTAATTTGGAAAGGGGTTCCAGTCCCCGGAACACCATGAAACATTCACATAATTTTAAAAAAATTAAAAGGGGGAGGGGGGATTCAAAACCCCGGATCCGCCAATGCTACAACCAATCAATACTTATATTGGCATAGCACCCATTTTATTTTTGTCCGAGATTGTATAGGTGTATAAAAAACCAATTCAAAATCCCTATCTATTCAACCATTTTTTTTCAATTTTCACAGCTTTCTAAATATTTTACCTTAAGTTTAACTTCATAGAAACCAGGTATATCCTTAATTGTACATGTATCACCTTTCTACATGCCAATTTTCTATCAATGTTTAAATCCTTGTAGTGAAATACCAACGTTCGGAAGGTAACTAATACTTAAAATAACCACTGGTTTTCTGCAAATCTTAAATAAGTACACTATGGAGCGCATTATTCCTCAATTTTTAATGCAAACTCATAGACAAGTAAATTTTGGCTCAAAATGGTCTAAACATATTTCTCTTTCACCAACAGTTTCATTTCTGCAAATTTGTTGGTTAGTTTAAGTAAACAATGACACCAAAAGCGCTATTTTTTGTCAGGGAAAGGCTATTTTTAAATGTGTTCTAAATTGGAGTGGGTGAATTGGTGGGGTGCTTTTTTAAGTTTTTGTGTTTTTGATTTTGCTTTGATGAGTCTAGCTATTTCCAAATGATTTTTACAATTTGTCGTTCGTATTTTGTCTGTTGTTTGTTAGCAATAACCAGACCGTTGGTTTTTTCGTTAAATTGTTTTATATTTTGTCTTGCCGGATCCTTTTAAAGCTTTTAAATACTATACTATTGACGTCCTATTCCGTTGGTCACTGATGGATAGTTGACTCATTGGCAATCATACGAATCTCCTTATCTTTATAACGATATGAGTACACACACATATCAATAATTTACCACAAAAAAGAAAACTTCGTTATTTTTTCTTTCGTGCGACGATGTGAAACATTCATCAAACGGTATAACACACATTGTACTGTGATATGAAAAACCTGTAAACGTCAACACACAGTAGTACTTGCTCTTTACACACATTTATATTTCTGTTAAGTATAATATGCCCAGAAAATTCGTTTCAGTTGTTGAAAAATATGTTTAAAAGTCATCTCCCAGAACTGTTTCATTAAGTGGTGTGTTTATTGGACATAATTATAGAATCTTAAATTGATACATAAATATTTGATTGAAACTTACAAATGAAATAGTCTGTAGTATCGATTTACATGATATGTCGCTACTATTTGTTGTTTACACAGTATTAGTATATAATTTGCTATATACCCAGGGGTGATCGTAGTTTTGCCTGAATAACTCTGATATTCAAATAAATACCGTTTTATTTTCGAGGTGATGAATTTGGAAGATTTTCTACGTATAAATGAATAATGGAATATCTATCAAACAAACAAAAAAGAATGTAGTTGCATGTTTGAACTGTTGGTTGAAAGGGACTAAGGATGGAAATATTTATATAAGTTGTGGAAATATATTCTGAATATTTCACTCGAAAAAAACTTATCTTTCACTTCACAATATATATAGACAGAAGACATACATCGTATAGAATTACGACGTTAAGTTCTAGGTAATCAATACAAGAAAGTATTTCAGGCTAACTTTCAATAATTTGCATGTTTACAAGAATGATTAAAATTTATGGGAGAATACTAGGCTCTTTTTATATATATAAAAGCATTTATAACACATCTTGCTGGAAGGGATGTGTTGTCGGTTTAGCTGTGCTGGGTGCGGGGAGCGGGATATACACAAATCATGTTCGATCGAACACGTTGATCTTAAGATTTCTTATATTATTAAATTCGAAATGGAGGTCATCCAAGTGGTAAGAAAAACCTTAGAAAACTTTACAGAATATGTTTATATATATATGATCATAAATATGTCAATTTTCCAATGTTTATTAATTGCAGGGACTTCTCCCCAAAGTTTGCTACTATCTGGACACTGATTTTTTTACTAGACCTTAATAATTACGCCAATGTTATTCCCTATGCTTGAACTTATTAGAATGTGCCAAATCACAGTTAGTGAAACGATTTCATTGGGTTTTCTTCAACATCCAGTCATAAATTGTGCAATGTGTCCTACCGTTTCTAGTATATATCAAAGCGTATTACACAACATTCCTTATATCATAATATAAAGCATGCGATAGCCTCTCCCAGTTCTAATTTTCTATAAACGTTTCAATTGATCGATGAATGGTATGAAATATAAAGTCGACCTATTAGACATGTTAGATGCGATATTTAGTGTTTGTCGTTTTTACATTTTCGAATCTCGTCTATAATATTTTAAATTAGAAAATAATTCGTGTTACATATACGTGTGACAGGTTTTCATATTTGTTATGTATTTTATGTTTTCATATTTGTTATGTAACTTAAGTTTTCATGAGACAATATTTAATTTTAAAGTTAAAAAATCTAATTTATATAGCGTTTCATATACTCAGTGACGGCCAATATAAACAAGAGGCTCTCAAGAGCCTGAATCGCTCACCTGATATTTTTTTGCTTAAATCTTTCATCAATGATTATTTTTGCTTTTCAATATATATTAATGAGTGGCTTAAAAATGCCATTTAAATGTTCATTGTATCTGTCATATTTTCTTTAAAAGCAATTAAATTCATTTTACCCATATGTTCCTTTTGAGCCATAGTGTCTATGTTTCTTGACGTACAAGGAAATAAAATAAAAAATTTATACTAGATTCATTTGAGAAGATTTTTAAAGTTAGAAAACATAAACAACTTGTGTAAAATTTTCCTTAAAGGGCAATAACTCCTTAAGGGGTCAATTGACAATTTTGGTCATAAAACTTTTTTGTAGATCTTACTTTGCTGAACATTTTTGCTGTTTACAGTTTATCTTTATCTCCAATAATATTCAAGATAATAAGCAAAACTGCAAAATTTCCTTAAAATGACCAATTTAGTGGCAGCAACCCCACAATGGGTTGTTCGGTTTGTCCGAAAATTTCAGGGCTGATAGATCTTGTCCTTTTAAACATTTTTATCCCATGTCAGATTTGCTCTAAATACTTTAGTTTCTGAGATATAAGCCAAAAACTGCATTTGACCCTATGTTCTATTTTTATACGCCCGTCAAATTTTTGACGGGACGTATTATGGTATACAAATGTCCGGCGTCCGTCCGTCTGTCTGTCCGTCTGTCTGTCTGTCCGTCTGTCTGTCTGTCTGTCCGTCTGTCTGTCCGGCGTAAACATGTCGCACCGTAACTTGAGAATGACTCATCCAAATTTCATGAAACTTAACATAGTTGTTTCTTATGATGGTCAAACGATCTGTATACTTTTTGGTGAAAATAAGATTAAAACTTTTTGAGTTATGGGACTTTGTAACTAAAACAGGTGTGTGTTTTTTTTCACATGTCGCGCCGTATCTCAAAAACAATTTATGATTATTGCTTAAAACTTTACACACTTCTTAGTTATATTAATCTTAAGATCTGTATACTTTTTGGTGATGATTCAAAATTTTATTTTAGAGATATTGAGTATTTTGTTAAAAAAGGGGGAGGGGTTTTTCACATGTCGCGCCGTATCTCAAAAACAGTTTATAATTATTGCTTAAAACTTTACACACTTCTTAGTTATATTAATCTAAAGATCTGTATACTTTTTGGTTTTGATTCAAAATTTTATTTTTGAGTTATTGAGTATTTTGTAAATAAAGGGGGAGGGGTTTTTCACATGTCGCACCGTATCTCAAAAACGATTTATGATTATTGCTTAAAATTTTACACACTTCTTAGTTATATTAATCTAAAGATCTGTATACTTTTTGGTTTTGATTCAAAATTTTATTTTTGAGATATTGATTTTTGTTTTTTTTAAAAGGGGGGGTTTTCACATGTCGCACCGTATCTCAAAAACGATTTATGATTATTGCTTAAAATTTTACACACTTCTTAGTTATATTAATCTAAAAATCTGTATACTTTTTGGTTTTGATTCAAAATTTTATTTTAGAGATATTGAGTTTTTTGTAAAAAAAAAAGGGGGTTTTCGCATGTCACGCCGTATGTCAGAAACTATTTATGCTTATTGCATAAAAATTCACACACAAGACGACGGGCGTATCATGCGCTCATGGCGCAGCTGTTTATTAGCCATGGTGGCCATGTTTGTTGATAAATCAAAAATTCGGATACAGTTCATAAACAAGATTCCTAAAGGAACATTCATTTAAAGTTAAGAAGTATTAGGCACAATGGTTTCAGAGGAGAAGATTTTTGAATGTTAGCAAACTTGATGAACAAATTGTGTAAAATTGTCTATAAAGGACAATAACTCCTTATTTGGTCAATTGACAATTTTGGTCATATTAACTTTTTTGTAGATCTTACTTTGCTGAACATTATCGCTGTTTACAGTTTATATCTATCTATAATAATATTCAAGATAATAACAAAAAACTGCAAAATTTCCTTAAAACTACCAATTTAGTGGCAGAAACCCAACAATGGGTAGTTGTATTCGTCTGAAAATTTCAGGGCTGATAGATCTTGACCAATTGAACAAATTTACCCCATGTCAGATTTGCTCTAAAAGCTTTAATTTTTGAGAAAAAGCCAAAAACTGCATTTGACTCCTATGTTCTATTTTTAGCCATGGCGGCCATGTTTGTCGATGGATCAAAACTTCGGATACAATTTATAAACCAGATACCATAAGGAACATTAAGCTAAAGTTTGAAGGTATTTGGCCTAGTAGTTTCAGAGGAGAAAATTTTTGAAATAGTTTACGACGACAGACGACAGACGACGACAGACGACGATGACGGACTCCAAGTGATGGCATAAGCTCACATGGGGCCCTTCGGGCCCCGGTGAGCTAAAAATACTGTGACTGACCAGACGAATAATATTTGTATTTCATATATCCATACATCAAGTGCAAATGATAGTGCAAATACTATATAGAGAGATACAATCTTTTATCGATGTCTGCCAGTTAAACGAGAAACACTATATACTAGTAACAATTATAACTAATCTAAGGGATGAGTTTCATTCCGGCACAAAGATGAGCATCGCTGTCAACTGTTACACAAAATATAAAAAAAAATCAATCATTCGTAAGTTGCACATGAGATAAATCTTTATAATGTGAATAAAACTTTGATTCAAATAGAATTATTTTCCTTTCACTGGTCATAGAATGATGTCTGTTGAATATCAATTTATTTTGACTTTATCCATACAAAATACTAAAACAATTATATATCTCTTAGACTACCCAAACTTTTTGTCTTGAACGTGAATAATGAAGGCTATTTCTTTCATGTAAAAGGGGGTGGTATGATTTCACTGCACACAACACGTGTTTCTGAAATTCATTCGTTTTTAAAGCCAAATATATAGAACACTTGGGAGCATAAAAACCAAAACACCTAAAAACAACCATAGGTCAACTTACGGCCTTCAACAATGAGAAAAACCCATACTGCATAGTCAGCTATAAAAGGCCCAAAAAATGACAAATGTGAAACAATTCAAAAGAGAAAACTAACGGCTTGATTTGTGTATAAAACAATGCGAAAAAAACAAATATGATATATAGCAACAACGACAACCACTGAATTACCGGCTCCTGACTTGAGACAGGCACACACAGAATGTTGCGGGGTTAAACAAGTTTGCGGGCGCCAAACCCTCCCCTAAAGTGGGACAGTGGTGTTACGGCACAATATATGAACAAACTATAGAAATTAGTTGGAAAGGCTTAACTCATCAGATCGAAACAAAGCAGAAAAACAAGTAACAAAAACACAGACCGGATGTGGCAGGGTATGTATACATCCCCACAACGAAAAAGGCACTAAGTACAGATCTGAGAGTACTCGCAGTTACTGACAGCTGGTTCAAAGCCAATAACAACTAATAAAAATCATGTATCTTAGACTTAAGTATCAATCAGTACACATCCAACATCTAATGGATTTAGTTAAAGACGTCATTAACAGTCAGAGAAAAACATGATCTTGTGCAAGCCTAAATACAGGTAACGACAGACTGTAGAACCGTGAATGTGTATATGTATCTGTATATAACCATTATATTAGTTTGGTTTTAATTTACTGATAACAAAATCAATATTTATACCAATAAAAACAATATCTAAACATTTAATTACAGTGTTGAATTGGTAACCTTTTGGAATAAGTTTATTTAAAGAATTGATAAGTCTACCCGGATCGTATCTAAATTTTTGGACTCGGTAAACAACATTTCCGTAAAAATTAGGATGAGCTATCCCGTTTGAAATAGGTTTTCTACAGGTACAGCCAAACTTCCAAACCAAATCTTTGTATCTACGAAAGAATTTAGTAAAGGTTTTAAGTAATTTGTGATATCAGTAAAACATAGATTACGTTCATTGAAATCCAAACCGTCACTACAGACACGGACATAACGAACGAGTTGTGATAAATAAACACCGTAAGATAGTGCCAAAGGAAAATCCCCATCCAAAAAAGTAAAATTAACAATAGGGAAAGAAAAATCTTCCCTTTTATCGTAAATATTTGTGTAGAGTTTCCCCGTGTAAAACTGAAATATCTAAATCTAGAAAAGTACAGTTATTACCGTTTATATTTGATTTATTTAGGGTAAGTTCTTTCGAGTAAATCGTGGCAGTATATTTAGAAAATTCTTGATTATTTAACGAAAAAATATCACCAAGATAACGATAAGTTGTGTTGAATTTATCAATCAAATGCAATTTAGACGGGTCTTTTCTGAGTTTGGCCATAAACTGTGATTCATAACAGTACAAGAACAAGTCTGCGATTTAACGGGCGCAATTGGTGTCCATAGGAATACCTACAAACTGTCGATACACTTTATTGCCGAAACGTACATAAATGTTATCAAGGAGAAAATGAATCGCTTCAATCATCTCATCATACCTCCAGTAAGTATATCTCCTAGCATATTTACCTTTCTCATTAGAGAAGAAGGCTTTAAATGAGTTGCAGCAAATATATTTGCAATCAGATTTTTCAAAAGATCATTTAATAAATAGGAAAACTTTTGTTTGATTGTGCGGAAGTGTAGTGTAAAGAGTTGAAAAGTCAAGACTGTCAGCAGAATCAAAAGGACCACCAAAAGGACGTTATCTATCTAAAACATCCAATTATTTCTTACACTCCAAAAATAGTTAATTCCACTATTTTCATAAGTTTTATTACAATAGTTAATAATACGTTTTTTGGTAGTTGTTAAGGAACTAGTTAAAAGCACCGAAAGATTAGTTGGAGAACACTTACTAAAGGCCGAGATGAAACGATATTTGGCCTAACAAAAACACAAAAACACAAAAACACAAGGTACCCAAATTTGGAATACACTTTTTCTTTAAATTACTGCATACCATGTGCAAATATTCATACTTGTGAAATATCTTGTATTTTTTCAGTAAATCTAAGTGCTATATGTTTTTTAGCGCTCAACCACCCCTTTCTTGGGACAGTGGTGTTACAGTACAACATAAGAACAAACTATAAAAACATTTGGAAAAGGCTCGACTCATCCATTTGCTTAGCACACAAAAATCCTAACAAAAACACAAAAACACAAACACACAAGGTACCGAAATTTGGTGTACATTTTTTCTTTAAATAACTGCATACCATGTGCAAATATTCATACTTGTGATATATCTTGTATATTTTCAGTAAATCTAAGTTCTACATCTGGTGACGATAAATGTGGAAAAACGATTGATATTAACCCTGGAAATGGGTCGTCTGTATTTGCCGCGGGAAAAGTCCCCAATGGTCACTGTACCCTATATTTTAGGGCTACCGAAAATAAGGATTACGTGTGTAAAAAATTCTGTGTAACATTTAGGAAAAAGTCATTCAATGTTTGCGATGTAAAAGTAAAGATAGCAGCTATTGATTTTGACAACACAGGAGACTTGACCAAGGTAAAACGATCTGTTCATTGTGTTATATCTTTCAGAAGAAAACAAATCGTTATTCTTTATAGCTCAGAAAAGTCTAGCATATCAATTATATTTGAAAAGAACAAACATAGACTGCAGAAGGTATCAAAGGTACAACAAAAAAATAAGTCAGAGAAAACACGAAAATACCATTGAAATAAAACGACGACATGACAAACAACAGTCCACAAAACACTACCTATTGAAAACTAAAGACCAGGAAGGGGGTCTGAGGCGGTACGACGTTTTTCCGAGAACTCCCAAAAACTGAATATTGACCCGAGAACCGATAGATATTACTCGAAAACTTTATTTCATATGGTGTTATACTGCTTTTACAGATATAGAAGTATATAATTTTGAGATATAAGTCATTTTTACTCAATAAAAATACAATTTCACTTCAGGAATTCGTTTTGTGTGTCTTGTCTGAGGTGTTATTAAATGAAGTTTTGTCTTTTTCCTTGTATATTTTAAAATTATAATAAGAATTGTCATAATTTTGCGAGATTCAGTTTCATTTTATAACTACCAAGTACTCTGGTCACGTCAGATAAGACATTAGTATGATATTAGCATTATGAAAATGCAGTCCTTTACTTGAGTGCAAGAACATCACTATGGTTAGAAACAGACAGTAAACTGTTGACATACAACTTCAACAGTCTTGCTCTTTCAATGAACAAACAGGCAGTAAACTGTTGACATACAACTTCAACAGTCTTGCTCTTTCAATGAACAAACAGGCAGTAAACTGTTGACATACAACTTCAACAGTCTTGCTCTTTCAATGAACAAACAGGCAGTGAACTGTTGACATACAACTTCAACAGTCTTGCTCTTTCAATGAACAAACAGGCAGTAAACTGTTGACATACAACTTCAACAGTCTTGCTCTTTCAATGCATAATATGCATATCCTTGTTAAAAAAGAAATGCATATTTGGTATTCTGATCTGAAAAAGAAAGCTAAATCGTCAGTTTTATTCGAGACGATACGTAAAATGTTTTAAAAAAATGTGTTTCAAAACAGAACTGGTATTCGTTCTCTTTTATTTTTGCAGACCTATGATTGTTGGCATTGGAACGCCTTCGACAATACCTGGTGTCCTGTCACAAATAAGTTGCAGATGGACGTTCTTGAAAGTGATCCGTATCATTACGACATCAAATTGAATAACTCCTATGAGTTTTCTGTAGATATCACACCAGTATGTGCAAAAGTAAAAAATCAAGTTAAAAAAGCGGGTATGTACGGTAAAATTAAACATTAGACTAAAATGGCGGGTAGTTACCACAGGAGCTTGGGAGCATAGACCCCCTTTTTCTTTTTCTTTTTCTTTTTTTAGTATATATTCTAATTTTGAATGTTTTAGCTCATTTTCATTTATTTAATGTGTTCTTGCTCTTATTCATATAATATAATAATAACATAAGTTTATGCATGCTGTCCTCAGCGATGCCACTGCTGGTGGAAGTTCCCTCCCCGAGGGTATCACCACCCCAGTAGTCAGCACTTTTGTGTTGACATGAATGTCATGGTTATGAATTAACTGTCTACAAAACTTTGAATTTTCGAAATACTTGGGATTTTCTACCAAAGGAAAATATTACCTTATATAGCTATATTTGGCAAAACCTTTCGCAATTTTAGCTTCTCAATGCTCTTCAACTTAGTACTCTATTTGCCCTTTTTTAACTTTATTGATTCGAGCGTCACTGTTGAGTCTTTTGTAGACGTAACGCGCGTCTGGCGTACACATTTTTAACCCTGGTATCTATGATGAGTTTATGTACATAATTCTTATTTTCCAAGAAAGAAAATAAAAAGAATAAAAAACAAAAAGGGTGGTCCCTGCACCAAGCACATGTGGTACATGCGATAAAAGTTTATCCTTTTACAATTATAGAAGACTTATAGTTAACATAAAATTGCTACAACTTATTGCTCAACCTGACACATTATCACCTTCTTTAGTACTATATTCTGCCATTGTAAGTTTATCGTTAAAGAAACCCCCAGATGAACATTCGTTATTCCCTATATTAATAACTGCTTCATATGGGCATTTGCTTGCTAAGATCCAGGAACTGATTCTGATTATTGTTGTCTCTCTCTTTTTTCTGTTGATTCTACACAGGATTATCCAACATGACCAGTTAGAGTTTACAAATAATTTATATTCTGTGGCTGTAAGTTTAACGTTAAAGAACTTATGATAATCCTTAGATAATAGAAAAACAAAGGATATATGGTACCATCCATGACACAAAATCAGTACATGAATGCACAGCAAAAAAACACAAAAAAGCAAATTTTCATTTTGTATGACGTTTTAAGGGTCAAATACATCTTGTTAATCGTGATACAAATAATTTAGCTAATGAAGTATGCTATTACTTTAAAACATTACAATTCTTTTTTATTTAACCATTTCAATTATACCCCAAAAAATTAATTGTCATTCATTAAAGAAATAAAAGTACTGACGTACTGAACATCGGATGACTGCAAGTTCTTGTGGATGGTCACAAGCACTTGTCTCAGAAAAAAAAATCACATCTCTATACCTGAAAGTGAGGTTAATGTACAGATATATTTTTTTTTCTTAGACAAGTTCGTGCGTTGATGATAAATAAATGACAGGGAATTCAACCTCACCGTAATAAATATGATATTGAAGTGATACAAATCAGTATACTCTGGTTTGTTGTTATCAATATGATATTATATTAATATTTGTATATTACAGTTACATGTATATATAATTTTCATCCATTTTAATATCATTCTGTTCTACTATATTAATAATAGTGCAGTGCAAGTGCATGGTGGACACTCTTCTGTAATGATTCAATTTTTCTAATAGATTGGATTTGAGTAGGCATTCATATTTTCCCGCCAAACTTTCAATCTCCCATGATGAGTTATTGGTCCTAGAGAGAGAGCGAGGACCGATAACTCTGCATGGGAGATTGCAAACGTTCTTGAGATATTCTTCCGCATACGTTAACACACATTTTCTGTACGTGTGCATAGATATTAAAGATTTTTTTACTTATATATATATATTTCTAACGACAAAAAATTTTCATATTATTAATTTATGTTCTAAAAAAAATATTTTTAGGAGTATCCATTGAAAAAATGAATTTATAACAAGCGATAAGGAATGTTATTTTGCACTCGATAATGTCCGCGTATTTATCATGTTTATAGATCGGTTACAATCCCAACACGAAAGTTACGTAATGGAAATCTAGGCGACAGCAATACACCGGAATGCCCTCACGGTCATCCGATGTAAAAATCGTAAATAACTTCCATATAGTTGTCTAGGGAAAACGATTCTATTACATTTTCCCAGCATTAGGTTAGCCTTTTGTGTACCCAAGGCAGGTGAAGGAAGTCAACTTAGGAGCGCTGTGATTGGATGTTAGGGTACAATATATTTTTTTATTTATCTATGAATAACTGCAGTGTGTATATTTACAATATAAATTTTGAAACCTATTGAAATATTTTCTAGAGAATTATTCGAATAGACTTCAAAAATTTCATAAATTTCGTGTAAAATGACGGTGGGCATGGATAACATTAACAAGCTCCGTTGGAAGTTGGTCATGATACTATTTGGCGTCAAATTTTAAAACAGAATAATAAAGTACTAACACTACACATAACTGTTTTATCCTAGTTTTTATTATAAAAAGTGGTAAATTTAGAAAATGTTAGTATTGTCGCCTATGGCAGAATAAATAGTACCGTTTTCCCTCTAATACCAACATAGTTAAAGGGGAGTAAGTCAAATTTCACAAAAAAAAAACTAAATCTTCATTTAATTTATCCGTCTTTTACAAGCAGTGGCAAAGTCTATAAGAATTGATAAGCAAAAAAGACATTTTAATTAATAAAATTTCATTAATTGCATGGAACTTGCATAGAATGGTAAAATTAAAAGCAGAGAGGATCTTCTTATTTATTTGAATAAAAATATATGATTGAAAACCAGGTATACGGTATATTAATTTGTCTAAACTTTAATTTCTACTTGTAGTTACAAATTTCAACTCAAAAAGAGATAGGAGAATGAAACAGATTAAGATTGAAGGGATTATCGTTGGTGTTTGTCTGGCCTGCATCTTTTTGGTTCTTTTAGTAGTGATGTACATGTATTACAAATCCAAACCTACAGACAATACACCGGAAGAAAACGAAGGAAAGCAAAGACAGGGTATGTGAATGTATTATTGATTAGATATATATAAATCTAAATTGAAAACAAAGTTCAAACATATGATTGCGTTGGATAAATATCGCAATTTTTATACGTGTGCATGCAAAACAAATTTCTTGGTAGCGGGGTCTAAATACAGCACAAACAACATTTTCCAAAAGACCAAAAAAGTGAAAAAGTATATTTAACAAAACGCATTTGACTAACAGGTCGAACAACGGATGTTCTTAAACCCTGCTGACTGGCATTGGCGATTGCCAAATAACAAGATGTAACAAAATGAATCTTAATTATTAATTTAATAGCAAACAGAAAACAATAAACGTGCGGAAAAGATTGTATACCGCAAACATGAGGTGCAAAAATGTGTACACCATAACCGGATTTCGACAATTAATATCTCTTCAGTGATGTTAGGAATCGAAACAGTATTTGGAAGGCCAAACGCGTATCTGCATCGAATACAACATAAAGAAGTCTTTTTATCTCATATATACTGACATTCTGGTAATTTTTTTTATTAAGGAATCGAATCTGCATATATAACACGTGAGTTATTGATATATTGAATATTCAGTCCCGATGATGCAAAACAAGGACTACAGCATTTCATAAAACTGTTGGCTGCTGGTAAACAATATTGCTGAAATCAAATACAAGATCTACACAAATGTCACAATGTCCGATACCATCAGATTACTTTTTCTATGAGTTGTTGCTATAAATCGTAAAAACCTCTTTCATTTTTGCAACAGATATTAACATGATAAGATGTCCTCAATCAAAATTCAGCGAATTATTTCTTTCCAGCATGACTGCATGATTTGACCAGCTTGTCACATCTTTTATGTCGTTATATTTGGAATTGCCATTATGTAAAAGTGAAAAGAATTCTAATCACGTTCCAACAGTTCATCATGAAATAAACACATAATTCAATAAACACATTATCATATATCTTGTCAGTTTTAAGAAGATTAACACAAAATACCATTTCTTGAACTCTTAATTGGTATAATATGAACTATAGCTATAAGAGAGCACAGTGAGCGTTGGAACGTTCAAAGCAAATGTACCCAAAGTGTCAACATATTTGAACAGACATCGACGTTTTAGACACATTCAAATCTTGGTTTTCATTAATTCACACACGTTGCTGTAGGATCTCGCTTCGCTCGCTAAAATACAATTATTTTGACCACAACAGATCAAGTATAGCTCAATAGAATGATATAGGCAAAAATAAATACTATTATATACATTTAAATTGGATTTCTACAAATCTATATCGGTCTCTTATTTACCGACCACGTCTCAAGTTTATATAAAGCCTTTATGGCCTTTTTGGGAGGGGCGTTAACCGATTGTTATCATAAACAAACAAACAAACAAACCATACAAAAACAAAAAAACATTTGATTGAATATTTTTCTGTTACAACAGGTCACATATTATCCAATATAAGGCACAAACTCATGAATAGACGAAAATCTAACATTGTCTGCATTGAAAACGAGACGTTCGATAAGTATCTAGAGGTCAAACAGACTGATGATGATGAAATAGACGGAGACAGCCAATCAACACAACAACCTGAAAATGTACCAGGAACAAGTGACAAAGACATATGCAACAGCTCTGTTTAGAAAACAACAAAAAATGTTCATCACCACATGGTGATATCCAATATGTGCCCTTTGTTCTTATTCGTCATTCACCGTATCAAGTTTTTTGTACATTTAAAAAAAAGTGACGTCCCATATAAATTGTAAATAATTTAGAGTACATTCCGATTCACTTTGTCTTTCATACAACGACTATATATATATATATAAGAAATTAAGCGTGCTGTCAAGGCGCAAAGAACAAGATAGTTCTATGGTTGGTGTGTAGGTAAAATATCAAATATCAAATGGTACCACACATTCATGGGCAAATTAGAACTAGAATATTAACTGTAGATTAATAATTTTAAGGTCATAAGTCGTCAAGTTGAAGGTTGAGAACAATTTGTTTAAGTTGATAGGTATGGGCGTAAATCATATTTTTTTCCGTATTTATGGTACCTTTAAACATGTTGAAAACAACATTAAATAACACGCGCGGTTAATCTCAAATAAGATTGTTCTTTGTAGAATTCGATCCATAGTACTCCCTACATTACAAATATTGTTATTGTGCATATTTTAATTTTTTAGTATACACATTTTCCCATATCATCAAGCCGAGGCGTTAGATGAGGGTCTGATATGTGGTCGAGGAATGCTCTTGGGTCTGGTATGCAGAATTATGTAACATAACATCTTTATCATACATTTCCGACGCAAAATTTTAAAAACAAATGTTTTAAAAAAGCATGCAATTTCCACGGTCAATTTGGAATTTGCGACTTTTAAATCCAAGGAACGGGATAGAAGAACAAAATGCTACTGTACATAGAAGTATAAGCTGAAATAATGTTTGTATATACATGTATGTAAGTTGCTGTGGCAGGCGTTTAACATAGTGTATTCAAAAGTAAAAACATTTTCTTTGCTCTTCCATGCATATGAAATTATACAACAATGTTTTGTGGTTGGTGCCACTCAATCATTATTTTTCTGTGCATTTTTTGTAAATTACACTTTTTCTCTATCTGACTTTTACAAATACACCCGATATTGTCCTATAATTGTTGTATTTATAAATATATTGATTATCTTATAAATTGTATATGATTACGTGAGAAATGAAGCCCAATGAAGGGACGTGTTTGATGATTTTTTTGGAACTCTGAAATAGAAAGCATATATGATATTACAAGATCGGTTAGTGTTTATATAAGGATGGATGTGGTATTTTTAAAATTGAAATATTATATAGAAACGGCACCTTTTATTAAATATTTTGTAATATGATGCACATGTTGAATAGTTTATCGCTAATCTCATGTATACAATTGGCATTTTCTTATTTTCATCAATAAAACAGAAAACTTTGTTTCAATGTTTTTATTTCAATATACATTAAACTTTAAAAAAAAACACACACACATGGGCACGTACTCCAAAACGTACAAGAAATACAAAAAACATCATCATACAGCACGTCATGTGTATTAGTGACGCCTTGCATGTTTGTCACTGAAAAGTCTATATATATATATCTTTGGAACAAATGGTATTAAATAAGATCTGCACAGACTAGACTATGACTATAAAAAAAACGACAATACAAACAACAATTCACCAAAAGAACTCGCTGTTACAGTGATCATAAATATTATATTCACATCAAAAGTTATCCCCCTGGAAATAAACGAGCATATAGCTCTTGCTATGTGAATCAAAGTAGATGTTGCGTAATCATTTAACGACAATTCTTTTCGTCGCAAGGGGATACAAAATGAACATCATTCAAATGGATACCACATACAGCTTGAACATTTACCAGGCGCTCAACCTATAACAAACAAGCTATCCAAGTATCATTATAAAAAGACGATAGAAAATGTGAATATGACCAATTTTCGACATGTTAACAATTTGCATGTGATTTCTAATTCTATAAGTAACGTGAATAATGAACGTGTAGCGATATATATATATGCGTCCAATCGTTCCCTATATGTTTGAACTTATAGGTTCTGTATTGTCGGACAAACTATTACGGTATATATGTTAGGTTTCTTTGTCCATTAAAGTCAGTAATTAGTTGCTCATAATATACATAAAAAGAATAACAAGAAGTAACAAATATATAAGACAATATAACAAACCACACCAGCATATTAGACAATATAACAAACCACACCAGTATATTAGACAACACACACAATAGACTGAGAAATATCATTAACTCCTTTGATCGAAAGCATTTCTGCATCAAATGCTAAGTTCATTTATTAAAAGTTTCTATCAAATTCCAAGTACATGTTTATTTTCTATGCATCCATGCGCTTCAATGAAAGGAAGGAACGTTCTAAAAATTTCGCAAAAAATATCCGCCAAACCGGTGTTAGCGGGGTCGCCGTGCGCCTGGAATGAGATGCGACATTTGATCCGTGTTGAAGATGAAGAACGGAAATTACAGAATTGTTCCTGTGCTTTGGATTTTTTCATGTGTGTTGGGGTTTTGTTTTATGAATTAAAAAAAACATTATGCTTTCTTTTTAGAACATAAATTTTGAATTTTATATAGATCGAAAGGCAAATGGTGTTAATGAAACGATATATAAAACTAAAAACATTCAAGGTTCATTGATCGATATTATATAGTGTATCAACTACCTAAATATAATATTTTTCACTCTTTGCAATATTTTGACCCGAGCTGTATCGATGATTAAGTGCACATTACGATTAAAGATATATTTTCACAATCTCTTCTTTGTTGAACTCAACTTAATAAAATTATTAGATTTTACACGAGATAAATACTTCAATAACAACGCCAAGGATACTCATTCGTCCACTTGAATAATTATTGAAATCTTTACATTTTCATCAAACTCTTTAAATCATAATATTCGTTTCCTCTCCCATTGTTAAGAAAAGGATAATATTTTCTTTCCCCTGGCGGAAACTGGGGAAAATTTATCAACACTTTCTAAAACACCTTGAATCGATTATCTATTGTGCATTGCTTTTCTGTTATTGATTTTTAAAAATTGCGTCGACTTCATCAATGTGTCAGAAATAAGAGAAAATTGATGTTAATTGATTAATAAATAAAATGACAACCATGGCGAGCCCCACAGACATTTCTAAATAACGAATCAAAAGCCGGATGGCATCTGTTGGAATAATATTTGGGTCAGAAAAGCGCGTACGCTTCCATTGATCTGTTTTTGTTGGGTTTATTAGTTGACGTACATTCCTAATTTCAAAGCAAGGTAAGATTTTTAAAATCATTCGTTGAATTTCAAATATCGAATTTTAGTAAAAGGCTATGTATGAAAAAAATACCGTACATATATTATGTAAATGTTTAACGCATATCATGCTGCAACAGCCGGTTTGAATATTAATTTGTGAAGAAAAAACAGAAATACAGAACAAATACACAAGGGTTAATTTTAATTGAGCGAATGCCTAAAAGGATGGCAATAAGATAACGTAATGGAAAAACTGCATAATGTACCAAGCATAATTTTATCGATGTCCTTTATGATAAACGTTTTGACATTTGCAAATGTTATTCTAAGTATGTATTTGATAGTTTAATTGCTAAACTGGTTATCACTCGGGTTATCACAATTATTTCTGATATGAACAATCAAATTACATGTATGTGATTTCAGGGCGATACAATGAAAGTGTTGTGCATTACTACAAAGTTTCGCTCTTGACAACATAAAATCCTTTCAACACTACTACTTAATCTTATTTTAATATTGATAGATTTGGAATAGATCACCAAAATGTCGGCAGGTGGCGACATTGTATATTTTATTATTAAAGCACATCATGAACTATAATTTCTCAAACATTAACAACAAATTGCAGAAATAAAGTCTTATACCTTGTACATTTACTTCAGAAAAAATAATTTAGATCTGTTATGAATTTATATTATTGTTTGAAAGGAGCACAATACTATCATGACTATTATTATTGCATATAGAAAAGGTCAAATCTGAATTTGCATCGTATTGAAGGTCAATTATGATGACTGAACCAGTCGGTAAAATAAAAGTTCAGAAGTTATTTTTCTACTTTACGTGATAGTAGGTATACAATTGGTTTACCACAACAATGACTACGATGCTTTGAAAAGAGTTGTTTTACTTTTTACATGATTTACCAAATAAAAAGACATTAGGTGTTTTATTGAGGACTTGTTATATTGGTCTAATTACTAAAGTTTGTCACAGTTTTAAAAGAAGGCCGAATGCAGAAAAAAAACATGCCATCACTGAAATATTCAAATGTGAACCGATCGCAGTAGTTGGATTCTTTTTACCATTCTTCAGTAATTAAAGATATATTATTGTGAAGATTAAGAATTTGAATGTCCATCATCGACTAATCGACAGGGTAGAAAAACAGCAATTGATCTAAAGAGTCAATAAGAGATGATACTGTATTCTGCAAGGGAGAAACTTATCTATTGATAAAGATGTACTGATTCTGAATTGTTGTATAGATAATATATTTAGACACATCCGCCTATCAACATGATCAAAGTAATGACATAAAAATAAAAAAATCCGAATCAGAAAGTAATTATAAAAAGTAATAGCATGTTAATTTAGAAAATCAATTACTTGTAACGATGAACAGTCAAAATGCTTCTTTCATGTAAGTTTTAATCAAGTCGTAAAGTTCTTCCATTTATTATCCCCTTTCTCTTAGTTTGGTGAAAGATTTTATCTTCTTGATTATAGATAAGCATGTGAAATCGATACCAAAGACTAGTTTCAAATTACATATCTCAGCAGGGCACTGATCGAACGCTATTTTTGTAGGAAAGTTTAGAATGTATATCTTTACACATGTAGAATTTATATTTAATGGCAAAACGAACCCAAACAAATGAAGCAATCAGTAGTAGATCTACACAGTGAGCCGACTGAATTGCCATGACCTCAGTTATGCTACATAGATTATGATGGAGTTTCTAAATTATAATGAATTATTTAATTTTTTTTGCAAAGAGGAACTCGAATGTTGATATATTGAAACATGTCAACCAACACTTATTTATTAATTTTGATCTAAAATGTCTTCAGATCAAAGACATGAAAAATGTGAAGAAACCCACACCCCGTCCGATGGATACACAATAAATGTATTTTTGCCGGAAGACGTGCATCAAATATTCTTTAAATATGTTCTTACATAGCAACACAAGCCTTGGAGTGCCTCATTGTATTGATTTTGATCACCTTTTTCCTTGAAACAAACTCAATGAATTTAGATAGAATTTCATCCAAGAAAGTATTGGTAAATTTGTTTGGTGTATGAAATGCCTTTGTTTGATCGAATCAATCATCCGAGTTTTGCTTTTACGGAAATTATCATTGGGTGTTCGTATAAATTGAAAAGATGTACATTGAACTGTAATGTGGAAAAAATTGATCGGTTGCTTTATACTCAATATTATAATAGAAAAAGTGATAATATAAAAAAATACTGCAGTAGAGAAGGTAAAAAGCGACTTATTTTCATGGGACTAGCGAGGTATTCATGTTATCGGATGATATTGATCATAAAATTATCATGGTTGACAGGTTTTCTTTCCACACCGGTTGTACATACGGTAAACAGCAGATGTTCAATGTCGTAGGATGACTACAAGGAGATATCGATTAAAACCAGTGTAAAAATGGGAATATCAAGCACTTTCGGATAATTGGTGATGATCTATAACCCAAATATCCTAGACACTAGAATAACACAAATGTCATGGCCATTGGCGAAAAAAAGATTAACAGTTAATATATATGTATAGATTATCGATTAGATATTACAATAGCATATCCTCTCAGCAGCAACATTGAATATATTTGCTCATGATCAATTATTCGAACTTAAAGAAGAAATATGAAAAAAATATTGACTGTCAAAACACTTCAAACGGGCTGTATCTGAAAGATATGCAGATAAACCACTCGTTAGCAACCTTGCTGAATTTATCGATATTTTACTGTAGATGATCATGACATTCGATAAATGTGTGTTTTATGTGCATTAGGGGATACAATTGTGATTAAATTTCTGTTTGAAATCATAATGAAGTCTGTATGTCCTATTTGATATCACAGAAAGTTTAGGCCGCAATGCATGGTAACTATAGTAATAAAACAATAAATCTGTTAACCGCCGATTGTGACATTGCTATATCCTATAATATAAAGTTAATTTTTGTGGTTGATTTCGATACAGGTCACACATTTGAGCTAAACTGCCTGTATATACATTGTCGGTTTCCTTCGAATAAAAAAACACACGGGTTTAAGCTCACATGGTCCAAACGGCTGCACTCACGTCCATAAACTTTTCTTGAATACAAATCTCCTCGGAAACCGCTTTATGGACTGTAAGTTAAGTTTGTCTGTATTGTCTATATGATGAGGTCTACTATTAACGGAGACATGACACGATTTTCAATTTTTGTTTCAAAATTTTTTTATGCATAATTTTCCCATAAAATACATCGATAGCAATATAAGTGTCAAAAATTTGGTAACTATATATATATGTATTTTAATGATCTTTAATGCAACGATATATCGACCTATTAATAATTAACCTGAACATTTCAGAAAATCTGTTGACCTGTTTTGGAGTTATTGCCCTTGAAATATATTTTTTTTCATCTTCCGTTGTTGTTTTTTTTGCTGTTATCTTGAAAACATTAGGAACTAGGTTATTAGTGTAAATTACAAAAATTATCAGAAATACAAAAAATAACCAGTGTGTGCAATTGAGGATCCTCTTAAGGAAACTGACACTTTTAAATAAAAATTGAGAATGGAATTTAACCATGTAAACGATACAGGCATAGGTGATCCTCTTGTTATTTATTTTTATTTTCGCTATATATCATTATTTTGAATATGTATAAGTATATTCTTGGAGATTCGACCATCTTTATATGAAAACGAAAGACAATTGACGTTGAAACTTCCTGTAATTTTGATTGATGGTTTCTTTTTAGTTTATTTAAAACTTTTAACAATATACAAACGGGCAGTAAATTTATATTGACCGGGACCACTACTTGCAGAAAATAAGGTTGCGATGGGTAGGATTAGTAATCTAGCGTTCCAATAGATCAATCACAGTTATTGTGAGCAGGTAAATGGACTATTTAATGTACAAAGAGCGTGGCATTTAATTAATAAGACTTGAAGTGATTGACATTAAATAAGTTTAAAAAAGACTGCACACATTTATCCAGTGCACCCCTTGGACTGATTCCTTGCTGTCTGAGAGAAAAAGTTCAAGAACGCTCTATATAAAGTACGAAGAAAAAAATGCAGCAGTCTACAGAATAAAATATAATTCATGACACAAAACTGTGCGGTATACGGAACTTAATACATTATTTAAGTGGGGTCATTGGAAGATATCTATACTAATAAACTGTTACCTGATACGGTTTAGTATACATACTAAATGTTGATAAATGTTGCAGTTATTTACATGCTGTTATATTAATTAATTTGCCTATATACATTGTGATGTAACAATCGAGAAGTAATATTATAACACAAGTATGCATCATTTAATGTAGAAGATTAACACTTTTTGTCATTTGTAGATCAGTTTCCATTTATCCGAGTACAAAAGATGGCTGATGTCAAGGGCTTCGAATTTGTTTTACTTATTGTCTTTTTGATGATATGTCACGTTGAATCACAAGGTAAGAAGAATATTTAAGGCTGCTTTAGTATAGAAATGAAAAGTTATGTATACTCTTCTGTGACGACCTTTCGGTCTCGTCTTGTCGGCTGGGTAATCGTTCATGATTGAAAAAGTGCTAAAACTATGAGGCTACAACTCGCAGTCAACTATGCAATTTTCACCTTGTACAATTTTGGCTGATCTATATCTATTCAGGCCCATTTGGTTTTAGAAATATACTCACAAGGTTTTATAAATGGCTCCCAAAACTAAAGTTACGAACGTTTCTGACGAAGATTATTCCAGAAAAAAAACCATATTGTGTTCTGGTCTGTAACGTAAATATGTTTTTTGATTGAGTTAAGCCTTCCAATTGATATTTTATAGTGTGTCTTTCTATGTTGTGATGTAATACTATTGTTTCAGAAAAGGGAGAAGGTTTGGTACCATTAAAACGTTTAATCCCGCTGCAAATGTTTGCACCTGTCCTAAGTCAGGAATCTGATGTACAGTAGTTGTCGTCTGTTTATGTAGTTCATACGTGTTTCTCGTTTCTCGTTTTTATATAGATTAGACCGTTGGGTTTCCCGTTTGAATGGTTTTACACTAGTAATTTCTGGGGCCCTTTATAGCTTGCTGTTTGGTGTGAGCCAATGCTCCGTGTTGAAGACCGTACCTTGACCTATAATGGTTTACTTTTATAAATTGTTACTTGGATGGAGAGTTGTCTCATTGGCACTCATACCACATCTTCCTATATCTATTTACCCTGTATCAAGATGATCTGCAGGTAATTGTCAGTTCTTTGATATTTTTTTATATGAAAACGACTGCTTTTTCTTGATACTTTAATCATGGTAATGTCTCGTGTTGACATACCCGTTGCTTTTTATATTTTAACTATAAAATAATCACACAAATCCCCAAGCTTAAACATGAATAGTGTCCTTGTAAATAACTCCATCCACCAAAGGCGTCGAGTAAAATACATTTATAAAAACAAAACAACGAAAATTTAAACTTAAATACGAATTTTGTTATCGTTGCACACTGACAGATAGTAATATAGTTCCCATGCATTAAATTTCACGAAACTGATGATTAATGAACATGGAAGAAGATTCAATAAAAACATAACCTTTATTTGAAGAGGATAACCTCATTAACATAGCTCAACTTCCTGAGGGTCCTGAAAACATCCCGAATATACACAAGAAATACAACATTAGATAAACTACAATATTTAAACTAATAAATGCATATTCATATTATCATTTACAATAAATGCTCAAAGTATTAGAATAGAATAGAATATTTTTATTTCCCAAATTACAGGGCCCATAGAGGGCATAAAATCAGATACAATTGATCTACATAATTGGTAAAAACAACAATAATAGTCACTTGAAAATATATATTTAGTATAATAGCATTGGTCAGAATCAGAGCCAAAAACCACATATATCTTGTGAATAAAAGAATAAAATTGCATTATATGCATTCATTCTCAAATCATTTACTTGACTTAGTGTCTATATGCATACCTGATCTCCTTAATTCAAAACAGTCACAAATATAACAGCCCAGTTTTTCCATAAGAGTTACATTTTCTTGAGTCAAGAGCCATAAAAATTTAGAAGATTTATTTAAATTTTTAAAATTATAACAATTGTCAGATATGTATTGAAAAAAGTCTTCCTTTTGAGCATCATAAAGAGGACATTCTAACAAAAAATGAAGCTCAGAAAGTATTCAGAAACGAAACTACTCATTAAAAAGAAATTACAACATTAATCATTAAAATCTTTTAAAGATTTGTAATCTTTTACTTCTGATGGCAATTTATTCCACATTTGTGCACCAGAGTACATTTAAGTTTTCTTCATGCAATTGGTCATTTGCTTTGACAGGTGCATGTAAAGATTTATTGTTAAAGGAACGTATAATTTATTATTTTGAATATTAACATACTTGTATTAATTTTCCTTTATGTAAAGATTTGAATACCAGAATAGATACAACACTTTAGTCCTTCTTTTTCAGTTACACACAAGTTAGACAATTCAACAGATAATGAATGTAATAAGATATTTACAATTCACCCAGATGAAGAGATCATATTGACATCCTCAGGGAGAGCACCAAAAGCATTCTGTACGGCTCTAGTGTACGCTCTGGGAAAAGGTAACAAAAAATGCCATGGAATGTGTATGTCTGTCACTTCCCAGTTTATAGATCTTTGTGATGCAAAGGTCCAGTTTACAGGGATGGATTTTGGACACGAGGATGATCCTTTACGGGTAAGCATCTGATGATAAATAAAATATTTAAAAAAAATAGTATCTATACTAACCTGAATTCGTTTTACAAAGGAACATATTTTTTATTTACCATTAAATTTGTCATTACTGGATGTTGTCAATATTCATTATGTGTTGCATGTTAGACACTCAATTAGGACTAACATAAGTTTATTATACTTCTGTATCATATCATATAGGACAGGGGTAACATAAGTTTTCTACTAGGTAAACTGTACTTAACTTAGTTTGTATTTTGGTTTTTGGGGGTATGTTGGGTTGCAGTTCAACAGTGATTAATTTGGTATTTGGAAATAAGTGGTTTATTTTTTACTTGACCAATAATTGCATACAAATACCAATTCCAGGAGCTGAGTTGTTTCCATAAACTACCAACGGAATGGTGCTTCCAAACTAACACCATGACGGTTGAAATCGTAGAAACGCATTTCTATGCATTTCAAATGAAGAAACTGAGCTACAATTTTAGTGTAAAAGTTTCCCCAGTCTGTGATGATTCTCCATTTGGTAAAGACATACAAGCCAGGGAAGGTACGTTAAGTGAGGTGTCATGGTATTTAACATAATTTATACAAACTTGACCAATTCAATCAATTCTAGTTTACAATGCTTATCTTCTACTGGCTGTGATTTAATCATAGTAACGTAAAAGATCAGTGAAGAAGTTATTCACTTGTTCACAAATAATAATGATTTGCTCACTCAGTTTTCTCGGGTGAGATTTACCGGATTTTTTTCCACTGTTCAATTTATCACAATTCAGTAATGTACCATTCCAATCCTCTCTTTGTAGAGGGCTAGCACAAAGGTATCATCTCAATAGTAGTCAGCTGATGACTCGCAGTTTTTAGCAGAAGATACGTAACACTAACTCTGTAATTTACATCTTTTGGACTGAAGACTATTTAATGGACAGATAAATCACATTTCCGTAATTAAACAAAAAAACAGCTAACTTATATACTAGTATTATTATCAAGTTATTGTAGTAAATACTCATGGACGATGCATCAAGTATATACACATTATATATATATATACAATCTGATATTTTCTAAAGGAAAATAAGATATATTGAGTGAATGTTGGCAAGATCCTTTTTCATTTGATGAATCCTTGTCTTGTGGTCCCTGATGGAAAATTGTTCTCATTGAAAATCATACCAAATCTCCTTATTTTTATAGTAGGTTTATTTTTTAGATGCACGTAAGGCAAGCGAAGCAGGTGCCCGAAGCATGGCAAGAATCCATGGAATACTGGTTGGTGTATGTCTAGCTATTGTATTCCTGATTGTTCTCCTGATTACATGGTGTTACTACAAGAACAAACCATTCGGAAGAGATATACATAATTATCCAACTGCTCATGTCCGTAAAGGTATATAATAACATCCTCATATTATTATATATTTTGTTATTTATTTTGCTATCAGTTTGTATAGACTTCATCCACATGTTAAACTGATGCTAATTATTTTAAATTCAAAGTTTTGCGTAGGTATCAGAATATATGAAAATAATAATATTCCCGTGTCTCATTCAGTGATTTCTATTATCAAAAGTCTGATAATCTTGAAATGTCTATTTGTCATTCCAAATCATTCATATCTTCTTGGTATATGTTTTGTCAACATTTACACCGAAGAACACATCGATCATTTGTGGCTACGATCAGCAGAACATATCCAACCAGCGGAACATATCCGTGATCATCTGTGGCGCAGATAGTCCATAACGGTAAAGTAGATCAGGATTGCGTCGGTAAAATATTTGAAGTTTGAAGAGATGACTTCAACTTTTCTATTAAGTACTCTTGGTTCAATAGCTTCCTTTATAAATGAACAAAGTCGGTCGTTAAACAACTTAATACCTTTCATCACAACTTCGAGACTTTGTGTTTCTGTTATAATATATAGATATAAGAAGATGTGGTATGAGTGCCAATGAGACAACTCTCCATCCAAGTAAAAATTTATAAAAGTAAACCATTATAGGTCACAGTACGGTCTTCAACACGGAGCCTTGGCTCACACCGAACAGTAAGCTATAAAGGGCCCCAAAAAATTACTAGTGTAAAACCATTCAAACGGGAAAACCAACGGTCTAATCTATATAAAAAACGAGAAACGAGAAACACTTATGAACCACATCAACAAACGACAACTACTGAACATCAGATTCCTGACTTAGGACAGGTGCAAACAAATGCAGCGGGTTTAAACGTTTTAATGGTACCAAACCTTCACCCTTTTTCTGAAACAATAGTGTAACATCACAACATAGAAAGACACACTATAAAATATCAACTGAAATAGCTTAACTCAATCAAAGGACATATTAACACCATTGAACATACACTGAACAAATAAATTTGACCTATGACACAATGTAAATACAAAATAAATAGACTAAGGGAAGAATAATAAAAGTAACATGTTATATCGGTAAGAAATGTTAAACAATTAAAGAAAAACAATTTGCTCGAACAAAAATACCATCCATTTGCAATAACTTTAAACACAGGTAAATGAAAATAATTTTGTTGTTAGGTATACCTGTACAGTACCAATAGAGAAAGGAAATATTTTTACAAAATAAATAATTTTGAATACAAAATGAATAATATAGTTCAGATTTGTTAATATTAATGCTATGAAATTCACGTTTGTTGCAGGACCAACGTTTGCAGGATTTAAAGCAAAAATGACATTTCATAAAGCACAAAGTCCCGACGAGGGTGCAAATGAGACAAAACCAAAAAAGGAAAAGAAGCGCAAACATTCCAAAGATGAAGCCTCGTTGGAAAATGAAGAAGCAAAACCAAAGAAGAGAGGAGGCCTTAAGTTTCTAAATAAGCTCAGGTCTAACAGGGCAGAAGAGGTTCCATTAGTAGAAAAGAAAGATGATAAAGACCCAGCAAGGGTTGCAGAAAAAATTGAGGACGAAATAAATGAAATACTAGAAGATGAGAATGTAGATAACAAACTAGAGAAAGATAATAGATCAGAACACAATAGGGATACGGAAAAAGACGCTGAAAAATTTGGAAATGACACAGAAGATACTAATAAACCCGATCTAGGAGAACCAGTTGAATCTGGTGATAAAGAGGATAAAACCAGCAGTGAACCAGTTCCATCTGTAACAGTTACAGCTGCGGGTGAAAATGACAGTAAAAATGACAGCAGTGATGACTCGTGACTAGCGGAAATTCTAGAGAAAACTAAGCAATTTTAATACTTGTAGAGGTGTTGTTTAGTACATAGCGCCTAGATGAAATAGTATGCATACGAAAGAAATGAAAAGTATATACAAATAATTCTATTTACGTACGCATAGAATGTGAAATCCCACTGATAAAGAATAAGGTAGAAAATCAGCTCACATTCAACAACACGAGCTTCACTGATATTATATAGTATTGTTAAAGTTGTTGGTAAACAAAATCATTGGATCATAGGTTCAGAATAATGTACGCAAATAGTAATTTACCTATTTATGCCCCCGCCGTAGCGGAGGGGGCATTAAGTTTTATCCTTGTCCGTCTGTACGTACGTCCCAAAATTGGTCTCCGTTCTCTAACTTTTGTTTGCCTCAACCAAATGTTATGAAACTTATACACAATGCTTATTATCACAAAACACAGGTCAACTTTGAATTTCGGTGGCGTCACTTTTGCCGTTCTAGAGTTATGCCCCTTTACAAATGGAAAAATTGCTGAATTTTTCGTTTCCGTTCTCCAACTTTAGTTTGCCTCAACCAAATGTTATGAAACTTATACACAATGCTTATTACCACAAAACACAGATCTAGTTTGAATTTTGGTGGCGTCACTTTTACCATTCTAGAGTTATGCCCCTTTACAAATGGAAAAATTGCTGAATTTTTTGTTTCCATTCTCTAACTTTTGTTTGCCTGAACCACATGTTATGAAACTTATACACAATGCTTATTACCACAAAACACAGATCAAGTTTGAATTTTGGTGGCATCTTTTTTACCGTTCTAGAGTTATGCCCCTTTACAAATGGAAAAACTGCTGAATTTTTCGTTTCCGTTCTCTAACTTCAGTTTGCCTCAACCAAATGTTATGAAACTTATTCAAAACACTTATTACCACAATACTCAGATCAAGTACAAATTTTGGTAGTGTCACTTTTACCGTTCTAGAGTTATGCCCCTTTACAAATGGAAAAATTGCTGAATTTTTCGTTTCCGTTCTCCAACTTTAGTTTGCCTCAACCAAATGTTATGAAACTTATACACAATGCTTATTACCACAAAACACAGATCTAGTTTGAATTTTGGTGGCGTCACTTTTACCATTCTAGAGTTATGCCCCTTTACAAATGGAAAAATTGCTGAATTTTTCGTTTCCATTCTCTAACTTTTGTTTGCCTGAACCAAATGTTATGAAACTTATACACAATGCTTATTATCACAAAACACAGGTCAACTTTGAATTTCGGTGGCGTCACTTTTACCGTTCTAGAGTTATGCCCCTTTACAAATGGAAAAATTGCTGAATTTTTCGTTTCCGTTCTCCAACTTTAGTTTGCCTGAACCAAATGTTATGAAACTTATACACAATGCTTATTATCACAAAACACAGGTCAACTTTGAATTTCGGTGGCGTCACTTTTACCGTTCTAGAGTTATGCCCCTTTACAAATGGAAAAATTGCTGAATTTTTCGTTTCCGTTCTCCAACTTTAGTTTGCCTCAACCAAATGTTATGAAACTTATACACAATGCTTATTACCACAAAACACAGATCTAGTTTGAATTTTGGTGGCGTCACTTTTACCATTCTACAGTTATGCCCCTTTACAAATGGAAAAATTGCTGAATTTTTCGTTTCCATTCTCTAACTTTTGTTTGCCTGAACCACATGTTATGAAACTTATACACAATGCTTATTACCACAAAACACAGATCAAGTTTGAATTTTGGTGGCATCTTTTTTACCGTTCTAGAGTTATGCCCCTTTACAAATGGAAAAACTGCTGAATTTTTCGTTTCCGTTCTCTAACTTCAGTTTGCCTCAACCAAATGTTATGAAACTTATTCAAAACACTTATTACCACAATACTCAGATCAAGTACAAATTTTGGTAGTGTCACTTTTACAGTTCTTGAGTTATGTCCCTTTATAACGTTATATGCAAGCGGGGGCATCATCTGTGTCCCATGGACACAGTCCCCATTTATTTATTTCGGAAATGAATGCACCATTTTTTACCATAAAGTTAACACAAACTGTATATTTCTAAACATATTCCATGAAATGTATATTTTTGTAGTAATTAATGTTGTGTTTTTAAATTGCATTGTTAGATGGTATGCCTTAAATGTTGGTCATAGAAGTATATAGAAATCTAGTCAGTAATGTGTTCAAAATGTTTCATGACATTAGTTTAATTCTAGAACTCCAATACTCGTGAATATTAAGTCTTTATAGGAAAGTTATTAAAGGAACTGAAGTTTCTTAGATGTAAATCAATCTTGTACAGTTTCTTTTTGAAGCTTCATTGCATACTATTTTCAGGATAAATATATGTATATACAATTTTTTAATTAAAAACAATAGATGTAAAATTATTTCTACTTGGAACAAAATTTCTTTTTATTAAAGAATGTAATTTCGTGTTATGATTTTCTTGCTCTCTAAGTTGCATACATAGTGCAATCAGTAACACACAATATCACGATATGTTTCAATACAAAAACATGTACAGTCAAATCGTTTGTGGGGTTTTATCTAAAGATAAAAAACAGACGATGCCAACCACACAAAAAATAGAATATAACGAACAACACTGAAAACTATTAAAAGCAAAAGCAGCACAGTATAAATTAAAACTAGGTAGTTGATGAGCTCTTGCAGGCTAAAAAGTTGATGCTGACAATTAAATACCCGTGTTGTGTCATAATTATACAACAACCAAATTGGACTGGATTAATCATGCGAAAAACGAAAACATAAGTAGCCCAATAACGTTACAGAAAAAAGTGCACATTGTTCAAACATTTAACAAGAATTTTTATCACTAAATGCACAGAATGCAGTGAAACAACTCCGAGCTTAATTTAGGGAACAATTAGACATTAATTTCCTGCCTGTCTGGCTTTTTTTTTAATTCTAATTTATAAATACGTTAATAAAGTAATACAAATAGAAAGGAAATGTGAAATAAAACTAAAAAAAAAAACACACAATTAAAATTTGTTTAATCTGCTAAACGTGATCAGCCAAAATACTGGCTGGGGTCTCGAATTATTGAATGGTCGCCTACGACTGGAATAGCATTTGCCTTTTATCTCCCGATGCATATTTTTTTATATTCGTGTAGCCTGGTAGTTTGGAATTATATTTTAAACGGCGAGAATAAATCAAAACTCCTTTTAACATCAGATGAGATCCTGCACCTATACACGTTATCACTTCAAAGAAAGATAACTGTAGTAATCACTCAATTCAAAGAAAGATAACTGTATTAATTTTAGGCGACCATGCCAAAAATACCATTCGATATATAGTTCATTATATTTATAGGTTAAAAGGAAGTAATTAAAGATGACTGGCGCCACCTAGATTTCACACCCAGATAATAGGTAGAAGTAAATTTATTTTCTGCTGCCCTGGTAATTAGAATCAAAATTGAAATAGTGAGAAATGAGTGTTGGCCATTGGTGCAGAAATAGCGAGAAATTTGGAGGAAACTCTCTGTGACGAGCAACATTTTCTGTGCCAAATTAAGCAAAGGGTGTTCTTCATTTATACTATTTCGAAAATTCCGGAACCGTTGAGTACCCTTAAAAAATGCCATTTTTCTATCAAAAAAGCTGCGGCACCATATGTGTTTTGCAGTTTTATTTACACCCAAAGGTGTTGATAATTCAGAATTTGACATTTTTATCAACGGATCTTTTATAGTGAAAACACAGGGCCTAAAAAGGCTACCACTGTAGCCTATGTAAATAATTACTTCATTGTAACCTTTAAAAGGGGGCCAATGTGGTAACAAGACAATTCGGCACCAATACATTTCGACACCCTGTTACTTGTATACGCGTGTATAGTAAAAGTAACGGAAAATAAAGGAGATTGTTTATTATTTCATGGCATAAAATGACACAATTGAAAACAAAAATGAAAGGAACTGCACTTTTTTGTTGTATATATCCCAAAGTCACGTTTTGTAAACTACGGCCTGTTTTGAATCTAGAAGTAGAAGAAAACAAAAATTGAGGATGGATGAATTAAGTTACTAGTATAATCGCATAAACTTATTACAGTTACAGATACAATAAGTAATTACGTAGCAGGTAAAGGAAAAAAAGACAGCGCAACCAATGATACCATGATAGACAGAACATTGAAATTATGGCAACGACAATGTGGAAACGGGATGAAATAAAATAATAAATTAAAAACTAGCATTCATAGTTTATGTTTTTAGTTGTAAAAATCGTCAATTTGTAAATGTTTAAAATGTGAAAAGCAAATTGACATATACCCGAATGAAATACTTTTGTATATATTGCCTTAAAATGAGTATGTTTACAGATTTACTATTTACCGCTTGAATATTTCATAAATGTTAATTTAAATAGGGAAGTGACGCGTCTATCATACTATCATTAAGTAGTCGAAGTTTAGGTAAACACTGATAATTCAGTCTCCTTTCAGCGAAAAAAAAACCCATCTTGTTGCCTTTATCCCTGAATGGAGGAAAACAGTTATATATACTAATCGGCAAAACTTGCAGTAGGATTTATTGTCTTTCTAATTTGAGTATATAGAAGCGACTTCCGCGATTTGCTTCTTTTTTTCCTGTAAGCAAAACTTTACATTTGAAATCAGTTCTTGCCCAATGCTTGCAGATTTGTTTGCTTCGTCTCAAGGAAATGTCTCCTTTTTAATTGTTCACTCCATATCAACACACATAAAGTATATCCTCCATATACCGAGGACTTAATAAATCCCTTTGTTCGCCTCAGGTTAACTCCATCTTGAACGTCGCTTTTCACATTGTCATTTCACTTTATTTTATTTCAATTTTAATCTGTTTATCTTTATTTTATAAATCATGAGTGTTTCAAGAATGTATCATCAATCTGTTAAAACGTAGTAACTTTTGGACAAGTAAATTTCTAATCTGGTTGATATAAAGTAAATGGAGCATGTGTCCATGGGACACAGATGATGCCTCCGCTTGCATATAACGTTATAAAGGGAAATAACTAAAGGACTGTAGAAGTGAAGCCACCAAAAATTAGAAGTTGATCTGTGTTTTATGGTAATAAGCATTTTGTATATAATATTCATGACATTTGTTTGAGACAAACTAAAGTTAGAGAACTGCAACGAAAAATTCAGCAATTTTTCCACTTATAAAGGGGCATTACTAAAGTTAGAGAACGGAAACTAATTTTGTTTTCAGTAATGTTGAGAAAAAATTGTTTTCAGTATTGAAAATTTCAGTAATTTTTCAGTACTGAAAATTTCAGTCATTTTTCAGTACAGAAAGTTTCAGTCGTTTTTCAGTACTGTAAATTTCAGTCATTTTTCAGTACTGTAAATTTCAGTCATTTTTCAGTACTGAAAATTTCAGGCATTTTTAAGTATTGTAAATTTCAGTCATTTTTCAGTACTGAAAATTTCAGTCACTTTACAGTACTGAAAATTCAGTCATTTTTAAGTACTGAAAGTTGTAGTCATATTCAAGACCTAATAAAAAAATTCACGGTTATGCTATCACAAATATCATAACCCCCAATGGTGAGTGGGGTATAGCAATATGGTCACTTGTTCATCTTACGACCGGCAGTAAAACGCTTGCCAAAGTGGGGCGTCCGTATGGCTGTGCGGGATGTACCAAGTTTGCAGCTACGTCCTGTCAGAATAGTGAGGTTAAATCTGATGCCTCGTGTAAAGAGAGTGCCAAGCTCTCTGCACGTTAAGAACCCTTACAACAACTTTTCGAGGGGTCCGTAGGCGGCCTGTTGCAAGGCAAAATTTCTATCCCTATCCAATATACCCTCATTTTCCAGTGGCAGTCCAAATTCCCCCGACCATCATCCCGGATGGCCTCTATTATTACAAGACCTACCTATTTTATTTATTGTTAACTTGTTCTCGTCCTGAACATTAATGAAATATTTGCCACTGGACGTTAAGCAACCAACAATCAATCAATCATCAACAAATATCATAAGTTGGTTTGGGATAAATACAAGTATTTTATTTTAAAACTCCATCGCTGTATGTATTCTTTCATTTCAACCCATTAATGCATTGAAGATGATTCTTTTGATGTACTATATGGCCACATTCTTTATGTGCCTGTTTCAAGCCATGACTTCTAATTTTTGATTGTCGTTGTTTGTTGTATGTCATAAATGGTGTTATTCAATGTTTTTGACGTAGATCAGTGCGGGTATTTTTTTCTTGCGATTATTTTTGCTAGTTATCGAGTGGACTTTTATAGCTTTCCATGCGCTATGATTTTTTCATTGTTGATTTGTGTGAAAGACGGAAAAGGAGCTGTCATAAAAACAGTCAAATTCAATCACATAAGCAACAAATACAAAACCATCAGTCAGAGGTCACCAATACATTTATTTCTTCAATGATTAGCAGTCCACACCATACAAGAAGCTCTGAATAGCAACGACAAAAAATAGATGTTATCTAGCTGTACAGCACAATGTCAGAATATCGTTTATTTAACTAAATGTATAACTACACAAAGACATATCTATGACATGACTTTGTCCGACTTGGGACAGAGGTGCATATAAATGTGGCGGGTTAAACCGAATTTGTCGACGTCCGACGTTGGACATTATGGTTATATATAGTATCCATGTTCTGTTGTTGATAGTTGGCAAGCATACCATATCTTTTTGTTTTTATAATACAAATAGATATGTAGATTATATATGCAGTCGTCCATATTAAAACTGATGCTCTTTAAGAAACAATGTATGGTCATAGCTATTTTTGACTAGGTACATTCTTGGAGCACTTTTAATTGCAATGAAGTCTTTAATATAGTTCACGTTTCTCCTATAGATAGAAAACATTCTTCTGATACCATGACAGATTGTTATCAGTAATAATTTCAAAGTAATTTAAAAGAAAGTGCACACATTTAAAGATCTTTTTATAAACTAAATCTTGGATCAAGTCAGGAGCCTGTAGTCTAATGGTTGTGGTTGGTTCATTTCGGTCATATTTATTGTTTGTAAATTGTTTTGTTATAAATTAGGCAGTTAGTTTTCTCATATGAATTGTTTCATATTCATATTTTTCATGTTTAAACCTTTAATAGCAACTTTACGGTATGGGTTTTTACTCACTTTATCAAGGCCGTACAGATGCCTTTAATTGCTTATATCTACTTAATTGAACTTTGTTGGATAGTTGTCTCATTGGCAATTATAACCACATTTCCTTAATTTTGTTTTTTATTGTAATAGAGCTATTTGGCATGTTTGGGAGTTTCAACTTCTGCAAATATAATGCTTTAGATTACTTTGTATTTCAGATAGCTCGCTATCGGTTTAAACCAGAAACCAGCAATATCAACATTGATATTTTCTATTCAACGGCAGGAAATTAGAACCTGAACTTTGCTTCTTTTTGTTCTTTGTGTGGTTTTAATATTGCATAACAATTTTGACAGCAGTAGATTTTGAATGAAAAGATGGACTTGATTTTAGGGAAGTAAGGCAGAATCCAATTAATATACATAATCTAAATATAAAAGGAAATATTAGTTAAATCCCCATGAAACAGTAAACCTGCTACCAAAGATATTTCAGTCTATTACTATATGTAGTCTAATTCGGTTTTCTTCATCCTTAACGTCACAACTAAGTGTTTAAATGCAAAAAACGGCAATTTTTGTGCTTGATCTAAAGCACTTAAAAACTAAAGCGGTTGGTTTAAAGAATTATTCAAAATACAGACAAATTTTCTACCTATGAAATTAAGGTGAATCGAGGTATCACATGTATTTTTTTATGTGAAATGAACACGAATCGAGCCTTCACATGGATTTAACAGTAACTGAACATTTTTTAGATAATATTAATGCTTATCTAGTATACCTTCTATCTTTTATAATACATAAAATTAGAAAATAGATATGTCTTCTTTTTGGTAGTTAGCATGTGTTCATACTACCATTCTATATTTCTTTCTTGTTGTTCAAATTTCTTGGTCTTTAACAATAAAAGTCAGTCTTGTAAACTCCAACCAAAAATGTCTCAAATACAACATATAACATGCAACAAGAATGCACAAGCTGAAATGTCTCGCCTGCTTTTCTTTTCATGAATTATTTTATGCTGATAGTCCTAAGGATAAAGTTTTAGTACAAGTGTCACATAAACCTAACATTATCAAAGATCCATGAAAATGAAGTCAAGGTGAGATAAACCAATTTAAGCCAGATGGACATGTATAATAGCTGACAATCATTACACACACCTAATATAGTTTTGATATTTCTTATTTTATACAAGAAACAGACAAAACCATGAAAATTATATATTGACCAATGAACCATGAAAAAATTAGATCAAGGTGACTCGTCAGATGAACCCTGCCAGACAGACATGTACACCTTAAAATCATTTCATACACTAGATATAGTTAATCTATTGCTTAAAGTAATAGACAAAACAAAATTTTAACATTGACCAATGAACTGTGCAATTTTGACAAATAATAGTACACAAGACACAACATAGAAAACTAATGACTAAGCAACACGAACCCCACCAAAACTGGGTTTGATCTCAGGTGCTCCGGAAGGGTAAGCCAATCCTGCCCCACGTGTAGCACCCATCGTGTTGCTCATGTTATTACAAACCCGGTAAATAGTTTAATTCGGTAGGTCACATAATAGGTAAGTGAGAAATTCACATAACAAAAATAGAAACTTTTTTTCAAGCAGTCGCTTGACCATGAAAATGAGGTAAAGGCCAACAGACATATGACAGACTATCGCAATATAAGCCATCTGTACACAAAGTATCAAGCCTCAAGTCCATGTCAATTACCATCTAAAATATAAAGCTTTTTACAAATAGTTTACGCCGTATGATTGTTATCTGTATGTTTCGCATGTCGCAGTAGAGACAATAAAGCAAGAAGACATGCAAATGTGTCATAGGTGTAGAATTTCATTTACATCAATGACTCGCATCCTGGATGACAGTTATACTATTGTTGATCAATTTTGACACAAATTACCTATTGAAAAGAGTCTTACTTGCAAAAGACAGAAATGAAAGATGTTAATTACTTTAAGAAAATTCTGTTAATCTACTAATTAACTTAATATTCTAAAAATAGTTAACTCAAATGCCAGTACCAAAGTAGGAACCTTCCCATTGGTTGTCTCATGTCAAAAATACATAATAAAAAAAAAATATTATTTGGAAAATTCTGAGTTGATTTAGTTTTTATTTATTTTATTCACAATGGAGATCATGCTTCATGTATGAAGTGTATGAACTGCATGTTTCCCTTTTGATGTTTGTTTGGTGTTTTTTATCGATGGGATTCTGTCGGATTCATAGGCGTTTTTTTTATGGGGGAGAGACCCCCCTTTATGGAGCTACATAAATGGTTAATGCATACACTTTCTACATGTCCCGCAACATGAAATGGACTCAAAGTTTGTAAAAATTCTTGTTATTTCAATGTTTTGTACTTTTATATTTCATTTAAAACTAAATTTTCTATTTTGAGACTTTAAAGAGCATGTGGTTGAAAGAAATATACACTCATGACAAGTTATTCCAGGTTCTTTTGATCTCTTTAATACACCACTGTATGTCTGTTACATTGAAGTATTGTTTAAAAGTTCTCTCCTGCATATAATTGCTCTTAGTACCCATTGATCTCTTCATACATTTGTATGTGATTTCCTTGTAAGATGTTGATTCAATGATAAAATCCTGTTATGCATAAACCGCATCATACTCTTGGAATTCTTAATACTGTTGCTGCAATCTAAAAATAAAATTCAGGGTACAAATTGTAAAATAATCATCAAATATTATCCTACCAATCTAATGAATTTTTTTAAGATGAGTCCACATATTTTGCATTTTTGACATGTGTAAGGGTGAGATTAAGAAATTGTATTGCTTTATAATTTATCATTGCAGTCTCCATGATAAAATAGAACAAGAACATTCTTCTAACAAGTTTATACCAATTAAACACTTAAATTAGATCTTTGAATATTTTTTGTTATTGGTATAACATTGATTTTATTATCAGTACATTAAAACTATAGTTAATAGTATTATACACATACATATTTTTTTTAATTCTGTATTTCACTGATAAATATACTCACTTTTTAAGTCAACATTACACTTTTACACTAACAGCAGCAATTGCAGGTGAGACACAGTGTTTGGATAAGTTAACGGACAATGATAACGGGCAAAAACTTATGAATATCTATTTAAGCCCCTTGGGCCAGGTGGGCTAAAAAAATATGACAAACATTTCTTTTAAATGGATTTTTATAAATGTCAAAGGAGTTGTGTCACTAAGGTGAAAATTTGGTCCCAAATTAAGTGCAAATTTTAAAGTTACCATCCTTGACCTTGACCTTAAATTTGACCTAACATTGTAACTTACATACATGTACATGTAGGTTTAAAGACTGGTGTTCAGGATAAAAGTCAGTTCACTTTTGTTGAGTTACAATATCAACAATAACAAAGCATGAAGAAATTGGTATATTTTGAGAAAATTTCTTTTATTTCCTTGTTTTGCATCAACTTTGATATGTATGTATACGTATTTTGAACGTTTAATCTGGATTGAAAATTAAAAGTAAAACAGCTTTAATTTTGTATTTGGTGGAATTCTGTAAAAAGTATAATTAAAGAATTAGCTTCTCTTACATATATATATATATATATATTTTATTGTGAAACTACCCCTTTACAACGGGGGCAAGCGCCAGCGGGGTACTGACACCTGCGTCATAAAAAAAACATCGTAGTATTTACAAACAACATTATATGGTTGTAATAAAAATGGTACAAGATGCTTGCAAATATTTAAAAGTCTAATAAATACATTTACGCTAAAATATCATAATATATTGGTTATTTCGTAAAAGTACATTACAGTAACAATTTCATATGCATATATAATTGGGAATCTTTCGTCCATAAAAGATTAAAAATTTCAATCTTGAAACTAAAAACGTTCGCACAAAGTTCAAGATATTATACATTAGAAATTTTATCAAGTAGAAAAGAACGTTCATTCATAACGTCTACAAGGTATTTTTTCACGATCTTATCTAAACTATTACCTAAGTCTGGAGAATACAAGTAACCCAGATCACCTATCATGAACTGTATTTGTGTTAAGGGCTGCAACTCTGAAAAACAGATATCCATTTTTAAACTCTCGAAACATGCTTGTGTGTCAGTACTCATTCTTTTCCTGATAGCCGAGAAAGAAGGACAATCTAACATAACGTGAAAGATATTCTCAGTCGCATTTGAGGAACATAACTGACACTCGTTATTTGTTATCAGATTCATTCGTTGAAGCGTTGCATTTATAGGCAGACAATTCGTTCTCGCCAAAATTTTTAGCCTTGTTGAGCGGAAGTCATCAACATTTGATAGATACGGTTGCTTACGTTTAACAACCACAAAGGATTGGTACAAGTTTAGGCTACTCTTTCCTAAAATATTAGATAGTTGAGTATTGGTCGTTTCGTTACTTTAAAGTTTATTAAAGATATTTACGTTTATGTTTCCATTTGCATAATGGTCAAGACCCGCAGTCTGTAGAATAATTTCGATATTTTCTATATATTTCCATTCATTACATTTAACAGGTATAATTTCATTTAGGATAATTTTAGACAGCCGATTATCGGGCAGGTTTTTTAATCTAGCGTAGTATGCAATTCTTTGTCTATCCATAAATCTATTTATTGACTCCCAGCCAAATTCAGCTAAAAGCGCACATTTAGGGATATTCATTTTTGTGTTTAGGATGATTTTTCCCACTTTATATTGAAAACTTTCTAGTAATTCGATACATTTCTGGGATGACGGGAACCATACTGAACATCCATACGTCAGTGATGGTCGAATAGACAACATCCACAGAGAATGTCCAAAATTTATACGATTGAAATCCCCATGATCACCTAAAATACGAATTGCATGATTTATTTTCCGTTGAAAATTTTCTTTCAGGTACTGCTCTATATGGTATGTAGATTTAAGGGATCTTGAAAAATATACGCCTAAATATTTATATTCATTTACTTCTTCGATGAGATCATTCCCAAGATACCATTTTTTATTTGAGTCTTTCTTTTTACCTGTAACCAGAACCTTCGACTTGGATGAATTAAACTTTAAGCTCCATTTTGAGACAAATTTATGCGCTATGTTTAAAAGAATTTGTAGCTCATCTTCCGTGTTTCCTAACAGGACAATGTCATCATCGAAAAGAAGACAGTTAATTAATTCAGAAGCGATGCTTATACCCAAATTTGCCTCCTTCAGCATATCGCATAGGTCAGTCATTAAAACGGAAAAAAGTGTAGGAGATAAGACGCATCCTTGTTTAAGACCAAATTCTTGATCGAACCAATCAGACTCGTAATTACCAAAAAGAACTTTATTGCTAACATTTTTATATAGTGCCCGTAGAATCTTCCAGCATTTACCCTGTATACTTACCCTTTTTCCATAGGAGATAGAACAGTCCATCCCGCCAAACTTTATCGAAAGCCGATGAAAGATCAAGGAAGGCAAGAAAAGTCTTTTCCTTTCTTGACTTTTTCATCGAACAAATTCCATTAAGTGTAAAAATGTGATCTTCCACCCTCCTGTCTTTTCGGAAAGCACCTTGGGTTTCTCCAAGTATCCCTTTATCTTCAATATAACCCATAAGATTACATTCAATTAGCTTACAGTATACCTTATATACATTTGATGTAAGAGTTATACCTCTGTAATTAGTCAGAGTGTGTGTAGACCCACCTTTGTGCATGGGTATAATGATTCCTTTATGCCATTCATCTGGAATTGTTTCTAGATCTGTAATTTTTGTAAAATATGAACAAGGGAGTTCAACAAGATGTTCCCACCATATTTAAGGAATTCGTTAGGAATGCCATCAGTACCACAGGCTTTTCCAGATTCGAGACTTTTCAAAGTCTGTGAAATTTTATTTTCGTCGAAAGTCACCGATAGGGGAGAATCTGATATTAATATATTTTCGTCAATATTTGTAATAAGGGTTTTACATCTTTTTCAAGTTCATCATTTTCATTTTGAAAGGAACCTATGGAGCTAAAATGCTTGGACAGGGCATTATTCATCTCATTCGTAGCCGTTAATATTTTATCCGAATCATGTGGATCGTTATACTCTATCGGACCTGTATCGGTTCGTTTTATTTTAAGGAAATTCCAAATTCCTTTCATTTTATTTTTTGCATTTATACATTTATCATTAAACTGTCGGATTTTAGCTGAGCGTTCTTTTCGTTTGATGGCCTCTTGTACTTGTGCTTTCCGATTAAAATAAATTTCTTTCAATCTTTTGCAAATTTCGTCATCATGCGCATGACATTTATTATGGGTGCGGTTTAATCTATTGGCGTTGCGGCGTTGTTTTAGAAGATAATCAAGTTCTTTATCCCAGAAGTCTTTGTAATTTTTCACGGGTTTGGCTTTACCGATAGCTAAAATTGCGGATTTTTCTACCGCATTTTTCCATAGATCCCAGAGTCGGTATACATCGTTTATTTTGTCACTTTCTTTAGTAAATTGGCTCATAATTTCATTGAGTTTTTTCTGGGAGAGGGTCCAGTCTGTTTTATCATTTATTTTCCAAACGGATTTATTATTCTGTGTCTTATTCTGTACAATAGGTTTACAAATTAGAGTTAATCTTATCAAAACATGGTCACTGTGCAAGTCGAACCTGCCTGAATCGTCTAAGAAAACACTAGAGACATTTTCTGACAAGCTTTTTGTCAAAAATACGTAATCTATTGCCGACCTCTGATTATTAAGAATGCGCGTGAAATGACCCGTACAGAAATGCATTGTATTTGCAACTGTCATTTGACTTGCGTCAATGAACTGTAATAAGCGATTTCCATTGTATGACGGTGAACTACATAGTTTATTTTTACCTGTATGTTCGCAAACACCAACGCAACGTCCGTTGAAATCGCCCATGAGTAGTATTTCATATCCCATGGCATTTAAACGAGACGTTTCGTCTAGTAATTGGAACATTAATTCATCAGTGTAAGATTTATTTGTTCCGTCCGTCTAAACTTTCTAGCTGTTATTTTGCTGCAGTCAATGTTATAAAGAAAGTACTGAAACACGTAAGGAATTCTGCAAAAAGATAGCATTTTTTTTTTCGTTCTTGTGAAATATGTGCATATATTATCATGTAATTATGACATCATATTATTATATATGAGCTGGATACGATTAGAAATCGACCTAATGCAGATCAATGCAAATGCTTGTTTACATACATGGATATAAGAAGATGTGGTATGAGTTCAAATGAGACAACTCTCCATCCGAGTCACAATTTGTAAAAGTAAATCATTATGGGTCAAAGTACATGTGTACATGTATTAGATTTTCGATTGATTTTGGAATCTTCAAATACGAAATAAAAGATGATTTTTTGTCTGTTTTGTATCAACTCAATATTTAAACAGTTACAGACTTTGCAAAAAGATTTTTTCAACTCAAAATAGGTTAACATATGTCAGTGGCGAATCCAGAAATTTTCATAAAGGGGGAGGGGCAGCTTCAGTGATTCCCTATATAATCAACCAAATTTTTCCCAATATTACCTTCATATTAGAAAAAGTTTTGAACGTCACACAAAAAAGCAATGTGTGCATGATTGAAGTCTACAAGTAAAGTGTAACAAAATCTCAAATAGCGATAAGGAGACGACCATTGATTCTAAAAGGGACCGGATGCTGGCAGATTTTGGAAATAAATATTCTGGCACCTATATTTAGTTGGAAATAGATAAACTTGACTTATCACGCTTGAAAATATATATTACACACTGTTACACAAATTCTGGCCCAAAATATTGAAAACGTACAATCTTTTCACTCGCTCTGCTTGCCAAATGTACAAAGCATGTACATGTATACAATAAATAAATATTGTCTGTGGCAGTTCACCGTTAAAAAAAAGGCTTAAAATCAAAAGTCAGATTTTCTTTGCCTATGTGTCTTCATAGCAGTTTTTTTCTTACTGCTCTTAACATAATTTACATGTTAATTTGGGGAGTGGCATGTAGTCTATGGTGTTAGAAAAGAATTAAAGAATAAAAAAAACAAGAAAAACTGAGATTTTTTAAAATTAATTTTTCACTTTTGTAAATGCTACATATTTGTAATGTTTATTGTATATTTGTGTTATTTTGTAGTAGTCCAATTGTTTGGATTTTATACTTATATATATCTTATATTGTATATAAGACCCAAGACCCCCTCCCCTTTTTATGCTATTTTATTATCATGTATTTATAAATTCACCCATCTGAAATTATTTTTGTATGAATGAATTACAACGATTATAAATGACATACTTGAACAATCAGGGTTTTTTTCTGTGATATAACAACATAAAATCATTGTGACATAAGAATTATATGGAGAAGTGTACTAATTCCAAAGTTGTTCATATCCTGGCCTGGTTGGTACAAAGGGGAATTTCAACCTAAAAAATTGGGTACAGAGTTGAGACGTCCGGTTGGAGTTTGAAAAACACCTCCCGTTCATATATTGATTAATGTGAAAGTCCCTACCCATTTACATATATATTAAATAAGAAAATCAAATCCCATTTATACACATGTATATTTCCAAGCTACCTGTTTAAATAAGGTAATCAAATAAGTTTATTTTCATTTTTTTTTAATTAACTTTGATAAAGTCTATTTCTACTCTCTGCCGAATGACATTGATGCTCCCTCCCCCTCTTTTCCGTGGGCTGGTAAGAGCTGAAAGAAATGATTTTGCACCGAGCATGAGGAAAATTAATTCTCTGCAACTCAAAATGCAGGAACTAAATTGTGTACAAAGTAAAAATGAAACTTTGCTGCAGTAAAAAATAAGCATACGTAGCAACAGATCCAAATGAATAGATCTATTCGTCAAAAATCCCCCCCCAAAAAAAAAATCTAATAATTGTCCCCTTAAAACTAAACAACCCTGGCCATGGCAACCATAAAAGAACCCTTACAGGGTACCTTGTAGTAAAGTTACATAATGTATGATAATTGACCCGGAGACAAGTCCAATCGGAAAGTCTTAAAAGACAACTCGGACCGTCAATAAGACAACTCGGACCAC